TATATGTGAATGCGTATGTAAATGCACATACACAGCCTCTGGGACATCTAAATGGTGTGATCTCTTAAAATAAGATATATATATATATATATATTTTAAATATTATTTTAAACAAGCAGAATAACTTTTTACGCTTTATATTTGTCAAGAAACACTTTGCACACTAAAAAAAATATTTCTTTTTACTTTACGTGGAAAAATCATAGACTAAATATTTATATTAGTAATAAAATATTTTAATATGACATAAATTGAGAATAAAAAATAGGTTCAATACATTGTAGAAAGAGTTTCTTGACAGTGTCAAAAATGTGTCAACTGACATTTTATTGTTTTTTTCGTTGAATATTATTAATAATAAGATATTGTGAAATAATTTTGCATTAAAAAAAATTCATTAAATATGACAGTTCTGGAAACACTTTTTTTCCGATTAGTTAATTTGTGATCGATGTATTCGAAAAATTTATTTTTTATTGTTTCATTATATAAAATTATGCACAGGGGTTTTTTTTGGGTCAAAATTAAAATGGCTAATAATTTTTCTTCCGGTAAGTGTGTTTTTATGTGTGCCCAGCATAGTGTTATGTTCCTTAACGCGTAGCATAGACGTTTCGCTGTGCAGATGACCGGCGACATCAAGAGGTTTCCTGTAATTGTCCTAACGGCAGTGTTTTGACAATCTTGTATCTTGTGGGACGTTTTTAAAGACACCATATATAGAGAACACAGGTTGAACGATAACTCCATCAAACCATTTTATAACAAATACACTTCTTCAACACTAGTCAAAATGTCCTAGTCTTTTTTTTTCAAATTTGATGGACTCTTTATTTATCCCATTTCCTCTGGTTGCACAAGAGCAATAAATTTAAAAAATTCATTGACCTTCCGTCATTGAGTAATGATGCATAGTTTGTGGCTTGTACAGTTTATTCATCTCTCTATTCTGAATGACTAATGGATCAACCCACAGCCTAAACCTCTGATCGTAGAGGCCTAGAAATAAGGTGTGTTTTCTGCGCATTTCATATGCATCCGATAAGAACGTATATTCCGAACTACTCGAAAAAATCGATTTTTTTTTAATTTTTGGATTTAAATGAAATTTGTTACATCGTTTAACTAGCATAAAAGTTTGTAAAGAAGTAGTTTAGGGCCTATATAGTAATATGGTGAAAATCTTTTCCCCAGAGACTTCTTTTCGGAAAAATCGTATGGCTCGATTGGTTTGATATCTGGAGCATAGATAGCTCTTTGCCTATGTCAAATTATGGAAAATTTTTTATTGCAAGACTGATCTTAATGAAAGAATCTGAATGGAAAGCTCCTTGACTAGGCTAATATGTGGAAAACAATTCTTTCTTTTTCATACGCTTTAATTTTTTAGTTGGTTGTAAGTTATAACAAAATTATATACGTGAAATAATAATTAACACCTCATTGAAACCATCTTAATTTGCAGGCAAGCTCTAGTCTTTAATAAAATATATTTGGCGCTTTATAATCGCTGAAGCGATTTTCGGCCGAGCTCCTCCTTTTTTGTACTTTTGTGTCTTGATGTGTTTACAACAAATAGAGGGACCTACAGTTTATACTAAGCCGCCTCCGATTGGCTTATGGTTTTTTATGAGGACCCTTTATTTGATGTCATTTGGGTTGACGTTTCCTTCCCAGGAGGCGACCGCAATTAGAAAATTAAACTTTGCACCGTGATTCGACCACGTACCTTCCAATGGCAGTACGCAATGCTAACCCCTCGGCTACTTCGGCCGCTGCACTCTTCAACGTCAATATTTGAAATTTGAGTTATGTATTGATCCTGTTGAGAGAGCTCACATATGAGACTCCTCTTTATTAAATGCATGAAGAAAATCATCGACAGTTCTGTTTTTTGTGAGTCAGAATTTTCTTGATATATGTATCTTTGATTTAAGAGTGTTAAAGTGTTATACGAGTATCAGTGTTTTGCAATTTTTAAAAAAACTTTAGCAGCAAGGGGCAAATTCTACTTGTTTTCCCGGAAGCTCGCAAAAATTTATTCGAAACAAGAAAAGAAACATTGATACATTCTCATCAAAAATACTGATTTTTCCATAAATTAAAAAAAAAATTCGAAATGACATAACTAAAAATTGTATTACCTGGAAATTATCTTATTTTCAAAATATATTTCTATGTAAAAATATGAAAATAATAAATTTGTTAAAAAGTAAGGCACCTACTCGGCTACAAAGTTGTATGTTGCAAGTATGGCATCAAGGCAGCATAAGGGTTAAGTTTTAAACTGTATTTCCTTTCCAAAGCAAAATAAGCAGAACAATATTCTAAATGAGAACAAGTAGAGAGTTTTATATAGGAGGTGAAATAAATTTGTAACTATGTTCATTTTCGATAAGTAATCATCTAAGAAGAAAAACCCCTAAGTTTGGGAATATTTATGGTGTGTGTTTTGCCATAAATTCTATTATTTCGTATATGGCTCCAAACCCGTTAATGTCAGTAATTATTACGGATCTTACGGATCTTCGGTGACTGATTCCAAAAACTTGTTGCGGCATACGTTTTTTCGACATTATCCGATTTTCAGTCAAAAACTTTATTTTAGGAACTACAATAATATGTACCTTAACTAATACGCAACCAATAGTTACATGTATTCTTTATTATATTTTTTTTTTTTTTTGAAAAAAACTATTCACTCATTTTTGTAAAGTTTTATTCAACTGCCACCGCTTAGACAGTGTAATTAAATTATTATTAAACAATTAAATCAAATAAGTTCAATTATCAACATACATACGAGTATATGTAAATCCTGATAATGTTTTACAATAAGGTCTGCATATCATGATGTTAAGATACGGCTGTATACAGGTTGCCACCAAAGTTTTGTAAGCTCTCAAACCTAGCTATAACCTTACAGACCTTCGAAACGAATTATTGTATATGAATCAAATTAGGTTGTTTTAGCTTGTAATGAAGTTTTTCTCTATGTATTTCTGGCGTATAGCTCCTAAGAATAGGTTTTTATGATTTCACAAACATCTTTCCACTCGGCTATACTTCTAGATAGAGTGCCTGGCGAGCATGATACCTCTCGTATATCCCCAAATTTGTCAACAGCATCTGGTGAAATCCTTGTCGGGTTGTCTTTAATTTTGCAAACCAAACATCTAAATTGCTCCCTACTAGTTGTACGTTTCTTAAAAAACTAGTGCGAGAGTAAAAATTAGCAAATGTTTTAAATACGAATGGGATGCGCTTTCATTAATCCCTTTTTTTATTTTATCTCCACACTACAATATATTGTCTATATGCACACTGAACGCAGGCCAAAGTGAGCAAAATTCTCTTCGTAACCATTCACAAGGGGGGTGATTACTCTATGTTTTTAAATCCCTGATTGATTTGAGCGCTATGCTCTCTCATAAAAAGTTATCTAACAGCAACAACAAAGTGGTATAACCGTGATAATTAGACAATATTAAATAGTAACCCAAACTAAACTTTCAAATGAAAAGTGATACGTGAAAATCAATCGTAAATATTTAATTATTTGTTTTAAACTCCTTTTTTTTACTTTCTGAGCTGCCATGATGCAAAAATTTAAAGTAGTTTCGTTTAATGGAATGCGTTCTTGTTATGATATGGCTTAACAATTTTACTACCAGATATTTTTTTACACAATACAAACTATGCAATTAGAAGGGCAGTTTTATGAAAAGAACTTAAGTAAATGATTAATAGCAAAATATATTAGTATTTAAAGAGTTGTCAAATACATGAGAGCCGTGATACTGAGTTTGTGCGACATAGAAAAATTTGGTTTTGAAAATAATATACATATGGATAAAATTAAAAATTTATTTTCAAACCCATTGGTTATAAGAAATGTGATAATATTTTATTCTACACGTTTTCAAATAGTGAAGAGAACTGTTACATTTATGTGTTAGACTTTTATTTAATTTGTTTTCCGTTTTGTTTAAAGAAAACACAAAATACTCTTTTTTATAATATAAATATCAAGTTGGTTGGTTGGTTGGATACTACTCTCAATTTTTGTTTCATGCTTAATTTCGAATAATTTGCAGCTCCATATTTCAATTGTCGATAGACAAACAGTTTTGGTGAGTAAATCTATTTTCGATTTTATTTGATCATATTCCATGAAAGTAAATATATCTATCAGTGTTAGTGGAACCTGAATCCGTTATATGTGATGTATGTAAAAATAATGAAATGAATAAGGTTTTATTTTTCGACGCAAGAGTTTTTAAGTTTAGAGATTCAGACTAGATTATGTGGAAAAATATCCAATTCGTTAACGTCAATATTTGAGAGTTTTTGCACTCTCTTTTCTTCAATGATGGTCCTTTTTATGAATGATTTATTCCATGGAAGTTTCATAGTAGTTTTGAAAATTTATGCCACATTTCCCATTCACCTCAATTCCCATGTATATACATATAAACAATTTTAATCAATTTCTCTCCAGTTTTGTTTTGTGTTTTTGGAAAACCTAATGGCTCTGCCCCAACTTTGATATTTTAATTTGTAATTAATTTTTTAAACTCCATTGAATGAGTTTTACTATTACTATTATTATCTTATTAAAATATTGTATGCCACCATTATATCTTTTCCAGTATGATTATTGAAGTTATGCGTCATTTTATATGAGAGTCAGAGTCAGGTCTAATACATATTTGTATATATTTATTACTATTTCACCCATAAAAATAAAATCGAGTTTGCATATTGGCATATGAGCATATTGCGTTTACTCTTTAAATTAACTTCTGCCTCTACAGTAAAGTTCTGTTCTCTTCGATTTTGATGTTCAACGACGCTGATCGCACAACCTACACAAAAGAAGCACATTCACTCTTTGAATAAAAAGCGAGTGGTACAACTCAAGGTTATAACTGCTCTCAATAAAGCTAGCATATTTTCTACTGATATTAGCCAACTGTATAATGAATGTTCGGTTTTATTTTCTACTCAGTCCGGAACGAACTCTCGTGTCGTACGTTTGTTGAAAAATTTTACTACTTGTACATAATAATACATTGCGTGTCCATCATTGTGATTTAAAACTAACTTCCTTTTGGTGAAAATAAGGTGCTAAATATGTGCTATAAGAAGTGAAGAATACGGTCATTTAGAATTATAAGTTTAAGTGATAAATTGATAGTGAAATTACGCTGAAAAATTAATTTAAAGCGTATGTGTGTAACAATAAAGCTTCGAGCCCTACTTAACAGATACATTTCTCTGTATAGAAAACCTGTTGCATGTCGCTGCTTAGTAATATTTTAACGTCGTCTTTTTCTTTTCATTTATTACTTGTTTGCAACAGAGTAATTTTAATCGTTTATCGACGACTGCTTTGCTATGTGCTTGTGCTAAGGGCATTTCAATTAAGTTTTCGTAATAGTTGTTTTAAGATTGTATTTTATACTTGAAGATATTCATGCTGTTGGAAAATATATAGTACAGTTTTATTTATTTTAATTGTTATACAAAAATTCAAATTTCAACATACTAATATCTTGTGAAAAAATTTAACTAAAATTTGTTAAGTTAATATAAATGGCATGTAAATCTTTTTCAACTGACAGGAAATGAAAACAATTTATGCTAACCTCATTCAATATAAAAAGTAAAAAAAAAAAAATAAAAAGTTAATGTATTTAATAACTAATACAAAATTGAATAACCTACTAGATATTACTAAAATGTGCCAAAAGAAATAATATTTTTAACCTTAGTGCATTTTAATTCAAATAAATATCACGACGTGAAATATTTAATTTTGTGTGGTAGATCTGGCAATGACATCCCACGCATACTATAAAGAGCGTTTGGGTTTTGATCCCAACGATATAAGCAATGAGCCGTCAATTGCGTCATCATCTCAGGTGCGGAAAAACTCGAAACACCATCACTCGGACAACCCACACAATCAACACTACGCCAGCTCACAAAAACATGGTCGACAAAGTGCTGCTTATTATTCACAGCATGCCGTTCAGATACCTGTTTCGCAAGAAAAGGCAAGAATCGGTGATATTGATTTCAATGTGGAAACTAGTCCAGCAAAAAAAGCTAAGCATTCCACTACACCCTCTCAGCAAGGGGGGCATGTAGGGGGCTATGAAGATGCTTTGACACAATTTAAAGGTAAAATACGTGTATATGTGAACAACATTATTAGACTACATTTATTTAAATTTGTTTGTATCCTTCTGCTCAAAAAATAAACAATGATATTGGTTGGTAGTAAATGGATTCTAATTACGTACAATATTAATATGAGTTTGTTGTTATAACAGCTGGAACTGAAAATCCTGATTCGTTTTTGATTTTCCAATATATTTCGGTGATATAATACTTGTGACATCGTAGATTACTTGTTTGTATAAGACCTACGAAATGTGAGAAAACAAACGGATGTAGTAGGCGGTTGCTACAGTAGCAATGATTGCTACTCTGCCGAGGGATACGGGCTTGAAGCTTTGGAGCATGCTTTTGCTAAATTCGGAAGGGAATATTAAGACATTCGCTTTTCGAAAATCACTTATACGATTATAAAGCACTAATTATACATATTTAGTAGAAAAACAAGAGTACAAAATATTATTAAAAATGTAGATGTAGTGTCATCTAACGGGAGGCCAAGGAGACGAGCTTTTTCGACCGGCCCGTTTCGGATCATATGTTAAGGGCTGTTATCAGTTCCGGCATCCAATAAATTTATTCGTATCAAATTGATTAAAAAAATTTTGTTTTGTACAATAACATCTTAATACTCAAGTTTATTTGGCAAATAGTATTTTAAAGAGACACATTGGCAAGCAAAAAAAAAAATGAATCAGATTTTTTATTTACGACTTAAATTGCTGCGTAGCACCTGAAGTTGAAAAGGTGGCTTCAATTTCATTTAAGGTATGTTTTTTATTTACTTATATATGTATAATGTTCTTGTCTAAAGATAAACATATATAATTCCTTATCCAATGGGAAAGACTCAAATTCGAATTCCATGAAAGGAAATTAGGTGTAAAAAAATTAATGAAACTCTGTGGGCCAACTAAAGATTTGAAAACGAAAATCAAGTCTAAAAAAAGATGTTCTTAAATAAAATTTCTTGTAAAACCGGCTTTAGTCATCAGCTTATACGGAAATTCGATACATTGATTTCGAATTAGTAATCTACTTTATTATTATGCTTCGTGTTTATTTTTGACGCTATGAGTTTGGTTTTATTCATTATTATGAAGATAATGATTTTTCTACTCTCTCTTCGCAACATATCTACAAATCTTATGAATATTTTTAACATTTCTATTTGCAATAATATTTTCACACTAAAGAAATTTTTTTCCGATACAGTGACATCACCACATAAGCGGCCTATACTATTAAGTTTTGATTAAACCAAACACATATTGTCATGAACAAAAATAAATTTGTATATATACATATCTACATACAGAGTGACTTAATGCTTAGATGGTGTCATAACAATTTATCAAGAACTTGTGTGTGAGCGGTTTCGAAAATTGTTTACGCCTACTCATATGTTTCTGTTTTCTTAAATCGTCGGCGCTCATAAGAAGTAATAAACAACTGACTTCAAAACTCAATATTTGGTAGTAAAAAGAATTCAAGAGAATGGATTTTCAATTTCATTCATTTAGACTCTTTTGCTATCTGCCTTTTTTAGATATGTGGTGTATATGTATGTATGAATGAATATATGTACACGTTTTATTACCAACGTTGCCCCGTAAGAAATTAAGTTTAATATAAATACACTATACGTTCATTTCGGATGCAAAGTTCGCTTATTTGGTAGACCATATATTTTTGTACATGTACATTTTCGAGTAAGAAGATATTTTCTTAAACTGAAATCGTTTAAGCGTTTGTAATGCGAAATTAAAAAAAGTTGCCAAAATGTTAATTATGTAAGAAATATGTCAATACTTGTTATTGCATGACCTAAGAATCGTTCCGGCATGGGTTATATGAAATGCGAATTCGATAAACTTACCATTCTATATTTAACTATTCAGCGGTTATATATGTATGTGCATATACGTACATCAATATCAGTTGCTTGAAACGAACAAAATGTTTTTCTAACAGAAATATACTTGTACTAAAAAAGAACATGTATATTCGTAATTCAACTCAATCAAAATCCAATTGCCTGGTTCTCTTAATATGTTTAAGAGAAGAGTGAGTTTATAGAAGTTTCTCTTCGTATTAAAGTGGTGTTTGGAAGCTAAGAAACTGACGTCATTCGCCAATGATATTGTGTGTTTTAAGCAATGGCGCACCGATGTATTTAGCCAGATTGGTTGAATGAATTACCTCTTTATGATGTGAAGTATGTTTAATACTAATCAAGAAAGGTAGATTATTGCTAAAAAAAAAAGTGAAATTTTTCAATTAATAATTAATTAATTTTGGTATTACAAATTTGAGAAAAATTATTCTGCTACAATTTTATCAAATTCGCCTAAAATACATGGAAAAACATACTATTGATGTACATCAGCACTTACAACTCACTGACCGACACTACGTTTGTAGCCATGTTCTTCAAAAGTTATTCTTTTTTTTCTATTTGTTGCTTATAAATAACTATTACACGCCGTTGAAACAAGAGAAAGTTTAAAGAAATATCAGTCAAACCAAATTTCATAATTCAGTGCATACCTTTTACGATAGTTTCGAATTTTTTGGATAACTATAAGAATGACAGCTTCACAAAGTTTGTAAGCGAACTATTATTAGCTTTTCCAGCAACAGGCTGTAACAAGTAACTCAAAATTAATTTTTTAGACTAAACCTAGATATTTTTTAATTAGGTGATGTTAGCGATGAACACGGAGAAAGGTTCCATCGGGCCTGTTAGGAAATCTCTATTACAGCCAATGGAAGCCAAGGATATTGGTGGGTAAAAAGGGGTCAACCAGAAAATTAATAATACAAAGTTTTTTATCTCTTGTACGAGAAATTCACTTTTCTAATCTTTCAATTACATCAACCTTAATCCATCAAAGAAAGAATTATAAGTAAAGTTCGCGTAGCGGGATAAAGTATTTTCAGACTTAGATCCTTTCGGTTTTTTTTTATAGAATATACTCATGTCCTAAGAGCAAAATCCTTAAACAAAATATTACAACCGGTATTTTTTATAATATCGAATGTAGATTTATTTGTGTATATACAGAAATTCGGGAATATGTTCGCTAACAAACCATTTAGGCAAACTCGACAGAATGTAATGCAAATGTTTTTTTTTTTGGGAATTTTTCTATAATCGTTAAATTAATACGCGCACAATCGAAAAACAACAATACCAACATCAATATTTAGAGTATTAAATGTTTGTTTCCCCGTTTAGCTGTTGTAGCTTGCATATAAGAAATTTCGCGCTGAAAATATGCATTTACTTTAAGCTTCTATGATTATCCATCAACAATGGCTTCTTAGGCTTATAGTTAACCCTATTTTAGGGGTACCTGGGACACTCTAATATTCGCTTACAAACGTAATACTTAGATCGTACTTACTTATTCTTTCCATTGAAAAAATAAAGAATAATTTGCTCAATGTTCTGCATTCTGCATTGCGTATCTTTGACCAGATTTTGCTATCCTAACGTCTCCAAGAATTTACAAAATTACAAACGGGAAAGCTATGCGGTGTTTTCAGTATAGTAATTATGTTTTTTTTATCGTACAAAACTTAGAAGAAATGTTGTTATTAATAAATAAAAAATAAAAATTCTAACTGTTCACACGAGAAGCGTAAATCCTGACAATAATCTTCCCCACTCTGGACACAAACAAAAAATGTATTCAGCCAAGGAAATATGCGGAAATCTTTTTAATGAGTTTAAATTTGCAGCCTTAATATTTAAAGTGAATAAAGTGTAGAACGCCTCATCCATCCTTCGCTTTTGTAACAAATCATTAGCCCGAATCATATGTTTTTTCTATTCAAAATCAGCCTAAAATTCTCTGACATTAGCATATTTAAAAGAATCTCTTTTATTTCTGTCCATTCTTACTAGAATTGTCAATATTTTTATATAATTGAAGTTGTTAAAAAGTATTTAGGAATTTAATCCAGTTAATGTGTTCAACATAAAATAAAAAAAAAATCATAAGAGATGCTTTCAAACTTTTAGAAATGCATTTTAAATATTTATGTATCGTAAAAATCGCCAATTGCTTAAACTTTTATGAGCAATTCAGCAAAACGTATTTTTTTATTTTTAGTTTTTCTCAGCATTCATTAATTTTATAAAGCCACGTTTCCATCAAAAAATTTACAATGTTAAGGCTTGTGGTAGATTGTCCTAATTTCGATAATAGAGCGAACTTTTTAGAATCGTAGAATTAAGTTCACGTTTTTTAGCAAGGATAACACAATTTTTGTGTCTGGTTTTTGAATATCTGACCTTATTGTGTAAAAATATTTTGTATACGTTATGTTATATTACTAAATGTTTTATTTTTTGTTTATCATTTATTTAGATGAACGGGATGCGATTCAAAAGAAAACATTTACGAAATGGGTAAACAAACATCTCAAAAAGGTATGTTACAAATAATTTAAATTTTTATTTTATTTTTTGTATAGTTTATGTATGTATGTATGTACATAGGTATTTTAAAGTTTGTACTAATTCATACTGGCTTTTATATCATAGAAATAACCATTTATATTTCAATAATTCAAGAAGTTCGAATAGTATCAAGAAATGTGTACAGCAGTATTCCGAAATAACGAACTTATTCATTGTTAGGCCAGTTCGTTACATCGAATTTTTCGTTAATTCTAGTACTCACTAACTAGGTACGTTTTCGAACAAAAATGAATAAAATATCCGTAAATTGCAGTTTAGTAAGTACATTATTTATCTTTCATGAGATCGATATATTTCTAGTATATCAGTAATATATACAACTTTCTATCGCTGTTTGAAAAATTGAGTAATCGTTACTTGTTTCGTTGGAATACGAAGGTTGCTTCCTGGAATGCATTCAAAGCAATAAGTTTTGTTGTTCTGATTTGCCCACCGGATACTTTGTTTGAAATTTTTCATAGCATCAATTTCGTCGTTTCCTTTTACCACATCATTGACGTCATCGGAATTCTGTATGAAATTATATTCAACCCATCTATTCAATTCCTTCGCTGGAGATGGAAGTTGAAAATGTTGGAAAGACATCTTTCTTTTCACAGTTATATATCTGAATATTTTTAATTTTTTTATGTTCTGTTTTTTTATTATGTTTTCACCACGATTTTATTGTGTTGCTATATATGTCTTCTTCATGTTGTTCCTTATTCCGAGAATTGCTTCCTCGTTATAAGCTATTCTCCTGAAAACGAATATTCGTTATTTCGGATTATTGATGTATATATAGGACTATCACTTTGTTGTTTCAAAAGTACAGAGCTGTATTTTGACATGTGTCAAATTTAGCTTTAAAACGAAAAAGATCTTGTTTTAGTTAAATGTCGAGCCTTTTGAAAATGCATAACGCGTTAAAATTGTTAGGACATACTGCAAAAATGATGATTCAAACATAGCCACGTGTGTACTTCAAGAGGAAATCATTTTCAAGAAATTTGAAGAGATCGGTTAAAAACATTGTCAAGAATTACTGCTGTTGTAAGTGAAATTGTAGCCGACATTCTCAAGAGCTGGGACTTTCTTACGACACGTTATGCCGTATTTAGCACTTTGAACCGGAGTTGTGATTGGACTTTGTTTCTTTAGAAACGACACAGGCGAGAATCTCACTGCTTTTTTGCAATTGCAATTGAAGAAAACGACTTGAACAATACGTGGGTGGCTTTAACAAAAGATATTTCCCGGCCAATTTGTGCAATTTAACACAGTCGGACTATTTTTGTGGGGATACAAGAAAAACCGTGTGTACGTGTACAGGTCTTTAACTAATGAAAGCTAACATTCGTGATGTTATGGCTGAGGTATCGCCCAATATGTGACAAAAAGTGGTCGAAAATTACCTCAAGCAGCAGAAACTACCGAGGTGGTAATTTCATTGATGTAGCATTTCACATATAAATATTATATATACAGGGTTATCTATTTTGTGAAATTTGAATAATGGCATTATATGTATATAAATATTTATATACAAAGCATACATGTTGGAATAAGCACTTGAAATCTTTGTTAATTTGGAATCAACGAAAAAATATCAGGATTTGATCCTCCACAATTCAAATTGATGCAAATTTACTCTTGAATTAATTAATCATTTGTCGAAACCATCCTAAGACGATTGATTGCTCAATTATGGGATTTTGTATAATCATTCCTGGAACGCATATGAAATATGCAATTTCGTAAATCGCTCATGTGGTAGAGATGCAATATTTAAACCGAGAATAATCACAGCCAAAGTGATACTGCTATAATAAGTTTTATTTAAAAATGAAATAAATTTTCAAAAAATATGAATACCATTTAATGTCGGCAGATATACATAATTCATTCATAATTTATTTTGTTTAATTCACACCAAAAATATGCTTTAGTATTCAATTGTAACTCGCAGCGAAAATGATGCAGAAAGATTTACCGTTAGTGGCGACGGCTTGTCGACGATTTTTGAATGTAAAATAAATAAAATTAATGGCATTAATTTTTTTTCGAAAATTTATTGAATTTTTAGATGAAACTTATAGTATTTTTTAGATAGCTGCATCACTTTGTCGGTGAGCCTTCATGCATCTATCCCCCATACAACTGATTATTCATATATGCATGTGTGTGTGTGATCTCATATCATAATTTTCTTATCCGAGCATGTAACGAGAACGCTATGCCCCTACTTCGAGGCTTAAGTGGTGCTGCTTGCGATCAGGTCCGGAACCCTCTCTTTCAACCAACCAACGTAGCATTTGAGAGCATGAAGTTCGACAATCAATGCAGTATTAATACTTGTAGATAATCAAATAAATTTTTCTAGTTGTGGTCCCTCCTTCGCAAGGAAATAAAAGCTCCTCGGAGGTGCCTTATGTGTTAGAAAAACTTTAAAATCTGTGTTACGAAATGGGGAATGAGCTCGGCCGAAATTACTGCACTAGTTATATATCGACAAATTTATATTCAAGTAGATAATTTAGTGAATTTAAGACTACAATGTTGTACTCATGAGAAGTATACCTGAATACATGGGAATATCCAGATATAGTATTTTTTCCCTCCTTATTAAATGAGTTTATCTTTACGTCAGAGAAATGGTAGTATTAAGGAAAATGAGTGTGGCGTAAGTCCACCTTTGGAAAATATGCAATAGGCATAATTAGCTGAATAAGCAAACAAAAAATAAATAAAAATATTAAATGAAGTTGGTTAATAGTATAAGTTCAGATTCTTTTTTGGTTATCATGATGCATAACCCCATTTCATAGTTTACTTTTTTTAATTTATGTAGTGGTAGGTACTAGTTTGAAATCTTCATCGAACCGTTTTTAAAATATTTGAGAAACTATTATGTATCGATTTTATTTTGCAAACATTTAGTATTTATAATCTAATTAACGATCGAAATTCTCGTTTCACTACGCAGCATTGGGAATATATTAAGGTAAATATAATGTTTTTTGCTTTATTTATATTTAAATTATCAACCACCACATTACACGTACGTGGTTTGCAGGTAATATATGTATTGTATATATTAAAATGAAACAGAACTAGTTCTTTAAAACATGTTCGAATACTTGATTTTGAAGCAAAATATTGAAGAAATATAATAGAAGCTTTATAACAGATGAAGCAACTTTCGGCTGAGCTCCTTCTCCCATTTGGGGTTTTGCGTCTTGATGTTTTTCCAACAAGTGGAGGGCCCTAAAGCTTATTCTAAGCCGCTTCCGAAGAGTCTATTGATTTTTATAAGGAGCATTTTTTTTTTCTATATTTTCAGATGTTGGTCAAACTAGGACTCGAACTCATAATAATATATGGATAAATATTATGAAAAAAGTACTAGCCGTAGGAGAATTCCCGGATACATACATATAGAATACTTTTTATTATTTTTGAAAGACCCCAGTTTTTTTTTGCAAGCTGAAACTTTAAATTTTCATAATTTTTGCTATTATTATTATTTTCTTAGTTAGGTTGATGAGCTTGAGTTTTAGGTATGTCCGTTGTGGTGCACAAGATGTATTTTTGCAAAAGTTGGTAATGTAAATAGCCATTAACTCTTCCAAGACTCACTCAAAACTCAGTTAAGTGTGCATCTTGAAACCGCACAAATGGGCGTACTCTGAAGATTTCAGTTGCTGGTGAAACACTTCTTCTTTGTCCGATAATAGTGCGATAGTGATACCCCGTTGATCAATATGCTAGCTCTTATATTAATTTGATTTTAAGTCCTTCTTCACAGTTAGTGAGCACTGTGAAAAACTCTATATATCATAATGCCCTTACCCATACTTTCGTCAAGTCAGTTTATTTTATAAGCTAAGAGAGAAGTTGTTTTTCAAAGTTCTTAACTTTTTCGGACTAATGCAGACATAAACCAGGGATTTTACATTGTATTTCGCCCTGTGAATTATAGCAAAAACACTTCTGAGTGCACTGCCGTCTGTTACCATGCGTCCTTAGTTCAGACATTCTAAACTGATCCATCTTTTTTAAAACGCTATGTTGATAAAAAGTAATTTACGCATTACTTCATCACAAATTAAAACTCTATTTTTTAACATACACCATCGAGGTCTCTTCAACAAGTATCGTGACACACGCACACATATTATTCTTCGATTGCAGGGGTGTGCATCTTGAGTTCTCTCCATAGGGTCTTATCGAAAATAAAAAAGAACCTGCAATTTTCAAGTAGCAATCCACTAGAAACACCGGATCTGCGAAAAAACTAAAAAAGGATAGCGCGCTTGGTACCCTAGTCCCTGTATTCTCCAGAACTGGTCTCCTGTGACATTTTTTGTTTCCAAAACTGAGGAGGCCCAAGAAAGGACGACGCTACGCTATTTATATTTATCAATGCTTTGATGATGGAGAAAAAAAAACGCTGGCATAAGTGCTATCTGACCTCGTTCTACGCCAACGCAATGTTGACGGAAAACAAGTTTTTCTGATATAAAACAACTGTAAATATAATAGATCATACATCAGATATTTTAATTTTTAGGAAAACATTAAGGCGATCTATAGGAGACAAAGTTACAATACCAGCACGTATACTTTTAGTCCGTTTTCAGATTGGGATTTTCTGTGAGTTTAATTCACATTGTTTTTAGGTTTTGAAATTGTTTTGTTTGCCAATAGAAAGCGAGAACAGTTTTTAACAGTTTATAAGTAAATTTTATTTTTTACCAAAACTCCGTTTATTTCAAATTCACGCAGCAACCTCGAAACTATTTGTCGAATATATGTATATAGTTTAAAAGTAAATAATCATTAAGGATAGAGATAAGCGTTAGATAGGATAATGTAACGCTAAAATAAACTTCTCCAATGTTATTACCATCAAAAACAGGATATTAACATTTGACATAAGCCCATATTTTGTGCGTTCCTAGCGATCATGTTTTGTTTCTACCCTTCTGTTATGTAGCCTTGTGCCGGGATTTTCGGGTTGATCAAAAATTTTTAAATTTATTCAATATCTACAAAATAATAAATCAGTATAATATGTACAAGTGAAATATATACTTATTCTATTTTCAGAAATACACAATGATACATATGTGTGTTTATACTAATGGACATCCATGTTGTCCATCGTCTGTAAGTTTACGTTTTCCAAGCACTAATCAAAAATAAGTATAATATGAATTTTAGCTTTTGTGCCACCAGATCACTATTAAATGCATGATTTTTTGCTCGTATAAATTTGTAAAATTTTATTTCTGCAATGTTTTCGTTTAATTTTGAAATAAATGTCATATCCTTTTTTCAATCAAAAACATTTATTGTAGTTCAAGCACTTGTCTGTATGAAATATGAGGGTATCGTACGTCTAATACAACAACCTAATTAATGTTACACAATAGAAATTGTTTAAAGTAAATTTGATTTGCTTTTTTTAAAATTCTTCTCCAATTTATAATGGCGACACTGGTCTTGGAAAATTCGATTTATGGTTTAGTAATGTACTAAAAGTTCAAATTATTCGAGTTTAACAAAAAGTCAGAAATAACTTCTGTCAATTGCGATTATTTATTTATGAGACCGATTTTTTTTTCATACGTGAAATAAATGGGTTTATAAAAACTCGAACAATGAATCCGATGTCGATTTCTGTAATCATTGAAGTTGGATGACTCTCATTATTAGTGACTCAAATGCTGAAATACTAGGTGATTTTTAAAATCAAAATATTCATATTGTACTGATACTCTTAAACATTCATATTTTCGTTGTCCTGATAGCATTTTACCAAATCGATAACCGAGATTGGTATTAGATCATGTGTCATGAACTTCCCAGCTGTTAAATACTTGCCGATTTCCCCATTAAGTTTATCATTATTTATCATTTATTGGCGCTTCTCAGAGTAAAAGCAAATTCATGCTATCGATGATATGTATGTAATATATGTTTTCGATGAATCCAAAAAGTTTTGTCGGCCGATAATAATTACACTGATTTCAGCAAATTGTTCTATAGGTTTTCTCACACTCCACACTGTAGCTCATTTGTTATTCTTCGGGGCAGTCTTTTAGGATCCCTATGTTGCTTAAATTTATCAATGATATTTCATGGTGAAAGTGGGTCCAAAGATAGATTTTGAAAGAGCAACTTGGCTTGCATTAATAGATGGACTAACAATAAGGTATATCTTATGTAACAGCATTGGGCACCAAAGTTGCCATTTTTTGCTCTATTTAGATCCAGGAAAATTCAAATTTTGTCGCAATAAATCATCCAAAAGTTATAAGGGGCAGCAATTTTCATCATAATAATAAAGTTTATGCTCTCTAAAGCTGTGAATGAAGAAAATTATCAATTATCCTTTTATCACTAATAAATTTCCTTTACATGTACATATGTATACATAATATGTTATAATGTTAGCTTAAAATACCAGAAGTATGAAGGATGTTGATGTCGAACTAAATATTAAACAATATTTTCCTAAAGTTATGTACTTCACTAAAAAAAAATTGTAGTACCACGTTTTAAATATTTATTTATTAATAAAATATTTTGAGAATATATCTGTCCAAACCACAATAAAAGAACATGTTGCGAAAATTATCGTTGTGAGGCAAAGCCATTAAGAAATATTATTTTATTTTGTATGTAAGTGCGCCTGAACCGGCTTACCAAACTTATGCATTGTTCTATAAATAAAAATATTTACAATATTTTTTTTAAACGAATAAAATAATTACACAACTTTTTTGGGACCAATTAGCTGGATCACTGAAAATATTCTGAACACCAGTTATAATACATGAAATATATAAAATCAGAGTAAATACAATTTTTTATAATTATTACTCCCTACTGTTTCCCTCCATTCGACCACTAGTTCGTTATCGACAAAATTGTTTCCTCAATATGAAAAAGTGAGTCAGAATGTCAACTATGCTAGAATGAGAGCTAAAATCAAGACAAAAAATGTAAAGTCTCGTGAAATGCCAAATCCGATCAAATCAGATTTGATTTCAGAAAGAAGACAAGGAGGAGAAATTGAGCCTGTTATTATTTTAAATTATATCAAGCATTTCCCCACGACTGGCAAAAGTGAGGAGGTTATTGAGATAAAGTTTCAAACGTCTAGTGTAGGGTTATCCATTTCGTGGTTTCAAAAGTACAGGGCTGTAATTTTACATCTGTCTAACTGTTGTCGCTTAGCGACCGCACAACGCGTTAAAATTGTTAAAAGATACTCCAAAATGATGAGTCAAATGTGAAAATTTTGGTGCATATAATCGTCCAACTACTCAAGCAATTGGTGACAAATATTATAAGGCCTGTGCATTATCGGTTTGCTCGTTCCATTTCAAATATCGCTATCATAAGTGAAAGTTTAACCGAAGACCAGAATGTGTCTTTTTTCTCGACGTTCTCAAGAGCTGGGACTTTTTACAACACATTATAGCATATATCGCACTTGGACTTACACCTACAGCTGGACTTTATGGTTCATGCAACAACTGATTTTTCGAACAAAGTTTTCTTTAGCAACGAAGTACATTTCGCACTCGCATTTAGGCCCAAAGGACTGTTTATGAGGATAAATCTTTGACTCTTGAGCACTTGAAATCGAACATTAATCAAGTTATGGCAGAGATACCTAATAAATAGCAGAGTAGTCGAGAATTAGCTCAAACGGGTCGAAGTTTGCAAAAATTCAGAATTTCAAGAAAAAATGTATTTTAAATGAATTTTATTTACTTTTTTTTTTTGAAAGCGCAAAATAGATAACGCTGTATAAGGAGAAAGATTATTTTGAGTCTCAATGAAAATCTCTCAAAACAAAAAGGGGTTTGTTTTTGAATGGATTGTACTCGATCAGAGTAGGTTGTAATACCAAATTGTCTTCATTACGGAATTTAGTTTAGTAAAAGTAAAGATTATAGTGGTTTAATTGTTTATGTTAGTGTAGTAACTTCAGGAATATTCCCCGAATTGGGGAGACAGTCCTTGGCCCGATAAAAATTCCGAACGTTAAGGTATAAAGACACGACTGTCACCCGAACTATTAAATTTAACTCGCCTCATATGATTCACTTTTTTACTCCAGATTTCTCCTTCTTCAAGCACTTGAGCGTTACACTTTGCACTTATGTACAACCTTATGAGCGTATTTTAAAGCCAATACAAGCACAATGTCACATAAGTTTTGTTATCGTATCTGTAAATATGTATGTATGTATTTTAATCCAGTTTATGGGTGAATCAGTATGTTTATGTGATCGCTTTGGTTTGTTTTCAATTAGACAAATTTAAAGTAACTACGTACCGTAGTAAAGAATTTAGTGCTAGTATTTCGACTAATTTGCATGTATTCATTATTTGTATAAGCAATTTAGGTATATCTTTTAAAAATCATTTGGACTTACTTGTGTTTTAGATTACTGAAAGTTAATTTACGCATTTACTCTTATATAGATACATAGATATCGTACATACATACATACAAAGTATATTGATGATATGATAAATGTATTTAACTTAAATATAAATTATACTAATATATCTTATTCAATTATAATAACAGGCTAAACGGCAAGTGGATGATTTATTTGAGGATCTAAGGGATGGCCACAATTTGCTCTCGCTTCTGGAGGTTCTATCAAATGAACACTTGGTAAGTAGAGAAAACTAAGAAATATTAAAAATTAAAATATACTCATAGGTCTTGACATTTCTTGCCTAAGGACGACCGCAGTTAGAAAAGTTGATTTTACATGTAGGTCGAACCAAGAGCCGAATCCTGGTTTTCAGAATGGCAGTAAGCAAGGCTAACCACTCGGCTAATGCAGCCACCATCCAGATTTTGTGTATATGAAAATATAAATGATAAAAAATTACTTCTGCTCAGGCATATATAGCAATTTGATAAAGAGCGTCAACTTTTAAATCACTTTTCAATCATATTTTATTTAAACAAGGACACTTAATGTTTTCTTCATGCCTGGAGAAGCGGAATGACGCAGTTATTGAGGTCATCGGCATATGACACCAGTTGTCCGCTCTTGTAGAAGATTGCGCCTTTTATTTTTATCTCAAAATTATTAGGTTAAAGAAGTCACACTACAGTGAGTAATAAAAACTACTCTGACAGGTCCTTCCCTATTCTGACGAAGGTTTTTGTACTGTTCCTGCTGTCAACCGATCGGATATTGCAAAGATGATATCTCATGCATTTTGGTAGTGTTAAGCTATAATATTTGAATAGCTTAGCTGGGCTCGATGCGATTAGAACATTGATTCCTTGGTTCCTACATGAATTCGACCCATTCGCACAAATGTCTTTAATCTATCGCATTTTCTAATACAATTTTCAAATATCGCCCCCGTCGGACAAATTATTTATGCTCACGAATTGCGGTCTCTCTATTTTTATGACATTCATGTATGCGTGATTTCATATCAGAGTTCCTACAACTAATCTTGCAAAAATATGAAATATCGTATTCGGTTAAAAATTAGTTATTAAGAACGAGAATCATAACAATGGACGACTGTAACATATAGCTTTCATACAATTGATTGTTTAAATCTGTGAAAAAGATTTGAATTATAAAAATTTAGCGAAATGTACGTTGATGTTTCTCCTATCATAAATCCAACAACGAATTTGCGCTCTTTGTTAGAGTAGAGACCCTGTTGTGTACGTAACAGGAACTTATCTTTAGTAACTGTATGCTTTTTACGAACAGCATGAAACTCGAAAGTAATGGTTTCTTTCTACTGAGTAGGTCATACAGTGAAAATTTCGAGGTAATTTATGTCTAAATAATTATTTTATCTTCACGATAAATTCCAATAATTTTATTTATAGTGTTGCATACGATATTTCCTAAAACTTAATATTTGCGAAGTTTTCATTGACTTCTATTTGGCGTCAAAATTTCGGGTTTCCACTTATTCTGTTTATGTACATTATGACACATAATTTTGACAGCTGAAAATATAATTCTTTTTGAAAAAATGCGAATGTAAGCAAGTAAATTGAACGAATTTATATTTGAAAAGGTCCATTACCTCGAAAAACGTTTTTTTTTTATTTTTTCAACTGCGGTCGCATTGCAAACGAATAAAACTTACCGACCTTTACCCACTGTGATGCTCTAAGTATTTAAGGAGGAAATAGTTGGTGTCAAATTTCTTTATAGTGTTACCTTTACAGTACCTTTATTTTATAGATGAGTCTAAGAATATGGTATATAATTTTTAACTTTGTTTATGTATTTTTAGCCTCGCGAAAAAGGAAAAATGCGTTTTCATATGTTACAAAATGCACAAATGGCTCTTGATTTTCTTCGTTACAAAAAAATTAAATTGGTCAATATCCGGGCTGAAGATATTGTGGATGGCAATCCTAAATTGACGCTTGGGCTAATTTGGACAATCATCCTACATTTCCAGGTAAATTAAATTATATTCTTCGTACAAGATAATCATTAAAAAAATAGAATGGGCTCACGTTTGCGCTGTTGAATAGCTGGTCTGGTTTTATTGTAGCAACCATCTAACTCTAAAAATGATCGAGCTTATAAAATCAATACATACGAAATTACTAGATTTATTTAACGTATGAGTTCTTCAAGAATGGTAACTCGGTAATGATATAGAATGGACAATTAATTTTACTGCTAGATTTCGTTCCTGCATAAATGTTGAAAGGAAGTGAAAAATTGAATTCTGTTATTAAGAATTAACTGTATTACCATACATATTTATTTGTATTTTAATAGAATATGAGAATTGAATTTATAAATTTTTTAAAGACTCTGTAACGAATTCTACTTTTGTCTCAAATTTGAAACAAATATACAAATGTGCAGTTAACGTAAACAATTCCATTTTAAGAAAAACTTGTGGGCAGAATGAGCTAAAAAGTAACGCATTTCACAGCTCCCACTCTCAATTTATAAACTTAATTTCAGTTGTGTATGTCAATGTATTTCAACTCTATTAATCTATTAAACTGCAAAACTGGAAAACGCGTTTGCCCACGCCATCAATTTTTCGCCTACCCTTACATATTTGTTACTAACAAATATCAATTGCACTTTTGTTCGATCAAACATTTCGTAGCATCTATATACATATGTATATTAAAAACAAATTGTACATACATATGTATATACATATCCGCTGCTTTGGACGAAAATTAAGGTGATTATGGCCAGCCAGGAATTATTTACTAGTTTGAGAGTATTTGGTTTGTTGATCCCAAAAATTGCTTAGATTATCACAACATTCGACGTAACGTCAAACAAATTTTAGCACGCTTATAATTATATAGATATAAAAATTTATAAGACTTGATTGCAAGGCCAAGTACCATGGTCTCTCCAAGTTGATTATATTACATACTTTGACCTCCTACGCACAACGGAGAAACGACCTTTATATTTAATGCTTATGTGTGTAGTAAATAATCTGTAGCCATGCATATGTCAGCATTGAAGTGAAGTGTTGTACTTATTAGCTTTATTTGAACGATTGTACAGTTAAGTAGGAGTTTGAGTAACAGCTACTTACAAACCCGATCGTGGGCGAAATCTCGAAGAGGACGTTATTTACCAAGTTTGTTTCTAATTGACCCATCCTTAAGGTTTAAAGAGTTAATCATAAATTTGTTATATTTTTTTTCCTTCATAAACTCTATTTTTCCAATAGGAGCTTTTTTAGTTTAAGTTTTTAAAACATTACTTTCTGAGCGATTTGATATTTGCTCCCCGCCGAGCTATCTTTGCTATCAAATGTGTGCGTTAAGTTTCTGTGGGTTAACGTTATCAATGCATGTACATATATATTCAAAACTAACAAGTTTAAAAATGAGTAATGTAAGGGTTTTTCCGCCAAAACTTCTATCGGATTTTTGAAACTCAATAATATTGGAAAACCCTAACTTTAGCCCCACTACAAGCTGCTAATTAATATGTTGACATTTTGCAGAGATCTTTGAATTTTGTTGATTACTAAAATTTAAGGGTGTACATTTGAGGCCCCTTACGTATAGAAGTAGCTAATAAAAATTTAGAACGAATTGACGGCCATTTACGATCCATCTTTCAGTTTTCTTTAATAAAAAGAATGCGAATGTTTTTCTTTTTTCTTTTTTGTCTAACCCAGGTTGCATGCAGGAAGAATAAAATTGACAAAAAAGCGTTGCTGTCATCAATTCAAAATATATATTTCTTCAGTAAAACAATCCGAAATATTGAATTCGAATGTGCACGAAAATCGAAAAAATCTTGTTGAAAAAATGGTAGCGGCAACAAAAGCCATGCCATTGTTAACGAACATACGATTGGTTTATGTCTTTTAGATTACCCTTAATTGCGCATATATTAACATTCAAAACAGCTTGCAGATATGAAACCACTATACTAATCATTTATTGATTATAATGCGTATTGTAAATACTAAAGACTTCTACTAGATAAAGTGATGTACGAAAAGTAGTGGTAGTGACTCAGATTTTTTGAAATGATTTAATTTATAACTCTTATAGAAAATAAACAAATGTATGTATTTTCCAAAATGTCTTTTTCAAATAAGAGAACATAATACATTTAAATTTATACGTTTTTAAAAAGTATTTTATATGCATATGATTATAGAAATTCAGTTATTTTGAGAACATCAGAACATCAAGATCACTATCCTTAAAAATTATGTTCTTCTGAGTTAATATATATGATATAAATATAAATCTGTACGTGTATATATATATATAGGTACAGAAATGTAAATAATAAAAATTAGATTGATATTAAAATACACTTGAATTTAGTGAGCAAACAATGCATTAGTGTAATGTCCAGAATTGGCTCTCTTTACAAATGATTTCCGAGCACAGATCTGTAAGAGAAGCCACTGTCCTAACTTCCAAACCAGTTTTTTACACGTTGTAAGTTTATCTCTTAACACCGCATATAGTAGGCGATGATTATTTCAACGTGTAGGCGGCTCAAGAGCGCAATAGTAGTCATACTTTTGTAATGATATCGAGTATGTATGTATGCAAATGTGTTATTATGATACCACTGTGATTTAAACTGAATATTTTTACCTTTTAAAATTCAGTTGTTGTTAAAACACCGTGACATATTGACTAAGCTTGTGTGTTTTAGCGGATTCCAAATTTTTTAAGTATACATATATATACTAGTATATAATATATGGATTCTTATTGAACAGATGTTTTAAAAGCCTATTTGCAATCAGTTTCATTATTGGTGAATTTATTTGTTTTGGGACATTCTTTTTTGTCATGTGCAATAAAAGCTAAAAATTAAATAAAAAATTAAAAATTATTTTGAAGATAATTCTCAGTCCTATACGCGGTAGTTAGCAAATAGCAATTGCGGACTTAAAGCGTTAATTATGTCACAGAGAATAATATAATTACATCACTGGTGTTTCATTTATTTTAAATAAGCTGTCGGTGAATTTCGTTTATTTGTATTCATTTGCTTATTTATATTGCAATTTAACCTATAACTTTACATTTTTGGTCCCGTTAACTAAAATAATTTTACAAATAATGAAACGAAGTGAAACTGTAATCAAACTAAATTGTTGAATGGAATTTAGGCCTCAAAGTTTTTTCTTTAATTAGAAATAACTTTGAAAATATTACAAAAGATATGGCTGAGTTTTCACAAATGAGCATTCGTTCCGACAATTCTCAATTGGTGACAAAACGAGAAGGTCCTGTGCTTAACGACCATATATCAAATTCGGCTGAGTGTGTACATATCACTCATAACAAATATATGTCAACCGAAATATTTGGTCGCAGTATTGATAGCATAAAGTTGTCGAAACGCTGTAATAATGGACAACGTCGTATAACATCGAATGTAGTTCGTAGTGTTACTGTACTAAATCGTACTATTTCTGGTGGAGTAGCAAAATCACCACAATTTACTTCAAGTCGGTCTTATAGAGTACCCGGAAACCGTGCGATTTGTCAAACAACCAGTACAAAGGTAAAATATATTGTCATTTATATTCAAGACAAGCATTTTCAATTAACCGACCATGTTGGGAGTTCTACTTAATAACAAATGCAGCCAATATTTTCGAGTCAATTTTTATAAAAAATAATATAATATACTTTAAGTTAGCTATATAAACATAAGATTACACGTCTTATTTATAGAATGCCTTAACTACTATATAACAAGTAGATATTTTTTAGGGGTATTATATGCATTATTCGTTGAGAGATGGCTTAGAATGAATTGTAGGTCCTTCCTTTTGGATGCCTCAAATTTTAGAGGAGCTCCGTGGGAAGTTGCCTCGGCGATTTTAAATTTCACGGGATTGGATATTCCGATTGTCAAAAAGTATTTTTTTTTATTATGTTGGCCTTGGATTATGATGAAACTTTCAGCTGTTTTCATAGTTGACTTTGTATGTGACAGCCACTGAAATTAGTATAACAAAGTGTGTAAAATATTAATAAAGCCGTGTGGTGAATCGGTGAAAACGCCAAGCGCTCTGAGCTTCCCAGCACGACAACCTATGAAAATATCTGTCAAACTACTGACTGCTTGACATCATTCCATGACGTTGATAATGACGTTGCATTCCTAAAGCAATTTTCTTTTTTTTTACATAAGCTTTAGTCAATAGCGACAATTTTTTAACTGTGGACAACCAATTGCTAAAAATCAACATGCTTTTTGTAACAGTTCTTCATCAGATGATTAAATGCTGACTTCAGCACCTATTAGAACAGCTTGTAATCCGCGCTTTTAGTGTAATAACATTGCGTAGCAAACACACCTACGTACGATCTGTGTTTATATCCGAATCTTACTAATTTTTTTCACTCTGCCTCTCTGCCGGTGATGCTTTCGATTTCCTGGAGCCAAATTTATTCCATTTAAGCATATCAAATCCAAATATTATTTTTTTTTTCAAATTAATCGATAACTTCCTAAAAATAAAAGAATATCAAATAAAAAAAAAAAACTATAAATACGACTTCTGCGACCCACTCTCTGAAAAAAGTATTATTTATGCTAATCTATCTAATTTGAAGTAAATCTAACAAGGACTAATTAAGTTTTTGCACCATGTTTTAATGTCCTATTTACATTTCTTCGCTTCTCTGTTTCACAGATTTCGGACATTGTAGTAGGTAAAGATGACAATGTTTCCGCCAGAGAAGCCTTGTTACGTTGGGCACGCCGCTCCACATTACGATACCCAGGAGTACGGGTTAACGACTTCACAACATCATGGAGAGATGGATTAGCATTTTCTGCGTTAGTACACCGAAACAGACCAGATTTGTTGGATTGGCGGAAAGCAAGATCGGATCGTCCACGCGAGCGCTTGGAACAAGCCTTTCATATTGTGGAAAAGGAGTACGGTGTTACTCGTCTTTTGGACCCCGAAGGTAATTACTTTTGTATACTTATAAAACCTATTAATTTCTCATTGCTTTATATACATACACATATATTTTTTTTATTAAGAGAATCGGTTATGACTTGTTTATTGGAAATGTATGTGGCAAATTTTCAAATTAAAATTTTAGGAGTTAAAATAAAAACTTGAATGTAAAAGTAATTCACAATTTGGGGATGAAAGCAATTGTCTAGAACACTTTGTCGATTAGCTGTTTTGTGCTGGTACATACATAGCTTGCATAAACCTGGTCAATTGCGTTTAATTGATCGGCATTCGTCTTTCGCGTAAAGAGGCAGATCTCAGATTTTCCCGGATATACTGAGAGTCCATGTGTCTCAGCTCAATCAATTGTGATTTCAAGTGACCTCTCTGTTTCGGTTGGGATATTTGTCAGAAGATAGTATGGCAAGCCTATGCTCATAATACACTTCCTTTAAGGTCTCTGCAGTAAGTAGTTGTGAATTGCCACGAGCGTTATAATTAAAACCAAAATATCTATTTATTTAATAGGATAATAACTTTAACAAACATATCTTTATAAAAAATATTTTGCTATTAATATCCAATAAGTTGTAGAAAATTATTTTAATTTAAAAATAAGCTAAATTTTCTAATTGCGATCGCCCTTCGGCAGGGAATGCCAACCCATCCGAGTGGATTTCTGATATGAAATAAATCTCCTCATAAAAACTATCAGCTGTATGGAGACGGCTTAGTATAAACTGTAGGTTCCTTCCTTGGTTGAAAAAACTTCAAGACGAGAGAAGATATATGCACTTAACCTTAATATATTTTTTTGTTTATTTAAAATTATCTATATTTAAAAAAATCTAATGAAATTTTAAGGAGCATTTGTTGTGCATTTATTTACCATTTTTGAAGAGACGTTATGAACATCACAATATTTTTTTTCTTAGATGTGGACACCAATGAACCCGACGAAAAGTCTCTCATCACATATATATCTTCTTTATACGATGTGTTTCCGGAGCCACCTTCAATCCATCCATTATTCGATATGGAATCCCAACGACGTGTCCATGAATATCGGGATCTTGCACATCAATTTATCTACTGGTGTCGTGAAAAAACCGCATACTTACAAGAACGGTCTATTCCGCCAACAGTAATTGAGATTAAGCGATTATTAAACGATTTACACTGTTTTCGCAATGAAGAAGTTTTGGCACGTAAAAATGAAAAGCAGAAACTAATTCAAATATATAACGAATTAGAACGCTATTTTGAAAGCGTTGGGGAAATTGATGTAGAATCCGACCTCCGTCCCGAAGCAATAGAGAAGGCCTGGTATCGAATGCAAACAGCGCTATCTGATCGAGAACTAATTTTGCAACAGGAGCTTGAAAGACTAGAGCGCCTACAGCGATTAGCCGATAAAGTTCAACGCGAAATTAAGCACGCTGATGTAAAAATATCGGAATTAGAAGTGCTTATTAACGAAGAATCTCGACGTATTGAACGTTTACATCCAATCGATGCTAAAAATGTTGTCGAATCAATCGAAATGGAAATTCGTCATTTAGAAGAACCTTTACAAAATATGCATCAGGATTGCCTTGTCCTTAATGATGGTCGCTACACTCATGGTGCTGAATTACTAGGCAAAGTAAACAAATTACACGAACGATGGGCTCATCTCCGGACCATTTTTAACTCGAATTTAGTACAAAAATTAACCGGATTGAAATATCCAGTACAAGAAACAACTGTAACGAGACAAACCCGAACCATTATCGAATCGCGACAAATTGAAACCAATTCCCACTTTCGCGATCTTCAAGAACACATTGAATGGTGCCAACTTAAGCTGGTAAGAATGCATAATTATATTATTTATTTTATATTTGCGAGTCCAAAGCCAATTTAAATCAAGTATTTTTAATTATAATGGGAAATGCCTATTAAATATATGACCGACCTTATCTCTGTGGCTGTGTGACAAGTACACTCCTTTCTTTACTTCCACGTCACAGTCAAAATTTTTAAGTTTTAGATAATTATTTATCTAAGAATTAGCAATAATAACGTCAGTCTTGAAATCCAACGCAAGAACACCCTTGCCAACAGGTTCAACTTTGACAAGGATCTCTATTCCATTGGAAAATCGGATGGAAAACCATATAACTTGACTTTGCGTCCGTAATTGGCGTGGAACCGTGAAATAAAACGACTGTTGATTCGGATGCAATAACGAAAGAGTGCCTGCGCCGATTGGAAAGAAGAATTTACATAAGGAAATATTTTAAATATTTCTTTTTAATTATTTGCTGCAATAATTTTTTTTTTTTCGAATAAATCTTTAATAGTATTAACTCTTTAATAATCCACAGGACTAACTTGAATATATATTATAATTTTAGAAACAATTGCATGCGGCAGATTATGGTTCAGATCTTCCCTCTGTTAAAGAAGAATTTATTCGTCAGCAAGAAGAACATAAAGTAATTGATCAATTCCACAGCAACATTTTAAATGATGAACGCCAGCAAACGAAGTTTTCAGGAGACGAGTTGAGGCTCTATCAACAACGTCTGAATCATTTGCAAAAATTGTACGCGGAACTTCTAAGTACTTCCACAAAACGACTTTCGGACCTTGATTCGCTTCAAAACTTTTTGGTTGAGGCATCCTCAGAATTGCAATGGCTTAACGAGAAAGAGCTTATTGAAATTACCAGAGACTGGACGGATAAACACTTAGATTTGACCTCGGTGCATCGCTATTATGAGGTAAATTAGATTGAAATAAAAGCGTATGTAATTTACTTTCTTTTTCATACCAAATTATGCAAGCATATGTTTGGATGTGGAAATGAGGTAAGAATATACAAATATCCCTATCCTTTGACATAACGTCCACATGTTTTCATCACTTTAATGTTTGATTGCTTTTCTAACTAAAACTTGCTTACGGCGTGTGTAAGCGAGTCGGGGTGAATATTAAATATATTCAATTGGGCACCAGGCTCGTATATAAATTGGGCGGAACCCAAAGGTCTTAACCCGATGTCCGAATGGCATCGGAGGCTCCGCAGCCGTCCATCGCAACAGGGATGGGAATACGCTGAAATATGCGATCGCAAATCTGTGTCAAAAAAGATAACCATTTTTTCGTATCATTTCGCTCACCGCAAGAGTAGGCTGTAACAAATTATCGTGATTTTTGTATGTTGAAACCCGTTCGACCATTTTCATTTGATGTACTATTTTGTCTCAATTATTAAGTCTTTATGAAATCGGTCTGAAGTTTATTGAATTGGATTTTACACAAAAGCCGTAAGCGCCAAGCTCGTTCTCCACTTTTAGAGTAGACAAAATTTCTTGGCTTTATTGGTAAAGTTATATTTCAAAATTTGCTGAAGTCATCTCGATAATTTTATACTATTACAATCCATAAAAACTTTCAATCATATAGTACAGAACAGCTATGACACAAAAGGTTTTAAATTATGTTGTAAATAACTGTTTCGGCAAAGCTTGATTGTTGTAAAAATTTATAGTTTTAAATTGATTTTTCGATTAAAAAAATTTACCTTTCAGAATTTAATGACAGAGTTAGAAAAACGGGAAATACATTTTGCCAGTATACTTGATCGTGGGGAAGCACTTCTCAACCAACAACACCCTGCTTCTAAATGTATTGAAGCGCACTTAACCGTTTTACAGCAACAATGGGCATGGCTTTTGCAATTAACTCTATGCCTAGAGGTTCACCTTAAACATTCTACAGAGTACCACCAATTCTTTACCGAAATAAAAGACGCCGAACAATGGCTTAGCAAACGGGATGAGATACTAAATAGTAAATACTCCCAGTCCGACTTTAGCTTGGATCAAGGTGAAAATCTTTTACGTGGAATGCAGGATTTGCGGGAAGAGTTAAATAATTTTGGTGAAACTGTTTCTAACCTTCAACAGCGTGCTCTACTTATTATACCATTGAGCAAACGTCGTCAACCAGTCAGCAGCCCATATACAATTCAAGCTATTTGTGGATATAAACAGCAAGGCCACATTCAAATAGAGAAAGGAGAAAAATGTATGTTATTGGATAATTCTGGGCGCGTTAAATGGAGAATACGTTCATCTGCTGGTCAGGAAGCCTCTATTCCAAGTGCCTGTTTGCTAATACCGCCACCAGATCAAGAAGCGGTTGATGCCGCTGAGCGACTAAAACGATTATTTGATCGTACAGTTAATTTATGGCAAAAGAAGCATTTGAGACTTCGGCAAAATATGATTTTTGCCACGATTCGGGTAGTAAAAAGCTGGGACTTCGATCAATTCTTAGCTATGGGCTCAGATCAGCGGTCCGCTATACGAAGAGCGTTAAATGAGGATGCTGAAAAGTTGCTTAGCGAAGGTGACTCGAATGATCCACAATTGAGACGTTTGAGGCGAGAAATGGATGAAGTAAATCGCTTGTTTGATGAGTTTGAAAAACGAGCTAATGCAGAAGGTAAGTCACAAGTAATACGTACAAAAACACTATTTATTATTTTTATTTATTTATTTATTTTTATTTATTTATTGAAAATATCATGACAGCAAGTCCAAAATGCTCTTGCTACATAGCGTTTCCGTCATATTTGCGGGGGACTTTTTTTAATATTGATTGCTTTTTTATTCTACAATGTTTTAAAGCTTATCTTCTATATCTTTGAAATTTGTATAGAGTGTTTGAGACAATAAAACCAAAACAATCCAAACCTTGTGCTTGATAGGAACACAATGTCTAAAAAGAAAAGGATAGTATTAAAAACCAACTGCATATATAATAGAAAAGCTATAATTGAATATATATTAGCTATGGCGAACAATATTTGTGTGAGGCTTTTGCGCGATGGACTTCAATTTGGTTGAAATTCGGCATATGGTAGGAATCGAAGATATGGTCGTGGCAAAAACAGCGTAAATACTGAAGATAGCCCTTTAATATAGGCCAAACCTTGGTTAATATTTAACTATTTAAAGCTGATGCATAGGGCTACATGTCTGCTTCATCTGATTTAAAAATTTGTATATCAAATTTTTTTAACCACATTCAACGAAAAAAGAAAATGAATGAATACATATAAAATTAATAATTCTCCGATATTTAATATCAGTTTTGACATGAATTTAAACCGTATGCCGAATTTAAACCAATAAAAGACCCAAAGTCAGCATTTTTGTTGCGTTTAATAAGGAATGACCATATATATAATATATATTGAGATGACCTCATGAATTACGTAAATCCAAAAGTAATTGGAAATAAAAAAAATTGTTTGACATTGCTAAATGGAATTTCTAAAATAATTTGAGTAATTAAAATTAAAATTTAATACGTATAAAGTTGTGCTGGTAAAAAATAAAGGGCATAATTGAATAAACTGAATAAATGCTGTCGTATAGCCATAAATGTATAAAGGCGAAAACATATCCCAAATACGGAGTTAGTTTATAATTGCCATCTAAATTAAAGTGGACATTTCAAAACGTTGCATAGCGCCTTTCAGTTTTTATTGTATTAGATAAACTGTTCGAGATAACTTGTGTGACAGTCTCTCTTTTTCTGATTTATTTATTTGTTTAGTTATTTTACTAAAATTTTTGCAAAAATATTTTTTTTAAACTACATAAACACCAATAGTTTGAAAAAACGTGAATGTCGTCAAGCATTTTGTTCTAAGCCGAAAATATCGAGGTTTTACTGTCAACATAAAGCTTTTTTTACTTACATATATGTATGTATTTTTAAAAATACTTATTAATAATTTACATTTACTAATATTTCAGAGGAAAGTAAACAAGCCAGCAGAATTTTCACCGAAGAATGTATAAATATGAAGTCCAAGTTAGAAGATATGGCTCGTGAACTAGATCAGATTATATTAGCACCTTTGCCAAGGGATTTAGATTCCATTGAACATGTACAAGAAATTCACAAAGATTATGAATATCGTCTGAAGCAACTTGATCCTGAAATACAACATCTTCAAACATCGTTTAGAAACATTCCACTGAAAACACCTGCCTTGAAAAAGAGCCTTGATAATTTGATAGAACTTTGGAATGAGTTACATACCCAAAGCGATTTACATAAAGACCGTTTGAAATTATTGGAGATGTCTCTGGTGGGATTAGAGGAGAATGAAAACTTAATTTCTGACATTGAAAGTAAACTGGCATCCCATTCGGTATTACCTTCTTCTGCAGAAGGACTTCAGAGAATTTATAATCAATTGACTGATATACAAGATCAAATTACACATCATCAACCTCAAATAGATAAAATGAATGACGCGGCTGATCAATTAGGTCGTATGGGTGTTCCAACCAAAGTTTTGGGAGATTTAAAAAGTCTTCACACAAATGTTGGTAGATTAAATACACGTTGGGTTACTATATGTAACACTATAGCTGAGAGGTAATTTTGAATTTGTATTTATACGTGTATACATATATTTTTCAAAAATTAAATGAACTTGTATTTTTATTATAAGGATGCGATCATGTGAGTCCGCGATCGGATTACTAAAAAATCTGCAATCCAGCATACAAATTGAAGAATCCTGGGTGGATGGCCAAACAGAGAAATTATCTGCACTACCAACAGCTACATCAGCTTATGAATTGGATGTGAGTATTCGTTTAACAATTTATATGGTATATATACATAATATGCGATTAACATCGCTATTCACAATAAATAACATGTTTTGAATCTTACATGTATACGCACTATATGTACCATTATGTGTACGTATACATTTTGCTGTCGAAGAGGCATGATCGAAAAAAAGTAAAATTATGAAGTATTGAGTAGGTTGGTTCTGTAGGAAGCTTAGTAAAAATATTAATTAATTCGATATCTTTTATAGATCTCCTTTTGTAATTTCGGGAGACTGGGAGGATTTAAAAATAGCTGATATACACCACAAAAGTTGCTAGGTTTATAATTTAAATTTTTTGGTTGAAGTTTTATCGTTATTTAGTATCTAGGAGTTTTCTATTCTATCGAGTTGATTTAGATGACTGAAATAGATTTTGTCTTAAATTAATATCTTCGGAACCAACCCAGAATCAAAGTCTTAAAAGGTGTTTTCGTTGTTTTTGTGCGCATGTCTAGCTATATTTTTTTCATTTGTATTACATAAACGTTTGGGAACAAAACGCATTTTAGACTAATTATAGACTACAAAATTACTTGTCATAAATTTTTTTATTCTGCAAATGCGCTTGTCTACATACATATGAACACACTTCAATAAACTTGTTATAAGTCCAGTATTTATTATATTCGTTATGAATATTTTCATTGCGAGTATACAAAAAAGGAGAGCATACTTTAATTAAATTAGCTTTTCTGTAGTTAGTTTGTGTAGTCTTCGTAATGTAAAGTATTACTTTGTATACATTTAACACTGTATGAAAATGTTTAGTTTTTGGCATTAACAATGTAATTTGGTGTGAGAAAATATTGTGTATAGATATGTATGTAATGTATTCTTTTATACTTATGTACATATGTAAGTATATAAAATAAATATTATGAAGAAAATGTTCTTCCCTTACAATTAGACAGTCCCACATACATATGTAAATAAGTATACAAATTATGAGTGTATTTTGGCTATTCATAGAATTGTAGAATTGTATTTGTAGTTTGTGAAAGTAAAGCTTTTCCGAGATAACAATTGCGTAAATGTCCTTAACAAGGCTTATCTAGTCACAATTATCTTTTTGTCCGTATTCATATTCGCGGAAATATTTCTCCTTCAACTTTCCCTGTTAAATTACTGTACTCAGACTCATTATATATTAATTTCAAAATTATATGTATGTATGTTATGTCTTATTATTACTCATATTGCTTAGGACAAGAGCTTTTTCTATAAAGAACATACATATCATATAATATAAGTATATTCTTTTAAAATAACTGGAGAAAAATGTTTGTCGATACCCACATCTACTCTGTCGTAGAATTTGTCGTATTCATTACTTTTGAGAGATCTAAGCCTTTTTTATGTGCACAATTGTTAGACTCAAAGGAATTTGAGTCAGGTTCCCAGCCGGATTTGAAAATCGAATATTCCATGAGCCAAATTGTAAACTGTGGCATTTGCAAAGTATTTTAATAACAATTTGATTAATTTTTTCATTGAACTTTGATCAAATTAAATTTTTTTATTATTTTCCGCAAATATCTGGTATATGTTAGAGTAATGAAGATTGTGTAGAACTGAATTTAATATTTCCGACTCTTATTAAACTAGAGCACATGGAAATGAAAATTGATTATTAATTTTTTAACTGTTTAATTTCCAATTGTTGATATGAATTTCTAATAAAACTCTCTTTTGAAGCTATGTTATGTAAATGTTTAGAATTATACATTGCGAATTTGAATTTACAAATTAGGATATCTATTGTGAATAATAAAGTGGCAAAAAGAGATAACGGCATTTCTCATCCAATACATCAATTTTGATTACATTTTATAGCCAAGTAGGGCGCGTATATTTTCTATATGTATGTATATATAATACACATATATACATACGTAGACTTAAATACAATTCTTATATATGAAACCCACCGAGATTGATGATATACAATACATATAAAAAATTGGCATCGTAAAGATGTGGTTAAAATAAAATAAAAATCATTTAAAACATCATATTTAAGAAAATCTGAAATTGCAAATAATTCAATTGTATAAATACCGCACCAATTAATCATCAAATTAACAATTACAAAATCAACCAGAAATTATTGGATGCCGCAGTTGAAAGGAAGCCGAAAATCGAAAATGTGAACTTGGCCGGAGGACGTATAATACGCGAAGCAAAGGTAATATATGTATATGAATATATTTGCCTTTTTTATTTGAATGTAACATTTGTGTTCCATAAACAAGCATTCAATTGATGATTAAAAATGGCAGACATACGGTTTTTCTTCTCATGTTAAGCTTTTGGAAAGACCTACGATGTTGCAAGTTAATGCACTGTTGCTATTTAAATAATTTTTTTTTTTTAAATATTTTATAACAATTATTCGGCTATTACAATGCCACTAATTTTACCAGTCAAAATAAATGAGTGAATTTACAAGGGATGTTTAATCGAACAAAATCAGAACTAATCTTGTACAAGATTGGGTAAAAAATAACAGTTTACTAATATTTTGCAATACTTTCGGTTAATGGTATACTTACTTAATTCAATAATCTCAAATTTGTAATAACTTTTTAATAATGTAAAAGGAGGCAAAAAATAGCAACTCACATGTGCAAATATTATTATACAATTAGCAAAAACTACGTGACCAATTCCATTGTCTTCAAGTGTAAATTGATGAGAGAGGAACAAATATAATTAAGGCAATTTTAGGTGTAACGATATTTATATAATAATTAAATTCAGGTTATAAACATGATAAACAAAGTAATTCGGTGAGTGAGCCTTTAACTCAAGGCAAATATGTTTCACTTACCAGATGAAAGCGAAATATGTTAACATAACAGTGATCAAATGTAGTGCCTTTCATCTGAACCAACTTTTGAATTCACTTCTGGTGGTATCAATAGTCCTCAAACAAAAGTTGTGTTAGACTTAGGTTGTCAAATGCAACTAAACTTCATTTTTCTTCTGGTTTGGCATTATTTCTGCCAAGGACGCACTACTTATGTGCAGTTTTACTAGATAATAGTAATACCAAGAAATTGGTATTAAAAAGTGCCACACAATCATTCCAGCTCTAGCATTCGAATACCTCTTGCAAAACGAGAGAAATCTCTTACCGGTTAGGTCTGCGAACTTTAGTCGTTATAAGCGAGGTGTGTGGGAACGATTCGAAGCTCAATTCATGTAGTTTCACTATAGTTTTGACTAACTTGTTGTCGAAATAAAAATTTTTCTTACGATCGTTTCTTTTCCAATTTCGGCCATCAAACACTCCATGGCAATTTCTCAAGATAGTCGACGAACATTAAAACACATCCAACCGATTGTTAAGCTGCCGAGCGGTTTGCCAAGGCTCACCAGTTGCTACCAATTAGATGACCATCGCTTTGATTTCGGAGTTAAGTGAATATGAATTCAAATATTTCTTCCATTGTCACATGGCGGCGCAAAAATTATAATATGTTATACTTAAACGTGGCTTCTCATAATCATTGACACATTTTTGCTTTTGGTCCACAGTGAGCGCGTAATCCACTTTGAAGAGAGGTTTCTCAGGCTCATACAAAAAACCAACGCGATCTTTTGATATCTTTACGATGTCAGCTAACTCGCTCAACTACATTTTCTATCGGTTTAGTGATTTTTTCGATGTTTTCTGGTCGTTAGGATTTTAATGTTATAAAACTTCGACTGTATTTTTTGAACGTTAGTGCTAACTGAAAAAGCTGCGAAGACAATAGAACCAGCACCATCATTTTTTAGACCCGCAATTTTCAGCCGATCTTATCTCTCCTTTGACTTACGTGATAAATTCTTTAAAAATATAAATTATGTCTACGCTAACGAACACAACTTAATAAAAATATTTTTTTCTCTTTTACATGTGAAAGTGTGCTTTATCATAATTATAGTCGACTTAGACAATTCGACATTTTTACTTATTTATTTTTACCGAGAAGGTCGTCATATCGCTTTTATTGATTTAATTTAAATTAAAAATGGTTATTTAGATCATTGGTTGAATAAAGCAATAAAAGTTTTCAATAAAACTTTTAATATGGAAGAACCCATAAACATTAGAGGTCTTTAAGTCGAGTGGCTTGAGAGAAATTGCTTGTTTTCACACCCTCTGTATGATTTCTGGCACCGTCTTGTTGAAACCACATATCACTGATGTCCAATTTATGCAACATGAATCTGTTGCCCAATTCCCCGTAACGTGACGATCATTTTCATCGACGAAAAAAAACGGACCAATGACGCCACCGACATGATATCCGCACCAAACAGAGATTTTTTCTAGATGAAGCGATGTTTAATGAAGCACATTAGGGTTCTCACCGGTCTAGTAATGCATATTTTGCTTTTTCACGAAGCCGTTTAAGCAGAAATGTGCTTCATCACAGAAGAATATTTTGGGATAAAAGTCTTCATTTGCTTCAATTGTGTCCAGAGCCCAATCAAGTTGGTGTGCGCCAAATTCTTTATGCAAAATTCGTCATAATGTGGTCTGCGGAAGTCCCAGCTCTTCAGAACGCCGTGGAATTGACTGTTTTGGCTCGTTTGTGGCGGACGCTTTTACCGCAGCGACAGTCTCCACACTTCGGGCAAAAAGTAGTCTCACTTGCACTGGAACATCAGTTAAAGAATATTTTGACTCAAATTAAACTATGAATTGCTTGACGTGATATTCAGATTATGATTTCGATCCATAACTTATATAAAATATAAGATAAAAATATGAATATCGTTATGCCTAAAATTAAATTAGTTTTTGCTCAAGCACCTTCGAGAAACTTCTAGACTACGTTTCTTTTATGGGTATTTAACATAATAAATACATATACAATATATATTCAGAAGAAAGCTAAAGAACGAACGGATTGCCATTAAATTGAGAAAGTGTTTTTCTTAATTCATAAAATATTTTTTTTCTATTAATTTCAGTTAGGGCCTAGAAGCTAATGGTTATTCTCTATTGCACAAAAATAGAGTAGCACAATTTTTTGAAAAGAAATAGCAAAGCTCACTGCTAACAGTTAAACTCTCACACGAGCGTTAAATATATTTTAAATGCCTCAGTCGAGAACTTCTTTGTAAATAATATTAGACTTTGTATATTCAAAACTATATATTTAATTAAACTACTAATATTGATATGCTAATATTAATTCTAACATATAACTCCAATTTAATTCGTAAAACACAAATATCCACAATAAAACAATTATGTAAAATAACAAAAACTGCCAAATGCGGTAAAAACTGGAATTAAAAAATCAGATATATGATGGTAAATGCAAACGCTTCCTGGATTGGATATTGGAAGTATGTCCTTCATTTTTACCTCCTCGTAACGATCTTCTATCAGGAAACAACGATCCAGGCACTGCGGAATACTACGGTCAGCGCTTGGCCACATTAAACACAAAATACAATAATTTATTGGAGTTACTGGGTCAACGTTTAAGAACTGCTGCGGAGGTGAATGGCATGAATAATTCGGTAAGTTCTCAGTAATTCATAAACAAAAGAATCGATTATATTTACCGGAATTCACTTAAATTTTGTGCACATTTTTAAAGTTCTATTGGAAAAAAAATATAAAGATAACAAGTAGAGCTGAAAATGACATTACAAGATTATTTAATATGTTGTTAAAATACTTTTAATTTACGTGCGCAGCTGCTGTACACCATTTCAAAGACATTTATTTGCAATAAAGTATACACCAATACCGGTTATATAATATTTTCATACGCTTCTTAAACAATCCCAATATGGAAGCTAACTGCTTGCGTAGGTATACCGCAATGAAAGCGAAACATTGAAAATTTAAATTTTTTGAATATGAAATGAGTTTGTGAAGGTTATTTTTACTATTCGGTTGTTAAGCGGTTAAGTTGAATATATTCCAAATAGACATGTTGGTCAAAACCTTACATGTACAAAAATGTCATATCTATGAGATGACATATAGTCTCATAAAGTTATAAATCATAACTAAAAATGGTAAAAAAAAAAAATTGGTATGAGCCCTTTATTATATAGTAATTTGTTGTGATAAACCAACTATTATTCAGCCGATTGATACGAAAGCAAACGAACATATAGTGATCGGAGTTGTAATTCTGTTAACAAACAAAGTTATTTACCTAGTGTAAAAGTTTATAATTTTACGATGTTTTATGACATCTTGTGACTCCCCTAATCATTTTGATAGTCAAGGTGCATTTTGAGTTGAATATACTATATACGTTTATATTGTAGAAAATAATCAAAACTTTTAAAATATAAAGTTTGTGATGAAATTAAATATATTTAAATCACATCTCGAAAAAGTATAAATAAGCCGGAAATTGTTACAAATACCCATATCTAAAAGCTTTTCATTATATGAAAATATATCAACGTGCAAATACTTCTGTGTGTAGGTGTCAAGTCTTCGATTGTAAAGCTTTTAAATAGATTATGACTCGTAAACAATAACAATAACTTACACGAACACGAAATAACCCTGCAGGAAAGATACTACTTGTAAACTAGATGTTTACTAGGTTTGTGATTCTTCACTAACTAGTTCACCTCTCATCTCTTTTCCATGTTAGCGACTGGAAATGTTAGTATGGCGGTAGCTAACAATTAATTAATTTTTGTACCACAATTGAAAAAGAAATACAACACACCAGTGGTGATGACAAGAATTGTAGTCATTTCCGTTCCGAATATTTACAGACCAGTTGAGCTTTTCACTGCAGGGAAGTAAGATTTCTACATATGTGCATATATATAGACTATTGCCAGCCGCGGTAGCCGAGTGTTTAGCATTGCGTACTACCATTCGTACCAACATCAGAAATTATAGAAAATTAATTAAAAAATTATGTTGAATTTTCCAACTGGGACTCACAGTCCATTGGTTGGAAAAACATCAAGATGCAAAAACCACAAATTGGAGAAGAAGCTCGGCCGAAAATCACGATGTCGGTAACAAAGCGCCAATTATATATATACACATATTCATAGTGAGCCATAGTGATACGCACAGATATTACTTTCATTGTGTGGGTATCGAGAGCTTTCGACAGCTTTGCTTTGGAGTAAATATGCATGCTTACATATACATATATACATTTGTGCTTAGAGCGTTTACAAAGCCGAAACACATCAACAACTCACAAGCATAAAAAAATTACAAAAATTCTTTAGCTAAAATAAGCATTCAAAGTGTGCATAATCTAATCTTCACATTATTGTAAATGTCAAATTGTCGTTAATAATAATAATAATTTGTGCCCCACCGTGTGCCCTTGTTTTAGACTGTGTTCCTCCTAGTGCAGATAATATCGCAATGTATGTGTGCTTTTTTATGATGTATTTCTAACAATAATATTACCTAGAGCTTTCATATTGCCCATAGCTTTCGCTTTCAAGCAGCTAACTGAGAACATTGAAATGTCAAATTTATTTGTGTGGTGCTGATGGCTTCAGTATTCTTGAAGTATGGCAACATTTCTATGTTGTTAAAAGCTTTCGACAAAACATATTTGCTAAAAAAAAAAAGGCTTTTCAGTAACACAAACGTCGTGTTGGAGTGACGACGACTATTCGCTTAGCCTTTAAATTTTTGTTGCTTCAATTTTAGTTCCTCCAATAATATATGAAACACGCGTCCTGTTGTCCGCAGTAATTTTACGAAATGAAAAATCTCTTTCCTATGTAAATAAGTTCAAAATTGTGTACCACGTTGTTTAATTGAAACGAATGCGAAAAAATGAGTTTGTTAATTTGTTGAACGTGTTTAATAGATGGCTATAGTTATAATATAGTATAAACTAATGTTCGGTTTTTGTAGCTGTGTTATTCAATAATAAATAATTAGTTGGTGATGTCATTCGTATGGCTGTATCAACAACGACGTCATCGTACATATTAATCCAAATTTGCATTCTACTTCTTTAGCAATAACAAGTTGTTAAAATATTCATACGGATTTAATTTTCGTAAAGTATGGATGTATGTATGTTTATTTGTCCCCAAACAAGTAAATTACTTCTTGAGCTGTCTTCGTTGCGTTTCCAAAATCGAGAAAACAAACACAAACAATTCAGAATTACTAAAGGGCGGCGGTCACAGAAATTCTATTTTTTACATTCAAAAACATTCAAAACGCTTTTTTACCAATGATCTTTTTTGGTTATCGGCACTAACTGTGGGATAAGAGGTATTTTAGGAATGCCCAGAGTTTTTCTTAAAATTTTTCAGTACAAATGTAAATTGAGAAGATATTATAGTCTCATACGTTTCGTTGTTATTTTTCTTTATGATGAATGTGAATATGGTGTAGATGTGTTCTGCGAAGTTTTCGCAATCGCTTCGTTTTTGAACATGTCATCAGCGATGGAGCAATTCACGACTATTTTATTTATATATAGGCGGCCGGAATAACCCAGTGAATAGCATTGCATTTTACCATTTAAAAGGCCAGGGTTCGAAGCTTTATTCGACAGGCATCCAAAATTATAGAAATTTCATTTTCTAATTGCGGTCGCTCCCCCTCTTCGGCAAGGAAATAAAAACTCCGTTCGGAGGCGTCTTAGAACAAGTGGACCACGTTCGAAAATCGCTTCAGTGGTTACAAGGCGCCAATGCTGCTGCTAAAACAAATATAGAACAATTTGTTTTCCTTTTTTTTTTTTTCAAATATGTTTTGCCAACTCTAGTGATTTTGTTTTATTTTATAGTTGTTATGAAATGATGTGATCTAAAAGAGCAAGAAATATATATAAATCGGAAAATACATATTTTTGTACAAAAATAAAAACGATTTGCCGTAATTTGTAAATAAAAATGAACTTTTGGATATATAACCGAATTTGAGCTTAAACAAAAAAGCATCCAGTTAAGAATCATGAATGATATTGAATATAATTTCGCATTTGAATTCCAGGTAAACATGATCGAATAGTCCATCCTATCATAAAAATTAGCATGTGTATTAAAATTTTTTACTGTTATTTTAGCAATATGCTGAAAGTGTTCAAAATCCGCTCAAAGTGTTCAGAAGTGATACCCTTCATAAAAATATAACGGCAGAAGATGAATACAAATCCAATCTCGTTAATAGCGATATTCACATACCACAGTAAGTATTTCTTCTTTTCATTGTACAGCTTAGAAGATTTCGTAAAGTTATAGACTTACATAATTAAAAGTTTGAAATAATAAATATGTAACACTAAATTTTCGTTAAGACTTTCGTGAACAGAAGTAGGATGTAGACGCCTAATCTGGAATTCCTGCAACATTCGTTTTGCATTCTTAGCTTTTAAAGGAATGTGAGAGCATTAGTTCGCTCTTTGCTCATAGTGGATTTTTACCATTTTCATAATATTTTGATTTGGCCATATCTCGTCAATGGTAAGGAATATTGTTTGAGTATCTGAACAAAATTGTTGGTATTATTGAATAAATGATAACCAACCTACTTTGCCTATATTTATGATAAATTGATTCTCGGCAAGGATGGTTCACCATCCTTACCTTGCTCATCCAACTCTTGAGGCAATTGTTGCAAAAATTCATCAAGGTTGAAGGTGCAATTTCTATATCATGGATCCGCCGACTTTTTCGTAGTAATGCAACAGTTCGTCAAATCTTCTCTAGATCTTATTTGAATATTCACGATTGTTCCCCTCAATAGCTGTTCATAAATCCAACCATGCTTCGAGATAAATGTCTACCAGTAAATGTATGATGTCTTGGCTTTGCATTATTTTCGTATATTCGGTTCTTGTAGTACACCTTTTCAAAATGGAAAAATATAATTTTCAAAAAATTCATTAGTTATGCAGGAAAGAAAATTATTAGACAATAGATTGATTTGATTAGCAATTTATACTTTTATTTTTCATTTGCTCAGTTTTGAAGAGATGACTCGCAAGTAATGATAGGCGCTTTCCACATGTTTGGAGGTGGTGTGAAGAGGTGGTACCCATATTACTTTGGTGTCTTTTTATCAATCTTAAATATTGTTGGTATATGTCAGATCTTTTTCACCAATCTTTTTTTGATAGTGGTTCCTTGTAATAAGTTTACAGTCTTCAAGTTATATCAAATGTTCTATTTTTATTCTTCATATTTCACCCAATTGGAATTTGCAAGAGCACAGCCTTCAAACTTGTTAATGAATCGTCAATTAATAATCTCCATTCATCGTCGTTGTATTCCATTCCCAATTTACGTACTAAACCGGAGATATCATCGCAGTAAGTGAAGGTATTTTCATTGTTAAGGGTATAACATTTCTGGAAATCAAAATGTGGTGAAAAATTCCGCATTCCGTTCCAATTTCGCCACAATGTAGTATATTTCGTTTTGTGTGAGCGGTTGTGGTGCATTTTAAACATTGGATTCCCAGCAGTTCCTTCTTGTTCGGATGTCTTTCTCGAAAGCTTGGCGTTATTTTGCAGCTACGTAGTAAAAAGACATATCTTTTTTTTAAACTTGTCCATCTTCTATCCACAGATTGGTATAACAATTTTGCAGATCGTATTCAGCGTATAATCTTTATCTGTCAAATATGGTTCATCGAAAGAAAAACGATATGTTATTTTGAATTTCTTGATGAACAAGTTTCTTCTTTCCTGTATTTTACATATTGAAAATATGAATGTTTTTCTGCTTTTAAAAGTGTTGTTCACACCGAATTATTGTTGTCTTGTTACACCAAACCATGCTTAATAAACCAACGCTCTCAGATTCTTATATGAACTAATAATGTAAAACGAATGATGTATCTACTTTCAACTTCTGATCACGAGGGCCCGAAAAATTTTGCACTTGCTCATTGCCAGTAGTACACCATGTGTGTCTGAAAACTAAGCTAAAAATTAGTAACGAAAGAGCACAGTTTTGACTTTAATGTTGTTTTAAGAGAAAGCTGCCAATTCATGCCAGGAAAATTTCAGGCAGTATAAACTAGCAATTATGAAAAACAGCTGATTTGTTATCATATTACTGAATTTTCGTCAATAAACTACAATAAAATTTATGTAAAATGAAAATTATAGTAATTATTTAATATGAATGATATACTAAGACAATTAGTGCACAAACATAAATTTAATGACATCAACTCTTCAATTAAATAGTTAAGGTACTCGTTCAATGAAATCTTTGAAAAGAAATACATTGAAAAGATTACACCTAAAGTTCATTTTTAATATTTTTTCTTTACTTAGGTCCAGCACTAATGGCGCAGATAAAAATGTATCGACTACAATAATCAACATCGAATCTCGCGGCTTCAAAAGAGAAAAAAAAAGCAGCGATGTAGAGGAAAATCAGTTATTAAGCAATAATCTTCTCGATATTGCTGGCATCCGAGATCCACTAACGGGGGAAAGTATTACTATAAGACAAGCCATTTCGATGCGAATTTTGGACGTACGTTCAGGTGAACTGATTTTAAATGATAAACATATACCCTTGGAAACAGCTGCAGAACAAGGATTGATTGATGCAAAATTATCACAATATTTGTTAAAACCATGCGCTGTAAAAGACTCTAGAGGTAGAGAACTTTCATTATTAGAAGTCATTCAGAGCGAAATTACTGAAGCAGAATCAGGATTCGAATCTTCAGAAAAACGTATTAAGATAAATACTAATCTTGAGGAAAATAAAACTATCGAGGCTCTATCTAAAGCGACCTCCAGCGTTGCACCTAATCTATGCGAGCTAAAAAAATCCTTAAGTTTACCTGAAGCGTATAATCAAGGATATATGATAAAACATGAGTCTGTAACGATAAAGTCGAGTGCATTATGCTTAAGCGACGCCATTGCTCATGGTCTTGTTGACTCCGCTGGTTGGATATCGGACCGTAATTCTGGTGAAAAATTCAAACTTGACTCGGCTGTAGCAAATCAATTAATTGATCCCAATATTGTTGAAGTGGTAGATGCAAAAAATGATAGAAAGATTTCTGTTAGTGATGCACTGACTCTTGGTATTCTAAATTTTAAAACTGGACGTTACGTTAACGAAGCTACAAAAGAAAAGTTAACATTTATTGAGGCTAAAAACCGGAAACTCATTGTTAAGCCCTATACATTGAAAGATATTGTTGATTTAAATTTACTAGATAATAGCGAAAAAATTATTAGTCCAATGCGCCGAAGTAAGTTAGATCTAATTCAAGCAATTGAGTTCGGAGTTTTAGATAAAAATAATTTAAAATGTATTAATAAAGTTAAAGGAAAATTAGTTACTTTGCAAGAGGCAATAGACGATGGAATCATATTACCAAGAGAATTTAAATATCGTGATTTTATGACTGGAGAGGTGATGACTATACCAGAGGCAGTAGAACGTGGTCTTATAAGTTCGGTTTCACAAAAATCAATATTTAATATAGATGGTTTTAAAGATTTGAGAAGTAATGATTTTGTCAGTTTCAATATGGCCTTATCCCGTGATATTTTATGTAAAAAGGGTCCCAGTTTTGTTTTAGAGGTTAGTAAAAATGAGTATTTACCTTTAGAAATAGCTGTGAAAAAGAATATGGCACGACAAGAAGTTTATGAAATGTTTACTAAAGGTATCGGTGTACATGACGCTAGTGGGAATGAATTAACGGTTCTTGATTTATGCTATCATAGTTTAATTGATCCAAAAACTGGATACTTACTAGACCCAAAGACTGGAAAAAACGTGCCTCTTGATATAGCAATCGAGAAGAAATTTATTTCGCCAGAAGGTGCTTTATTTCTAAGTAGTTTATTAAATATAACACTTACCACAGAGACAGTTACTCGGACAGTTAATCGGTATGTGTCAATTCAAACTACTACTCAAGAAACCCAGCAGAAAATCCTAACATTTGCGGATGCAATAAGTCGAGGTTTAATTGATGAAGACCGTCAGTTATATAAGGATCATAAAACAGGAAACGTTTATTCTGTACAACAAGCCCTTTCTTATGGTCTTTTGATTCCAGACTCTGATAAAAATCCAAATGCTAATACCTCAAGTAAATTAAATATTATACCAAACAAAAAATATTTACCAGAAAGTGGATGTGACGAAAAGGAAATATTAACCGATTCTAGTATTTCTTTAAGAAAGGAAATTTATATAGAAACGAAAGGTGAAGGAAATATTACTGAAAAAGAAAGCTATTATGAGAATAACCGAAATCAAGATAATAAAACTCAGAGCGTTCTGAAAAAAGATAAACTAAGTTTAGAAAATGTTCCTACCAATAATACTATGATCCAAAATATTTCATTATTAGGAGGTGAAACGAATAACTCAACTGAAATGGACATGGACGTAAGCTGGCGCGAAGATGAAAGTCCTGATCCTGTGCAAATTGAGCCAGGAAAAATATATGATCCATCCACAATGCTGGTAATTTTTACTGAAACTGGTCAATCGAAAAATATATTCGAGGCAGCAAGGGAAGGAGATATAAATGAAAATTTAATTAAAATCGTGGATCCTAGTACAAATAACGACATTTCTATTACAGAAGCCATAAATCGTAAGGTATATGACCCTGTTAAAGATATGATTTTGACGAAATGTGGAGAACCAAAACTTGTTAGTGACGCTATAAAGATTGGATTAATAAAAATTGCTGGCACACCACTTGTGCCAGTTGAGGAAGCTTTGCAAATTATACGATTCGTTACTGATCCTAGGACTGGTGAAAGTATACCTGTTGAGGTGGCCTACGAGCGCGGTATTATATCCCAAAGTGAAATAAATAGCTCTTCAGTAACATTGCAAAAAATGAGAAAAATTATTTTGAAGCCTATTGATGCTTTAGAAAAAGGAATAATTGATGCGGAAACCAAAGATATACTTGAGAGTTTGTCTAATAATGATGGTTTATCAATAAGAAAAGCTCTAGATATGGGCCTTATAGACGGGCAAAAAGGCAATATATTAGACATACAAAGAAACCGAATATTAAATATAAATAAGGCTGTAGAAACTGAAATAATTGATCCAGAATCAAGCAATCATCTATTAATACCGTTAGCTAAAAGCTTATCAATACCAAAATTGCTAGAACAAGGACTTATTGATATGGATAGTCAAAAAATAATTCATCCAGAGAACGGTTACCTACTCAGCCTTAATGAAGCTATCATTTGTGATATTCTTGATCCACATTCTGTGATCCTAAAACCAAATAATTGTACTCTCCAGGAAGGTTTAAATGATGGTATAGTTGATGGTATGAACTCTACTTTTAAAGTTGGTAATAAAGTTCTCAGCCTAAGTGAAGCTGTTGGAGAAGGAATATTTGATTTGAACTATGGCAAAAGTACACCAAATACGTTGCCACCTGTGGCCATGACATTTCCTGTTGCAATTGAAAGAAGACTACTCATTTCAAATAAAAATGAAATATCACATCCATATACAGCTCAAAAAATGACAATAAAGGAAGCTTTAGATAGTAATTTCATTATGTGTATTCCTTACCCTCCAAGAGTAGATGCAATCGAAGTAGAACAAGCTTTAAATGAAGGCCTTATTGATGTTCAAAACCAAACATTTAAACACTCAAAAACAACTAAGGAGACAATATCAATACGTAGAGCCCTTGAAAAGGGATATTTAGTGCTGAAGCCGCTCTCTGAATTCGTTACAACTCAAAGGCCTTTGCCCACTAGTAGAACTATGGAGACATTGAAATCTCTTCATACAATTACAACGAAAACCATTGAATTGATGCAAGGATATATTCTGGTGTCTAATAATGAAGTTAAGAATATTCAAACTGGGGAAGTATGTACCGTGGGTAAAGCGAAAGAAATGGGTATTTTAACGGAGAAATTTAAAGAGAATGCAGAAAGCTCATTAGATTCAAAAGAAATTAAAACAATTGAAGAACGCATGGATATAGTTAATACTGAATCTAAAGATTTTGGAGACAATAAAGATAGTATGGGACTGGGTAGAGAAAGTCAAGACCATTTTGAAGACGTCCACAATAGGTATGTTGATTCAAATACGGAAGAAAGTTTGTTATCAGAATTCCAACATAAAAAAGAAGCAGAATTCATGCCGGACCGCCTCAAATGTACACTACATGAAGCAATTTCCGGAAAATTAATCAACCCAAAGGATTGCCAAGTAATTTTGAATGGCGAAAGGCTATTAGATAACGTAGAAACAATGCTAGAAAATGAAAACTTAAATCTTCAGGATGAAGTAGAAATTTATAATCAGAATTTGGTGTCAGTGACTATGCAGCAACCATCATACCTAATTAATGCTCCACATATGTTAACACCAGAAAAAATGAGCGAGCTCAATGTTTTTGATTTAAAACATGAATATTTCATAGATCCTACAACAAAACGAAAAATTTCATTGCAAGACCTGGTTTTATATGGTCATGTATTTAATCCAGCATCAATATTAGTGAAAAATTTTAGTACTGGTGAATATGAAACCTTGCTAGATGCTTTGGATCGTCCGCTTCTAAATCGTCACAATGGTCACATGGTAGATCCGAAAACTGGTCAAAAAATTCCTTTCTTTGAGTGTATTAAACGTGGATGGATTATTTATACTAGCACAGATAAAGAATTAGTGCAAGCTAACATTGAAAATTTCATTGATGTAGAAAGTGGCAAAATATTGCTTGGCGATGGTCGAGTTTGTTCCATTAGCGATGCGATTAATAATGGAATCATTGATATTCAGTCACTCTCAGTTCGAGATCCAGTGAGTGGCGAAATTATTCCACTGCGTATGGCAATTGAGTTGGGAGTTGTAAACATGCAAGCTGGAACAATGATCGATTTTCAGACTTTGCAAGAAGTACCATTAGAAGAAGCTTTCAAGTTAGGTTTTCTTGTGTCCGGTTCACGCAAACCGATTTCTCTCGAAGCTGCCATCCGTAAAGGTCTTTATGATCAAGAAACAGGAAAGTTATATGATTCAGAATCCAAAAATCAGGTTGATATTCAACGTTCCATAGAAATAGGATTAGTTGATCCTAAAATATCACTTATTGTCGACTCTCTCGAAAATAAGGAACTAAATTTGCATAGTGCTATTGAAGATGAATTGGTTTTGCCAGAGAATGGACAAGTAAAAGATACAAAATCAAATGTTTTTATGCCCTTTAATAAGGGTGTAGAAAAGAAATTAGTTAAGACCGACAATGTAACTTGGAGCTTAACAGAATTATTACAGCGTGAATATTACTCTCCTAAAACCGGTAAAGTCTTCAATCCAATAACTGGTAGTGAAATGCTTCTACAAGAAGCTATTGAATTAGGTTTTGTTGAATTGGATACTTCTCTAATAAAAAATGACGAAAATGGAACAATTATGTCCGGCAAAATAGCCGTTAAAGAGGGTCTTCTCGATACAGTAAGCGGTGTGTTGCGATATCCACATCTAACGTTAGATGAAGCCTTTGTAAAGGGATACTTAATAAGCACGAAGAAACCATTATCATTAGTAGATTGCCTTATGCGGAACATGTTCGATCCCTCAACATCAACGCTGAAAATTGACGATAAAATTCTTAATTTAAAAGAAGCAATCACCCTAAAATATATCAATCCGGATGAATTAATCATTTTAGATCCAAGAACGGATTCGGTCATAAGTATAACAGAGGCAATTACGAAAGGTCTACTTGACCCAGTAGGCGGCTATGTTATTGATCCATATACATCGGAAAAAATGTCTTTAGTCGAAGCTTTAGATAATAGAGTGCTACTGCCATCTAAGCGTAAAAGAAGCTTACCAGACGCGGTTTATCTTGGTCTTTATGACCCAAAATCAGGCAAAATCAGTAACACAATTACTAGAGAAAAACTCTCAACTGAAACTGCTATTCGCAGAGGAATTATTGATACGGGTTCGACTATCGTCAGGTTGGATAGTAAGTTGCTTCCTTTTATGGAAGCAGCAGAGGCCGGAATAGTGGACACAAAGAAAGGTACAGTTAAGATTGAAAATGCGTCAGAAACAGATTTTAAAGACGCGTTTGAACAGGGCATTTTAATAGAAGTTAAAACACCAATTTCACTAGGCGAGGCCATAGCTAAAAATGTTTATAATGACCGCGATGGTTATGTCATTGACCCTAAGACTGGACATAAAATTGCTTTAATTAAGGCGTTAGATACACAACTAATAGATATAAAAAATATTGAGTTGCAAGATTATGAGACTGGGCTATATAAAAATTTGACAGAAGCAAAAGCATCAGAAGTCATTGATTGGGAAAGAGGATTGATGAAGTATAACAATGAAAATATAAGCATTAAGCATGCATTTGAGATAGGAGTACTGAAAGATTTACATGCACCAATAAGTCTTCAAAAAGCTATACTCGTCGGTTTGATTGATGATGATACAGGCAGGATAATAGACCCGAAAACGGGTAAGAAAATATTATTACTGCAAGCTACTCGTGAGAGCGTTATAGATCCTCAATTGCCATGTGTTTTTGATGAAGTGAATGAGAAAATGTACAATTTAAATGAAGCTTGTCGTTTCGGTATTATAAGTAAGCGAGACGGAATTTTCAAAGATCTTGGTAGCAATAGATGTATTACCTTAGAAAAAGCTCTAAAACTGGGACTCATTATTGATATAGAAAATGCCAAATTTGGTTTATATGAGGCACTGGCTATGGGATTTTATGATGTTGAAGAAAATAAGATTTTGCATCCTATTAACAACAGAAAACTAAATTTAGAAGATGCCTTAACTAACAATGTTATAAGTGCCACAAGTAGTTTGATAAAAAATAGTAATGGTGAATATTTACAATTATCCGAAGCTATTTCGAAATCAATTATTGATACTGACGGTTACTATAATTTGCTTGGGGAACGTTTAAATTTACACAATGCTCGTAAACGTGGTCTTATTGTGTCAAATCGCCGGCCACAAAATCTGAAAACAGTAATAAGTATGAAGTTATATAATAGTAATAATGGTACATTATGTGATCCAACTACCGGTCAATATTACAATTTGTCAGAAGCAATAAATAATGGATTTATAAATCCGAAAACCACCATATATAAAGGCAAATTAACTGATTACGACTTAACTGAAGCATGTAATAACGATTTTATAGACACCTCGAAAGGTCTAGTAACGGATCCCAAATCCCAAGTGCTATATGATTATGAAGTAGCTTTTAATAGAGGTATTTTAATGTCAATTTCAAGTCTTTTAAATGAAAGCACCACCAGCGAAGTTATATTAGAAACACCCACTCAGATAAAAGATAAAACAAAACCTCAAGAAATGTCTTTAAACGAAGCCATAAACGTAAATATTATTGATCCTAAAGCTGCATTTGTACGACAGGGAAGCTCTTACAAACTGATTCCATTCTCTGTTGCACAGCAAAATAATTTGTTCGATATGAATAAAAGGATTGTAGTTGATCCAAATTCGTTGTTCTTTTCAATTGACCCTTCTCTTATTGTCTACTTGCGAGAGCCTATTACATTTGATCAAGCAGTCGAAAGCAAAAGTCTTGATTTAGAAACTGGTTTGGTAACGTTTAAAGTAAGCTCCACAGACTTAGTCGATGATGACGTCAAAGTATATTCATTAAAGAATGCTGTTACCGCAGGTGTAATTGATCCGCTATCAGCTCTAGTCAAGGATGAAGCTAAAACTAAATTAGTTGGAATGTCAGAGGCATTTCGAAAAGGTCTTGTGGATGCAAATAAAGCCAATGTATTAAACACAAAGACGTCCAAAGTCTGCTCGTTACAAAATGCCTATGAAACTGGCTTACTTGTTACACCCAAACGATCATTCGGCTTAATAGAAGCAATACAGTATAATATATACAACGCTGAAAACGGATGTCTAATAGATCCATTTCAAATGAATACCGATAGAAAGCATAGTAATCACTTTACATTATTAGAGTCAATTGCGTGTGGTTTGCTGGATCCTTCGTCCACGGTTGTTAGAGGATCCGTTACCGATAAAATTGTACCATTAACTGCGGCTATTAACAGTGGACTCATCGATGGAAACAACGGTCGTTTAGTAAATCGCTCTGATAATAAAAAAGGCATTGATTTGATGAAAGCAGCTCAGTTGGGCCTCATATTACCTGCCGAACAGCGAGTAAGTTATGCATTGAATATTATCTCGGGCAATGTGCATGAATCAATCAATTACTCTATTTTTTATTTTCTACATATTTCATTGCATAATATTGAACAATTTCAGTACGTGGTAGTAAGATGTGTAAATATGTCCTACCTACCAGTGAGTACTCGCAGTTGTGTGAAAAAGAGATTTTAAATAAATTAGCGATAAACTTTTTTAAACTGTACACAAAAAATCCGTTTTCAACATTTAAACAAACCTCTTTTGTTCAACCTTAGAACAAACTTTTAAGAAGTATCACAAATATGTTGTCCGAAACAAATAAGTTTTTCATTTTCCTCTTTAAAATAATCTTAGTAAAGTCAATAAAAAATAAGTTGAGTTTTAAATAATTTTTCCCATGATATCTCTTTTTAAATTTAGTATGTTCCTTATTGTATATTTTGTATCTTCCATAAACTCGCATTGTAAATTTCATTAAACAGTTTTTTCATAAACGGCATAAACAATAAATTTTTTTTATTTTCCAACTTTCATTTACATATGTTTATTATAAGCATGTTAATACAATATATAAAAAAAAATACTTTGCTTTATATCAATTTGGTAAGTTGTAAATTGTGTTTTCTTTCTATATTATTTTATTTATAAAATTTTTATGTTCACATTTTTGTATTTTCAGCTTCATCGTTTCAGATTTATTTTCTTATATTGTCAATTACTTCATTAAATATTAGTATTTTTATTAATTGTGCAATTTAATTTGTTGGTTGCTTGTGTTTGTGTTATTCATTTGCTTGTATTATTTGCATGGCTTTCTTATTAACTATGTTTAAAAAAACATATTAACATTAAGGTGTGCTTTCTTTCTGCAATTATACTCGACTATAAACGACCATGGCTTTGATTTCGAATGGCAATTAATCGATTTTATTGAACTGAAATATGCATAATAAATAATGCAATTTTTGTCTTTTTTGCTAATTATTATGATATACAACTAAGCACGTAAGAAAACGTAAAACCAAAGATGACAGTCACAAGAATATTTTGTTAGTTTGAACTTTTTATTATTATAATTATATTATGTTTTTTTAATAATATAGTACTCGTATGGACGCGAAATTATCTTTTTTCAATCATTTTTTTCTTGAATAGCAAGCCGTTTTCGAAAAATTTAACATCTGTGAGGAAGGTGTAAATGAATTACTAAAGTGGGTCAGTACGATTGAATACAAAATATCAAATATTGGAGGTCCTAAAGAGAAAATTGACGATATTCGTAACCAAACGAATACTTTAAGAGTAAGTACCAGTTTTATTATTTATTTTTGTTTAAATGTTGTCGTTATTTTTATTGATATTATTATTCATATTTAAGCAAATAAAAGAAGAAATCGAAGCACAACAGCGACCAGTATCCTCATGTTTGGAACAAATACGTCAAATTGTTTTAACAGGAGCCGATGTACTTTCTACACCTGAAGTAACTACTTTGGAAAATGCTGGTAGAGAGTTGCGTTCTAGAGTTGAACGGGTAGGCGACCGTGCCACAAGGCTTTTACGTCGTCTTGAAGCAATCCGTGATGAGCTAACTAAAATTTGTGGCGAATTAAGTATTTTCTTTAATTGGTTACAAGAAGCTCGACATAAACTCGAAGATAAAGAGCAATCTTTGGCTGACCTAAAGAATTTATCGGTACATGGTGATTCCATACGTGAGTTCGTAAGCGATGTTATTGGACACCAAGCTGATCTTCGTTTCATTACTATGTCAGCACAACGTTTCGTTGATGGCAGCAAAGAATTTCTTTCAATTCTTAATGATTTTCGTACATCGTTACCTGAACGTCTACCTCATATCGAACCAATATCCAATGCAGAAAGCCCTATTCGTCAAGAGGTTTCTTTGATATCCACACAGTACAAAGATTTATTACATCGTGCAAATGCTCTTCAAGATCGCATATCTGGACTTAATGCTTGTCAGCGAGAATTCCAAAATGCAATTGATAAGGCCGAGGAGTGGGTTCGTAATGTACAACCTCGAGTATTACGTATTTTATCCGAACCTCTTTCGGCCGATACAAAAGCTGCCTCCGAACAAATGAATAAAGCAAAAGCCCTTCATAATGAATTGTTATCAAATGGCCGTTTAATTGACAATGTTGATCAAACATTAGATGATTTAATGAAAATATTGGGCAGTCAACTCAGTCCTCACGAATCTAAGGTTTTGGAGAAGCCAGCATTAGACTTAAAAAGCAAATACCAAAAGATGATCGATACACTAAATGATCATTGCAAAATACTTGACAAAACATTATTGCAATCTCAAGGTGTTCAGGATGCGCTTGAAAATTTGGTTAGTTGGGCGAATAAAGCAGAGGATAAATTTAAATTACAATTTCGTCCAGCTTCTCTTATAAAAGAGCGTTTACAAGAGCAAATACGTGAACATAAAACTTTGTTGGCGGATGTTAACTCACATCAGGGAACCATTGCTAGTGTGCAGACGTCGGCGAAACATTTGATGGATAACGCATCCAATCCCCGTATTGCAAAAACGGTTGAATCCAATTTAAAAGCCGTGTCCGAAAAAGTAGAGAAGCTGACAGAGAAATTGTATAAGAGAGGTGAATTTCTTGAGGATGTATATAATAACCTCCAAAAATGTTTGGATGAGATCGCAAGTACCGAACACGATTTACATACTTTGCAAGAAATGATCGATAGTAGAGAAATAAATAATTTAGCAATCGATAAACTTTTGTATCGCATGGAGGAAATACTACGCACAAAGGAAAGTAAAGCTGCTGCTTACGAAAACTGTGTTACAAATTGCAAAAATTTGATTGGACAACGTGATGTCACGGATACTGGCCCATTGCGCGATCGATTAAAATCACTGGAAAATTTATGGCGCAGCATCAATATTACATTAGATGAAAAATCTAAATTATCTAAAATGAAAGCGGAGCAAAAAGTGCAATACGAAGATTTGAAAGACAAAGTGATTTCTTGGCTGTCTGAAATGGAAGGCCAGATAGGCAAAATGTGCCCTGTTGCTATAGATTTAAAAGTAATTAGAGAACAAAATGATGAACTTAAGCCACTTTTCCGGAAATACCGAGATTTTAACGAACATATCGAAAAGATAAATGACATTGGGGCTCAATACGATGCTCTTTTCCATCCAGAAAGTCCAAACCGGAAAAGGTTGTCTTACAGTCCAATTAAGCGTGTAAGTCCCATGAGAACTACATCTGGAGAAGGAAGAAGTCCAAGTCCTAATAAAGTCGGTATCTTGTCCCCTCTTTCTACTACGTCGAGTGGATTTGGCAGTCGTAGATCATCTCAAGATGGTTTCCAAATTTCTGAATTATCTCCAGTTCAACATCAATTGAAAGAGATCAATAATCGTTATAATTTGATAGGTGTTCGTTTGTCGGATCGTCAAAATGAAATCGATAATATGACCGAAGAAGTGAAGAAGCAATATGAAAATTTAAAAACTTTGACATTATTCTTAGACCGCATCCAGCGCCAAGTTCCAAAAGAATCAGCATCAAATAAAGATGAAGCTGAACATTGCATCAAACAAGCTAGGAAAGTTCTCGAAGATATGTATGAAAAGCAAAGTTTATTAGATACCACCAAGGTACAAATCAAAGACATATTACGGCGAAAACCTGATGTGATTGGCGCTGATCAGTTGAGACTAGAGAATGACAATATTATTGAGAAATGGAAGAATTTAAGTGAAATATTCAAACGCCGGATTGAATTTTCTGAAAAATTACGCGACTTTTTAGATATGTATAACAATTTATCCAACTGGTTGCAGAGCAAAGAAAGAATTTTAACTGTTCTTGGTCCCATTTCCACAGATTCTAGAATGGTTCAGAGTCAAGTGCAGCAGGTACAGGTCCTCCGAGAAGAATTTCGAATTCAGCAACCACAATTGAATCATTTTCAAGAAATTGGTCATGAAGTTTTGAATCGTATTTCAATTCCGTCTGATAAACCAAATATAGAGAAAAAGTTAAATGACGTATTGAAGAAATGGGACGACATTGTTGCACGCCTGGATGAACGGGCCAACAACTTGGGTGGTGCTGCTGATAGCAGCAAAGAGTTTGATGCTGCTATAAATAGATTACGAGAAGCTCTACAAAGTATAAGCGATAATTTAGATGAATTATCTACAGATGGTGACCATGAAGAAAACTTACGAAAGATAGAAAACCTTGAAAGACAATTGGAAGGACAAAGATCATTATTAGCTGATGCTGAGCAATCAGCCATTCTACTGTGTAATATTCTTGGAGACTCTGCTTCCCGCGCTGATGTAAATTCCAAAGTAGCTGCATTAGAAAAACAATATCAGACATTGCAGCGAAAGTTGGATACGAAAAAAGCAGAAACTGAAGCTTCATTGCGTGATAGCCGCCATCTTTCGGAAAGCTGTGCAAAAATGATAGGTTGGTTATCGGGAGAACTTTCTAATTTGTCCGAGAAATTGCTTTTATCGGCACATAAACCTACCTTGCAACATCAAATCGACGCACACGAACCCATATATCGTGAAGTGATGGCACGGGAACACGAAATTATTATGCTTATAAACAAAGGAAAAGAACTGGGAGATCGCCAGCAACACCGAACAGTGAAAAGAGATTTAGAACGAATACAGCAACTGTGGGACAAACTTCGTAGAGAAGTCGCCGAGAGGCAGTCACGTCTGCAAACATGTATGGAGCATTGCAAAAAATATTCACAGACATCAGAAACTTTCCTGTCATGGTTAAGAATCGCAGAGGATAAATTGGCTAACCTAACACCCGGAAAACTGTATAAATCCAATGTGGAAAATCGTCTGCGAGATATTCAAACGCTTAGAAGTGAAGTGTGGAAACATTCCAACGAATATGAGTCGACTAAGGGATTAGGTGAAACATTCATTGCCTATTGTGACATTGATAAAGATCCAATAAAATGTGAGCTACAAGATATTAAAGATAGATGGGAGAAATTAAATAATGATTTAATCAATAAAACGCAAGATATTGAAAATTGCTCACGGCGATTATCTGATTTTAACGATCACCTAAGAAATTTGGATAATGCTGTTGGTCGCTGTGAAGACCGTTTAGCGGCTCATGATGCCTTAGGAGGAGCAGCTAAAGATCCGAAATTACTCGAACGAGTAAAAGCTATACGTGATGAATTAGTTAAATTGGAGAAACCACTTACAGATTTAAAATCTATGGCAAAAACTATATCTTCAGAGTGCCAAGCAGCCGGCGGGGATGGAGATCATTTATGTGATGATGTAGACGGTATGTTTGACCGTGTTTCCGATCTAAACGTTCGTCTTAATGATCGATTTGTTGAATTACAATCTGCTGCGTCTACCATATCGAAGTTAAATGAGCAAATTAAAAACTTCTTAGCTGATTTGAACAATTTAGAGCATGAGATCGAAAACTTAGCGCCACCCGGGCGCGAAGTAAGCATAATAAAATCACAATTAAAGAAAACATCTGACATACATTCGAAGCTTAATCATATGTCTAATGCCGTCAACGATATGGAACGTTCCTCAGCCGCTCTCATTGATTCTGGAATTTCTACAGAAAATCAAATACCTGCTCAAATTTCTTTGATCCGAAATACACTGAGTCGTTTAGATAATCAATGCCGCAATCGCGAGAACGATTTGGAAAATACGTTACAGTTATTAAATGAGTTTAACGATTTAAAACAACAGGCCCTCGATGACTTACGAAATGTGAAATCTGAATTCCATAGTTTTAAACCAGTTAGTTCAGAACTCGATCAAATTCGTCGGCAACAAGAAGATTTTCGCAACTTTAGAAACCTCAAAGTGGAAAATCTAGCACAAAAAATCAGTAAAGTAAACAATAATGGTCGCGACTTAGTTAGGTCAGCTGGCAATGGCGTTTCGACAGCTGTCATTGAGAAAGATTTGGAGTCTTTAAACGATAATTGGAATAATTTAAAAGAATTAATGAATGAACGTGAACGGCGTTTGGATGTTGCTCTTTTACAATCTGGTAGATTCCAAGAAGCATTGTCTGGTTTATCTAAATGGCTGTTTGACACAGAAGAAATGGTGGCAAATCAAAAGCCACCAAGTGCAGATTATAAAGTTGTTAAAGCCCAACTTCAAGAACAAAAGTTCTTAAAGAAGATGCTGATGGACAGACAAAACTCAATGTCTTCACTTTCTTTAATGGGAATGGAAGTAGCAAATGCCTGCGAACCTTCAGAACGGGATTCAATTGAAGGGCAATTAAATGATCTTGTGAAACGTTTCGATTCCCTTACAAATGGAGCCGAACAACGCGAGTCAGACCTGGAAGCAGCAATGGATGTTGCTAAAGCTTTCCAAGATAAAATAATTCCACTTGAGCTATGGCTTGATGGTGTTGAGCGATCCATCAAAAACATGGAACTTGTTCCAACGGATGAGGAAAAAATCCAAAATCGCATCAAGGAACATAATGAGTTGCATGGTGAAATTTTATCAAAAAAATCAAGCTTTACTGATTTAGCAGACATTGCTGGACAATTAATGCAATTGGTTGGTGAGGATGAAGCAGTGCAACTAGCAGATAAAGTTCGAAATATTACGGATCGTTTTACTAATTTAGCCGATATAAGCGAAAATATTGGTTCTTTACTTGCTGAATCACGCCAAGGACTAAGACATTTAGTTATAACTTATCAAGAATTGGTTGCGTGGATGGAGAGAATGGAACAAGAACTCTCTCGATTTAAACCAATTGCTGTTTATCCAGAAAAGCTTCTGGAACAAATGGACTATCTAGTTGAACTAAATGAAAATATTGCTAGTCAAGCTCCAAACATTGAATCCACTGTCGATTCTGGATCCGAGTTGATGAAACATATTTCCAATGATGAAGCTTTACAATTGAAAGATAAACTAGATGCACTCCAACGTCGTTACGGAGAATTAGCGACTAGAGGCGGCGATCTTCTCAAAAGAGCTAAAAACGCCCTTCCTTTGGTGCAACAATTCCATGATTCACATAAACGTTTGCTAGATTGGATGCAAACAGCTGAAAGTGCTTTTACGGCAAGTGAATTTGGTCAAGCAGATTTGTTGCGCCTAGAATCTGAATTGGTAGAAATGCGCCCCGTAATAGACAATATTAATTTATTCGGCCCACAATTATGTCAAATTTCTCCAGGAGATGGAGCAGCTTCGATTGAGAGTATCGTTACTCGTGATAATAGACGTTTCGATGCAATAGTAGAACAAATTCAACGTAAAGCAGAACGATTTCATCTTAGCACCCAACGCGTTAAAGAGGTCACTGGTGATATCGATGAATTGCTTGAATGGTTCCGGGATATGGACACAACTCTTCGGGAAGCTGATCTGCCTGCTATCGAGCCAACATTGGTACGATTACAATTACAAGAGCATCGTTCTATAAATGATGATATCTCGAGTCAAAAGGGGCGAGTCCGCGATATAGCCACAACATCCAAAAAAATTTTAAGGGAATCTCCTCAAAGCGAATATATAGCTGCACTTCGTGAAAAACTTGATGATTTAAAAGAAATCGTAGATTCTGTCGCACAATTATGTAGTGAACGCTTGGGAGTATTAGAGCAAGCGTTACCTTTGTCAGAACATTTCGCTGATTCGCACAACGGTTTGTCAAGCTGGTTAGATGATATGGAACAACAAATTTCAAGATTTAGTATGCCAGTCTTACGACCAGATCAAATAACTACACAACAAGATAAAAATGAACGCCTATTGCTATCTATTACTGAGCATAAACCTCTACTTGATAAGCTTAATAAAACAGGAGAAGCGTTGGGAGCCCTTGTATCAGAAGATGATAGTGCAAAAATAAATGAAGTTCTTGATTCTGATAACTCTCGGTATGCGGCACTTCGCCTCGAGTTGCGTGAACGCCAGCAAATGTTGGAAAATGCTTTGCAGGAATCTAGTCAGTTTTCAGACAAATTAGAGGGCATGCTACGCGCATTAGCTAATACAGTAGATCAAGTTAATCAATTGGAACCCCTTTCAGCACTTCCGCAAAAGATCAGAGAGCAAATGGAAGACAATGCCGCATTAACAGATGATTTGGAAAAGCGTTCAGATGCTTTTACGGCAGTTAAAAGAGCGGCTGACGAGGTTATTGCAAAGGCCGGAAATAAAGCAGATCCAGCTGTGCGTGATATAAAATCAAAATTAGAGAAACTTAACAGTCTATGGAATGATGTGCAGAAAGCTACCAAGAATCGTGGCAGCTCACTTGATGACATTTTAAGTGTAGCTGAACCTTTCTGGAAACAACTAAATGGCGTAATGGGCACACTAAAAGACTTAGAAGAAACATTGTCCTCGCAAGAGCCACCTGCTGCCCAGCCACAGGAAATACAGAAACAACAAGTTGCCTTACAGGAAGTCCGGTTTAAAATTGATCAGACTAAACCAGAGGTAGAACAAGTTCGGCGTAATGGTAGCAATTTGATTAATATGTGCGGTGAACCAGATAAACCGGAAGTTAAAAAACACATCGAAGACTTGGACAATGCTTGGGACAATATAACAGCTCTGTATGCAAAACGTGAAGAAAATTTAATTGATGCTATGGAAAAAGCAATGGAGTTCCATGAGACTTTACAAAATTTGGAAAAATTCTTAGACAAAGCAGAACGTAATTTTGAACGTCTTGGACCCGTTGGCTCTGACATAGACGCAGTTAAAAAGCAAATCGAACAACTGAAGAGATTTAAGGACGATGTTGATCCTCATATGCTGGAGGTAGAAGCATTAAATAGGTAAACGCTAGTTCCTTCTTTTACAATTTTATTTTATTGTAGTAGTGTTGACATAATTTTTAAGCTATCCAGCGAAATGAGCTAAAAATATAAGCCGAAATCCTTCAAAAAAACATGAGAAAACATAAACTGAAGATAATTCGTTCTCATTTATAAGGAGCAAAGATTTGGAAAATAAATTACACCATTTCTCCAAACATTTTGTGTTTGAAAAAATATATGGAAATTTATCTGTCACAATTTTCTTCAGATAAATAAGATAAAATATCCACCTAATCCGATCTAAGGGCAAATTTTTTTAACCTTTACATTTTTCTGATATTTTACAACTTCTTAACCGCCTAAACTTAAAAAAGTTTTTTAGTATTAGAAATTGTAAATTTTAATTATGAAGGTGGTTTGCAATAATCGATCCTTTTTTCCTTAATGAGATACAGTGCAGGAGATGTACTTTTGTTGTGTTAACAAGTGATGCATATGTAGCATGATATAACTTTGTGACGAACAGTTAAAAAAATTTAATTTTTCTAAATTTAAACCAAACAAAACACAATCCAAACGGGTAGATGAGCTTAATATGGCCGGTCGAACTTGAAGTTGATTATGCTCATATTGCATTATAAATTGTGCAGATAGCGTCCGTGCAGATCTCTGACGTAGCTTTCATTTTAACGAGCACAATTGTCAGAACAATACGTTGAATCGACTAGTTAAACCATTCATTTTTAAATGAAAGAAAAAATCTCAATTTTTAAAATAAAGATTTTACATAATGTTATTTAAGATCTTATGATTTTTAAATTAAATATTTATACAAAAAATAAACATTTTATTTATTTGAAAAAATTAATAGTCGGTTACTATTGGAATGTTTAGATTTGCTCTTACTGCTTTTTTTGGAGCTCTATTAGTCAGTATTAGGTCAAGTCAACAACAAAGAGAAATGCGCTATACAATTATATATATGCAAATTGGAACCACTTGTAAAAAGCTCCAAACACAAAGGAGAGACAGGCTGATATTTCGCTATCTAGCGTTGATCAGAGGTTTTTCAGCCTTCTGCCAAGTAGGGAGAACAGACATTAAGTGTACTACATAAGTTCTATTTGTAATTCTTGTAATTTTCTGACATTTTTTGTTTTCCATTTCCATAAGAAAACAATCAATTAAACGATGTTGCTTATGGAAAGGAACGACTTCTTAAACATTATTAGAACCAAATATTTCTGCATAATATATTATATATACAAATTTTGTGTAAATTATACCTCACAGGCAAGCTGTAGAACTAACAGATCGTACATCTCCTGAGCAAGCTGCGTCAATTCGCAAACCATTGTCAATTGCAAATCAACGTTGGGAAACATTACTTCGTAATATGGTAGACCGTCAGAAGCAATTAGAACATGCTCTTTTGCATTTGGGACAATTTCAGCATGCCCTTAATGAATTGTTGGTATGGATTGATAAAACCGACGTTACTTTGGATCAATTAAAACCGGTAATTTTTCAATATTCAACGAAAGAGACGTATAATAGGAGTTTTACTTAATTGCAGATACCAGGGGATCCACAACTTTTAGAGGTAGAATTAGCGAAACTAAAAGTAATTGCCAACGACATTCAAGCTCACCAAAACTCAGTGGACACTTTGAATGATGCTGGTCGGCAGCTGATTGAAACTGAGAAGGGAACATTAGAAGCTTCAACCACACAAGAGAAGCTACGAAAATTAAATGCAATGTGGAAAATGTTGATTCAAAAAGCTTCTGATCGTCAGCATGAACTCGAAGAAGCTTTACATGAAGCCCAAGAATATATTGCAGAGGTTCAAGATATTCTTGGATGGTTAGGTGATGTAGACGCAGTCATAAGTGCAAGTAAACCGGTTGGTGGCTTACCAGAAACTGCAACCGAGCAGTTGGAACGATTCATGGAGGTTTTCAATGAATTAGAAGAGAATCGTCCAAAAGTGGAGACAATACAAGTACAAGGCCAGGAATATATCAAACGGCAGAATAGTATAAAAGTACCATCCAGCAATTTGCAACATACTTTACGTACATTAAAACAAAGATGGGATGCAATAAATTCTAGAGCCTCCGATAAGAAGATTAAATTAGAAATAGCTCTAAAAGAAGCTACTGAGTTTCATGATACTCTTCAAGCTTTTGTTGAATGGTTAGATCAAGCCGAAAATCACTTATCAAATGCGTCACCTGTTTCACGAGTTTTACGAACAATTCAAGACCAAATGGAAGAGCATAAAATTTTGCAAAAAGACGTCAGCACTCATCGCGAAGCAATGCTGTTGCTTGATAAAAAAGGAACTCATTTGAAATACTTTAGCCAAAAGCAGGACGTAATTTTAATTAAAAATCTTTTGGTTTCTGTGCAACATCGTTGGGAACGTATAGTTAGCAAAACTGCCGAGCGAACTCGGGCATTGGATCATGGATATAAGGAAGCGAGAGAATTCAATGATTCTTGGAATAGCATTATGCAATACCTTAATGAAACTGACGCAGCGCTAGACCAATTAATCGAAGAGGCGGCAAGATCCAAAGAGCCTCCGAGAATTAAAAAACTTATCAGCAAACTAAAAGATACACACCGTCAACTCACTACAAAACAAACGGTATATGATACAACCATGCGTTCAGGCAAAAATCTCTTAGATAGAGCACCAAAAGGAGATGAGGCGACTTTTGTTAAAATGTTAACAGAACTTAAAGAGAAATGGACAACAGTATGGTCTAAGAGTATTGAACGTCAACGTAAAATGGAAGAAGCTTTACTTTTATCTGGTCAATTCTCTGATGCTCTTTGTGAATTGCTCGAATGGTTGAAAAAAGCCAAAAATCGTTTAAATGAAAATATATTAGTGCACGGGGATTTAGAAACAGTACAAGGATTAATAGAACACCATAAGCACATCGAACACGATTTACAAAAGCGTGCAACTCAAATGCAGAGTGTATTGAAGACTGGTCGGGAATTAGAGAAATCTAGTGAGAATGAAGAAGTAGAACAACAACTTAATGAACTTCAAGTACTTTGGAACGAAGTAAAAGACGCAGCAAAAAGAAGAGATGACAGCCTGCGGGATGCACTCAAAGACGCTGAAAAGTTAAACAAAGAAATTCATTCGTTATTTGATTGGTTAGATCATGCGGAACAAAAGTTACGTTACGCTAAAAACGCGCCGGATGATGAAAAGATAACGCGAGAAATGATATCTTTACATAATGAATTTATTAAAGACTTGCGAAATCGTGAGAACCAAAAGACCCAAACATTCCAGTTCGCTGAAGAAATTATAAATAAAGCATACCCTGATGCAATTCCAATTATAAAGAATTGGCTATCTATTATACAACAACGATGGGATGAAGTATTACAGTGGTCTATTAATCGAGAGACAAAATTAGAACAACATTTACAATCGCTTAAGGATTTGGACGATTGTATCGAAGAACTCTTGGCATGGCTTAATGGCTTAGAGGCAACATTATTAAGTAATTGCTATAATAAATTTTATTGAATACGAATTAATAATTTTGTACTTATTGAAATTTTCATATTTTAAAATAGATTTAGAAAAGGAGCCTTTACCAGACGAAATTACAGAGCTTGAAAAACTAATAGAAGATCATAAAGAGTTTATGGAAAACACAGCCCGTAGACAAGTCGAAGTGGACCGAGCATGTAAACCGAAACAACAGCCTTCAAACTCGCGAAGAAGTATGTCGAGAATATCAAAAACTCCAATGTAAGTAATTTTTCTTTAAAATTCATATACTTTATGTTTTTTCAAAGGTATGTTAACTGACGTTTCAAAAACGGTTGTTTTTTCGAAGTTATTCAAATTCGTTAAAAAAAAACATGTTTTTTCTATGTTTTGCGATCCACTTATCCTTATAAATAAAAAAAGCTCTTATTTTTCAACCTTCCGGCAATTTACTATCGAAACGCTCCTCAAATAGGTGTATGGTTAAATAGCAAACTGAAATAAGAAACGCGTTGAAGTCTCATTGACAACTGATTTTAAAATGCTAAAATTATTTTCCACGCGAGGAGTATTACGAACGCGATCGCAAACGGCCTGAATTAATCTAACATAATTTTTATACGTAATAAAAAAGTACAATTTATCCATCCCCGTAAGATTTGAGAAACACCATGTAGATTCACTCATTTTTCTTTTTTATTGTCTATTTGAAAAATATAAACAACGATTGATTGAATAAACATATCGCTGGCTGCAGACATGACTTACCAGAGAAATTTACGGAGAGTAATCTTCGTAGACAAAGGTTTGTTTTACGTAGCAAAATCACTTAAATATGTAATTTTGTTCCAAAAAACTATAACTAATTACATTGGAACCTTTTACTTTACATTTATATTTATTCCATTACCTGGTTTCTGTATTAATGGGTGACTGGAATAGGTAGTTTTTCAATTAAATGAGACTGAAGTTATACATATTTTACTAATAATGAAAATAACAATAAACGAAAATTAAATGTTATTAATATCAGGATAGTCTAATTACTTTTTGAACTTTCGTTTAAGACTGAAAGTTATGAATCTTAATCCAAGTATATTCCCCTCATAAAAATCGTAGAAAATATTCCAATAAAAATTACGGAAAATGCTTTTATATAACATAATCAATTTAACTCTAAATCCGTGTAAAAATATTTTAATAAATTAGATCTAATTTATTTTTTATTATGAATTAACAAAAAGTGATGTGATAGTAAAATCCTTTTAGGCCTTTACTAACGAAATAACCACCGACTTTAAATTAATAAAATCTTCATAACATCTTAATTTTCAATTTCAAATACATATACGTACATATTGTCCTTTCAATTAATTTAATCATAATTTCCTTTCCTTCTTTTCCAAATAGCTTCAAGGGTTCCCGAGACCAAGGACTGAATACACGAAGGTTGAAGTAAGTTGCTTTATGTATTATTATTATGATTGCACATATTTTTGCAATGTATAACTTATAAGGCCCGTAAATATATCGCTCAGTTATTACAATATTGTCAAAACTGAAATGAAATTTTGAGACATCAGTCCATTGAAATAGCCATATGTGGAAAAAAGAAATAACAATATTTCACGCATCCGCTAAATTATGTCATCAGCTAAAATTGTTCAGAGCAGCGCTCGAGTCCTGGTCGGACCAATGTCTAAAATTATATAAAATTATTATTTTTTAATTGCGGTAGGCCCTCGCAAGAATGTCAAGCCCAATGTACTTCTGACATGAAATAAAAAATCCTCTTAAAAATCTATTGGCTGTTAAAATAAATTCCTTTTGCTGCAAAAATACATGGAAAGTTCTGCTATCTTTTTCATTATAAAAATTCGTTTTAGTTAACATGACTTGAAGAAAATATTTTTCCATAAAGCGCACACTTAAAACATTATTATTTCAGTTATACGCATATGCATATTTACTTTGGTATTAAAATTAACCATTCAGTAAGTTTTGTTACTATTTCTTATTCTGAATGTCACCCTGAAAATTTTGTTACCAGCGCCATAGGAGGTAACAAAAAATCAGCTGCTTGTTTTTGTGTTGTTTGAGAAAAAATAAAAACAAAAATTGGTAGGCGTACTTTAGGTCTGGAATTAATAAAAAAATCAAGGAGAAGTGCGAAAAATTAATTTTAATTTATTTTGGAAGATAGCATTTTCATTCAGCTTTTTTGAGCATATTTTCCATAACTAGTCTCAAACATTTATGATTTATTATACAAATAAATAAAACATATTTAGTTTGTTGTGCAACGTAAGTTAACAATTTGGACATTAAGTGTTACGAGTTGCCGGCTATAGATATTTTTGTTCAAAAACAACTTTAATTTTCAATAATTTGAAATTTAAAATTAAATAATTTGTTTAACATAAAAGAAATTTAATTTAAATTATTATTAATTTCAAAAAAGTCAAAATGTGATTTCTCCGTGCTTAACTTAACGATGTGAAACATCTGTAGTAAATGATGTATTTTTATTTTGTTGTTTTTACTTCAATTTATAAAAATGTTAAGTATCAGAATTTTTAAATAATTTTTCTATATTATGTTATATTTCTAATTACACAAGTCATTCATTGGTAGTAGGAAAATATATTGAGAACAATAGAGACAACGCATTAAAATTTAAACTGTTTAAGCAGAAGAGTGAAAATATAGAATCAAGACATTACGGCCCGGTAGAAAATAGTTCACTGTGAAGCCAGATTAATATGAACACCTGACCTATTTTCGATTGGAGCTCGAAAATTGTCGTACCGTTTGACTTTTATTTCTATTTTCTCGCAATTGTGAATGTGGCTACTGCACAAAAGGGCATAATGCTATAGAATCCTACCTTAGTAATGCGGAAATATGAAGGCATATTCATTGTCAAGTTAGATCAAGATTTTATTTTAAAGTTAAAAACGATTGGCTGTTACTCAGGCTGTTGTCTTAATTCAAATTCAGTTCGGACCATTCATATTGTGAATTAGTTAAAAATAGTGAAAATGTTTATTTTGAAGAAATTGAAGGTCATTTTAAAGAATTAAATCTGAATTAAAGGAAGAGGAGTTCTCTAAGGATTCTATTCGTAAATACAGTTTATATACTGTTATTCTTTCAACATATTTTAAATAATTATCAAAGCACCAAACAAACTTTTAGTAAACCTCAAAAAAGTCGAGTAATAAAAATAGTTCTTGGAAAACTAATAAAGATTTCATGAAATAGGCTCTTTGCATTTTTTTCTACTTGCCGAACGAGCCTAATGTTGATTAGCGCGCTGATTTGCACTCGGAACTCGTGCCAGAACGTGACACAAAAACTCTTGGCATATAGCTATAATTGTGTTCGAATTTCGGACCAACGTCTCAGTACTTTTCCGACAGTATAATTATTGTATATTTTGCAGGAATTTTTTATTCAAATCAACTTGTCAAGTTGAAGTATATGAAGTAATTAATAATGTAAATATTTGGATTATATTTATCAGCAATATATTTTTATTAATTTTTACTAAAATAATAAGCAGTGGAAGTAAAGCTCGGACATTCAAGAAATTTGTTAATGAAATGTATATAATTTTTACATAGTAAATTAATATTGCAAATAAAAGATTAACGTTTCTTTTCCAATATAGTCGCTTAACTCCAAGTCGTGATACTCCAGATAGGGATCGCTTGCCGCATTACGGTCCTCGATTTTCACCCAGGTGGGTAGATCCTAAAACGTGTAACCTTAATTCAAATACTAAAATTATGAATTTTATTTTAAATGTTTTGCACAAATAAATATTATATCACTACATTTCTACAAGGGTTTTATAAACATACTTTAGACTAACGGTTTTGAATATGCTTTTCAATTATATATTTACTAACGACTCTGTTATGGATGATTTATAATTATGTTCCATTGCTGAAAGTAAAAGTGGTATTTACATCACCACATATTTATCACGGTCGGTGTGAAGATATCTACTTTACTGGATGCTAAGCAGAGCTTTATCCTTTTTTCGTAGTTCCTTTTTTTTACCGGGGGCTGAAGAAGAAAATTTTTTTGTACTTTATGATTTTTACATATATACATTCATACATATGGATTTTAATATAGAATTTGACTTTTCTACTAAACAGAAGCGCAGATAGGTGACAGAAAAACTGGATTCTATAAGAGTTTTAATACTACAACATTTGGTGTTTTTCTATTCCCGTTATAGTGTAAATACAGTCGCTCAAGACCTAGAGTTCCGATCTCCTCGTGCAAGTTTGTTGTGGGATAAATGGCGTTATGTTTGGATGCTTTCATGGGAGCGGCAACGACGTCTTCACGATCATATGATGTATTTGAAGGATATGGAACGTGTACGCAACTTCAGCTGGGATGATTGGAGGAAAAGAGTAAGTTTTCATTGGAAATAACATAGCATTGATATTAATTCATTCTCTTTGCAGTTCCTTAAATACATGAATCATAAAAAATCTCGCCTAACAGACCTATTCCGTAAAATGGATAAAGACAACAATGGTCTCATCCCACGAAGCGAATTCATGGATGGCATATTAAATACAAGTATTTACTAAAATTGATAATCTAGCAACAAGCATTAATTTTTTAATTCTTAGAATTCGACACATCTCGAATGGAAATGAGTGCGGTGGCAGATCTATTCGATCGAAACGGTGAAGGTCTTATTGATTGGCAAGAATTTATTGCTGCATTGAGACCTGATTGGCAAGAGCGCAAACCTGCAACAGATTCAGATAAAATACATGACGAAGTAAAGCGGTTAGTTATGCTGTGCACTTGCAGGCAAAAGTTCCGTGTATTCCAGGTTGGAGAGGGCAAATATAGAGTAAGTTGATTCTAGAGATCTGCGGTGCATTTTATCATGTTCCATGATATCAAAATTTAAATTTCAGTTTGGTGATTCACAAAAACTACGTTTGGTGCGAATTTTACGTAGCACTGTTATGGTTAGAGTAGGTGGTGGTTGGGTGGCGCTTGATGAGTTTTTGCAGAAAAATGATCCTTGTAGAGGTAAGTTTTCGGTTTAGTTTAGTATTAAAAAAAAAGTTGCAACAATATATATTATTACCAGGCATTCAATATGTTTTTACATGCATAATATTTTTATGAGTGTATATTAGATTTCATACGATTTTTATTGTGATTCATTTAGTTGTTAACTTTATATTTACATTCAAATCAGTATGAATAAGCAACTATTTTTCGCCTTGAAGGCCATATACGAATTAACTATTAAAATTGCCATGAAGTTTTAACAATAACCAATAAATAGTTTCCATTACTTAAATAATTAGAGATCATATTTTGTAATATTCAACATTTCATATTATATTTTAATTGCGCGAACAGTCACTGCATGACAATAATCATCCATTCATGGTGTAGAGGTCTATCTACATAGAATAGAGAACAATAAACTATAATCTTTTTCCCATTGAGACTAATTCTTAACTGTGTGAATGGACACTGAGGATTATCGCTTTCTTTACCTTCTGAACTAAACTAAGAAAGATCGTATCTCTATCCTTATGTTAAAGTGATTGTAAACCAAGCTGGTAACAATGGACTTAAGTTTTTACTAATTATCGTTTTCATTATGAGTTTGTGGTATTCAAAATAGAATTGCACTGGAAATGCAACGAACTGCAATTATAATACTTTCTGGTAAATCCTACAAAAGGAATGTAGTCTAAAGCTTTCGTGAAAATAAAATAAACTTACGACTTTGTTGTTATATTTTGTACGTAGCACTGCTCCTTACAGTTAATAAGGATATAACAACATCTTTTATATGGGCGGTGAGTGAACTGATTCGCGCAATATAGGAACTTCTTTAATTAGTTTGAGTTTTTTTTTATCTAATCTTGCATAATGAAGTAATCTCTTATAACTAAAATGAAACAAAAAGTTTATGTACTCGTATTATACATAAACATAGCGTAAATGCCAGCATTTTCCGCACGTTGTGATAACTACTTTTGAAATCAACATATTTATAACAAAAGTTAGTAAGATACAAATTCAAATTAAGATTTGATTATTTATTGAAATAATACCAATATATAGGCATGCTATCCTCGGGTGTTATGCACATACATAACGTACCTATCAAGGAATATATGTATCACCGTCACTAAACCATTGAATCCATTATGATTGAATAGCGGAGTGAATTCTAAACTACCATATACACTTTAAGGGCTTAAAATTTAGAATTTTAGAATTGATATATGTATGTATTTTTATGTACACTAATACATTTACTTTAATCAATTAATTAAAAGTAAAATAGTCTATAATTATAATTTATTTCTAAATATAAGTTATTTACTTAATTAATCTTAACACAAGCTTTGTGCGGAAACGGAAATGGTCATTTAACAAACAGAAAAGTTCTCAAAGAATAAAACAAAAAAGATTCGGATTCATCGCTTGCATCGCTTGCTTTTGCTAACACATAACAAGAAGTACAAAAATTATACAATTACTTAAGGGTAATAGGATCTAATATCGTTAACAAGGTTCTTGATGCATTTAATTTTATAACAAGAAAATAACCGCTCAACCTGATTTACGTTTTAGTACATTCTCTAGTTTTTCAGCACATCAACAAAACATCATGTTACATGTTCTTCCATATTGAACACACAATGTAGCTTCTGGTGTAAAATTAAAGTGTTTCTATTAAAATAAAATCCCGAAAAACGTATAAAAATCTTTATGTTATCTCGGTGTCTAGCTTTTAACAAAATAACTTATGCACTTAAATATATTTATTTTGGTATTAACTATTAGTCAGCTTAAAGTGTATACTGATAATTTTTTAACTTATGCCGCGCCTATAATTTTCATGAAAAAAATTCAAACATTTTAGGCCAATAAAAAATTTAACCAAAATTTAAGACAAAACACAGAATGTCGAGTTCAATATGGAATGGCTATTTGTAAATACTTACAACATACATACTTATTTATTTATAAAAAGAATTTCATTTTTATAAAGAATGAGAATATATTCATACAAAGCTTAAATTTACATGAATTATATTAATTGCAAGTGATATGTGTTTTAAATTCAACTTTGAAATAACAATTTTTCAATTTTTTGATATCATAAGAATCTGCGAATGATGATATAATATTTAATGAATGTTGAGTACTGTCACTATTTTGAAATACAAACCAAATTCTATATTTATCTAATATTAATTGTAAATTGTTATCTGGTAAATTACGGACGATTTTTGATTGATTCTTATGATAACAGAAAATTATCTCAACTTTCAAACACTTTAAATGGTTTTTTATACGCAAACTGATATTATTATTTATTCGCCAAATTGTGAGCCTGTATAAATTTTATGTTGGTTGACGCTTTTTCGGTCGACCTTATTATCATTTATTATTTTTATTTTAGTTTTTCTTTTCTTTTTAACTGTTGTTTTCAATCTTTTGTTTTATTTTACAAACCTGTTTACTGATCCTGAATTCCTAAATAATCTCATAAAATGTTTAATGCCGACGCTGAACTTAAAATATTTTTGATTGCCTGTCCCTGCTCGTATTTCAAATGCTGCTGCTATCATAATCTTGCATTGCATTTATCGATTGACGTCTAAAAACAATGAAATCGCTGCGGATTATAATTTTAACGCTAAACGCAAACGCTTTGTATCAAACACTGTTTTGATTCCACGCTGTTATTTTATAATTTGAAACGTTAAATTATTGAGCAGCCAAAGGCCGTACTAACATTGAATTACGAGAGCAATTTATTTTGGCGGATGGTGTATCACAAAGTATGGCGGCATTTACACCTCGACGTTCTACACCGAATGCCGCACAAAATGGCAATATACCACCCTACATAAGTGGACAAGGTCCTATCATAAAGGTAAATTAATCATCTACATAAGAGTAACAATATACTTCCCTCGTTATTGTCAAAAGTGTGAATGTACACATTTGTATTTGCATTTTTAATTTAATTATTTTGTTTTTTTTTTTTTTCGTAGAAAGAGGTATCATAGTAGCTTTTTTTATGTATCTTTTGTATTCTTATTCTTTTCCTTCGCGAACTACAATATATTATCGTGTAATATACATTTTATTTAATTGAAAACACCTCTTTTGTCTACACCGAAAACTATGTATGTCGAATGCTAAAATAGATAAAAAGTTGTTTTCTGTAAAGTTTATATGTATATATTAAATTTAAAATATAGCATTTTCTCGTCTTAGAATGCAACATAAATATGGATTTTTAATAAACATGTACATATGTACTTATTTAAACCTGCAAAGCTATTACGATACCTTACCTACCATGGGATAAAGTGTTTGATGTGGTTATGTTCTTAAAGTTAAAGCATGCGTTTTATTAATTTGCTTATAATTGGTTACATACAAAATATAATTGATAAAATATGAAGTTTTTTTTTCATTTTGTTTATTAAAATAAATTGTTTCCTCAGAAAAGAAGAGAGCTATCCATATGGCATATTTATGGATATAGAGTAATAAGTTTTTTAAATGATCAGAACCGTTCACGCCAATAGTATTAACTTTTTTGAGTAAAATATTGAGAAATTTTAAATGAAATGTAACAAAATCTTTAGCCGATGAGCATTTAGCAGAGCTAATGCCAATATTCGAACGTATACGTACCCAGGAGCAAGTTCCATGTGCCTTTCCCATACATATGGGTTCAGGGGGCACCGTTTTTGTACGTTGTAATAATAGTCGTTCTTTACCACAAAACCCACATGTATTACACTGTCATCCCACTACGCATTGGGTAAGTTTAAAAGTTTTTATTATACCTATTTCACTGTATTTACTTTTAATTCTCAACAACTTTAAAGCAAACTCTTTAAAATTTATTAAAGGTACGCGAACGCTCGGTACGTTCTATACCAATGACACGTCCAAGCCGGTCTTCACAATCGGCTTCTACTCCGGACTCGCTGAGTGATAATGAATTCGGTCAAAATACATCTTCTGGTCGATATACTCCACGGAAAGTTACATATACCAGTACACGCGGCGCTATAACACCGTCTGGATCTCGCGCAGGATCTAAACCGAACTCCCGTCCATTAAGTCGACAGGGGTCGAAACCACCATCTAGACACGGATCTAATTTATCTTTGGACAGCACAGGTATTACTAAAACTCTACTAGAATAATTACTTTTTTGTTGTTAGTAAGACGTGTTTATATATAAAAATACGTGTGATGTGCAGGAGGAAATACAATTATTTGAATATTTTAATATGTTACTACCATACCCAAGTTAATATGCATATCTTAGATCAACAATGATTTGAATTTTTTCCGTTTGTTATTAGACATGAGTAGAAAATGAAATAATTAAATACTAAATCCTTCAAACATACTTACTAAGTAATACATATGGTTGTATTAATAGTGAAAAGACATAAGCTTTGAAAAAAAAAATCCCCGCGAGTCATACCTAAATAAAGCGAAAGGTAGCTAACGGATACAGAGCTATTTTTTAATTATGTAACGATCTTAAAATATGTTCTTGTTATTGAAAGCCTAATCATGTACCATTTAATATTCATGGATTATAACTTGTTACAACACATGATGAAAAAATTTTATGATTCAACAAATTTTTGTATGCGGCTACTTAATATGCTCATTTTTTTGGGAAAACCTCAGAATGAAAAAAACCATAAATTGGAGAAAGAGCTCGGCCGAAAATCGCTTCAGCGGTTACAAAGTGCCAATTATATATTATATAACTAAAAAACAAAAATGGTTAGCATTGCATACGGACATTCTGAAGGTTCTACCAATATCCAAATTTACAGAAAATTAATTTTTCTCATTACAAATTAATTAATCTATTACAATTTATTTATTTTTAGATGAAACTCTTCCATCTCGCATTCCACAGCGAAAATCTTCAGCTTTGGGGAGTGGATCTATAACTCGACCATCACGTCTGTCTGTGACATCAGCAACGGCCGATGTTAGCTCGTCTGCAAGGAAAGCAGTGTCTGGATCGGCGAGCCCGGCTCAGTCAAGGTGCGTAAAATTATAATTCTAAGGGCATAAGAAATTGCAAAAATTTATATATATGTTTTCAACAATGGTTTTGTTATGAAATAATGTGATATATCAGTTTTTAATATCGGTTTTATTAAATACGCTTCTAGAGTATTTCGTCGTTATCGAATACAGCGTATAGCCTTTTAGCTTGTATTTGATAGTAAGTGTTCACAGTATCCAAATGGGTAATAATGTCGGATGATCGTTAATTCAAGTCCTGGCCACGCACGATCAAAAAATGTTGTATCTAAACTCGTCCCATTCCGTGAAAATTCTGATAAAGATTTGAAAGCACTATTTATTATACATTCTGCGTCATGCATATTTACTTCCGAAGGACAAACACTGTCTTTCAACACCTATGATTTATTGGATTATTATTATACACGTTTAGTAAACCCTCTGACCTCAGAGGTTATTGATGATTTTAACGTCTCAGGTCCATTATATTGCGTGATTTTTTTTTTAGTACTCTTGAGAATAATCATGATCTTGAGGTTTTGGTAGGATTGGTCATTTATTACATAACGACTCGTAAATAATCTGAAGATTTCTGGTTAAAATCTTAGTAACAGCTTTACAAATGTGCATATGAGATAAAGCTCGTTTTTATGTCAGAAATACACTTGAGTGTTTTATTTATTTCCAAATAGTTCTTTATTTCCAAATAGTTATTTATTTCCAAATAGTTATTTATTTCCAAATAGTTATTTATTTCCAAAAGTATACCACTGGTAATGGAGAAATGGAGGAATTGCGGTGAGGATAACCTAATTAGGAACATAATTCATAACAACTCTAGCGATCACACTCAAACGAGAATAAATAAATCAATCGAGTTCAATAGAGAGCAACAAATACTTCATCAGCAATTAGGCAGTGGTATCTCGGAATTTTTAATGGAAGCTATTTCTCCATAGTATAGGTTATCAGAATGCCAACCTTGTCTTGCTCTCCTCATGAAGGGTACCTTTAACTTTCAAACAAATTACGGTGCACGGATCGACCGAACTCCACATAACTAAAAGACATATATACATAAAAGCTATTTGATATACATCTTTCATCCGAGCAACTGCATAGCATACAGCAGCGGGCACTTATTGCTCGGCGATTTGAGTTCATGATCAGGTTTCCCTATGAGTTTGCAACTGGCGACAGAGACCATGATGAAGACGTAAACTTATTTAATACAATATGGGGTTAACTAATTATGAACCGTAACGCTGCGAAAAATGAAAGGAATTTGCAAATAACGGAAATTTAGTGCTCTTAAATGACGCTTCACAAAAAACACTAACGACCGTAACTATGGCCAGTGCGAAACAGCTTCGCACAATGTTGTGATGTTCAAGCTTTGTTGACACTTAAGAATTTGGGAGCTTATCTAAAAAAAAAAACATTAAAAATAACTAAACCCTTTAAGCCAGCGAATCAATATGTCTGAAAGAGAGGGACTGAATAAAAGTAAACTGAGCAGGGCAGAAAACGTATAAAAGAAAAAGAGAAAAGGGCAAAGTCTAATAAATTTTGACTCTTTTCATAACATCTGTAACCTGACATATTAACATCGACTTTGCACAAAAAAAAAAAATATTATTCAGTGCATTTGCCGATTCCAAAGTGTTATTTTTTACTAAAGACATATTTTGACCACCTTCTTCCATAATTTCATAAATATTTCCTTCAAAAGAATTATATTCCGAGTGGGTTGCGGAAAGGCAATTGTTAGTATTGAGATATGTTTGCTTTCCCAATCAATAGCTATCCAAAGAAGCCACTGCTCACCCATAATAAATAGCAAGGAAAGTAAGGAAATTGGACTGTGTCTGACTCTACTTTATTTCCTTATTTTTTTAGTTTCAACATCTTTTAAACGAAATATTCAGCTGGAAAACTATATAATTATAAAATAAGAAAAACACGTATATTTGATTAACATATGAATAACAAAATAATAATTTTTCATTCATAAAAAACTTATGATTATTAGAAATAGCCTCTGCCGTTGAATATTTAATAGAACTTGAATACATATTCTAAGTTCAGCTAAATATATATGTAGGGATCGTGGTATGTTTGAGTGTAAACCCGTACTTTTTTCTAATTTCTATGATCAGTGATGTCCTATATAATGGCACAAAGTTCTCATATAGAAAAATATATGGTATTTATTTCAATTTTAATTCGATAAGATTGTCATATTATTTTTTGTTCCTGCAAAAAGAAGAATAACTTTTAAAATACATTTCTCAACTGCAACCTCAAAACATTTAAAAAAAAAAATCAAAAGTTTAATATATCATACAAACGGTAATAATATAATAATTTTTCGTAGTTGTCAAATCTTCTTAATTTTTATTTACGTCATAATAAAAATTCCCTAATAACAGTCACTATGTTTTTGCGTTTATAATTTTAAATTTATTTTAATATTATAAAATAAAAGCAAATATAAACTTTATCTAAATAATTTTTTATATTTACATTATATTTTGCATTACATATCCGACTAACACATCTATAATTAACCCTATCCTCAATGGTTTACACGGAATAATATTGGTACAGCAGTGGTGGTATGAGTAGAGCATCCAGCATTCCAAGATTAAGCAGCTATGGTAATAGGTAATTGCACCGATTGGTAAAATATTTTTATTGGCTAATTATAATATTTACTTACTAACTAATTCTACAAATAACAATTAAACATACAGTGGTGGTGGCTAAAGCTTTTGGCATTAACCTTAAATATGTCAGTAATAGATGTCAGGACATCCTCTACAGGAAATAATAAAAAATGCAAACAACAGGAAATAATAATAAATGGAACACGAAGAATTAATTTAATTTGAAGAAAGGAACAAGACACGTTTAACTTGAGGAGTTTGCTGAACGAAAAGCTCGACCTTCTTTCACAAATTGTTTAAACAAATACAATAAATCCGATATAAATTTAGATATTTGCATATATATACCTATTTATATATGTATCCGCTATTTCGGAGGATAGTAAGAGATTTTCGTCTCAGAAAAACAATCAATTAAATTCAATATCATGATGGCAAGTTGACGTTCCTTAAATTCATTCGTAACATTCAATCTGTAAATTCATTTTGCGCACTTTTTGAATAAAGTTCAAAAAGAGTATTATTATTTATATTTTATTTACTTTAAATTTCAATTAATTGCAACCATTTTTCGATTAGTTGATTTTTCTAAGCGTATGTATTTGTATTTGTATTGGTTATAACAAAAATAGGCAACAAAACGGAGTTGTTAAGTGGTCTGCAACTATTTCTTTAACGCCTTTTAAAAGGTGCACTTTTCAATGCTCAAGAAAAATTTTAAAAACAAATCAAATCGTTCTAAAAATATTTATCTATTGTGTATTTTGGTTTGAAAATTAACCAAATGCATAAATGAAAAAGCGAAAACTGTAAATACCAGTAGTTGAGAGTGTTCTAAAATTTTGAAAATCCCATATATCTATCTCAGCTATTTGTAATCACTTTTAATAACAACATTACACTCTTATCAAATTTCCAACAAACAAATATTAATAATAAAATATACAAGGTTATCTATTTTGCGGTTTCGAAAATAACGTAAATAAAATGCATTTAAAATAATTTTTGCATGGGATTGCGTTCTTATTATAAAGCTTGACCCTTGGCATTATGCGACAAACAGATTGCGAATTTTCTGCACACTTCGATTCATTTAAAGTAATTTTCGACCAATTTTTGCCACTTATTTCGCGGCATCTCTGCCATCTTTAAAGGTAATTGCCGAAAATGACGGTAGTCCGAATTTACAATGACAGTCTTTCTGTCGTTTTTTTTTATGTAATGGCACCTCTTCAATTAATTAAGGATTCTCAAGCACCTCTCATCAGTGCATGTATGTTAGTTGGATATTTTATGGATGTGAGTGTAAGTTCAAGTGCAAAATATGCCTTAAGTGTATTTGGGTCTTCGGCTACACTTTTACTTACAGTAGCGATATTTGAGGTTGAACGAGCAAACCGATAACGAACAGGCAATACTTACGTTTAATCACGATTTTAACGCGTTTTAAAACGACGAAATAAAAAAGCCATTATATAAAATTCGCTTAGCCAACAAAAATATTTACATATATGATTTCTCGTACATTTCACTAACATTTTTTTTCCAAGTTTCTTCCTTTGCCATTTTAAATAACAATTTTTGTTCAAAAAATATTGACCAATTTAATAACTGCTACTCCACTTAGTGGTGAAATTAGTTATCTCAGCGAGTATTTTATGTGTCGTAAGCTTAAGGAAATGAATAAACAGCATAAGGCACGTAGAGTGTTATTAGTAACAGATATTTTGCAATTAATTTAAGACTTTATACAAAAATTGAGATTAATCCTCAGAATGGAAATATTTTTGTAATAAACCAGCATTTAAAAATTACATTTTAAACAAATTTGTCGTTAATGACCTCCGCAGTGTCATTCAAGCGACACTGACATATTCCCAGTTAATGCATATTTATTGAAGCTATAGTACTGACAGACATAATAATATTGAAGAAATTTTATTTCTAATATAAGTTAATGTTATTGTTATACGTTACAGGAAAAATGCTAGTGGCAACTCAACTCCATCTGGCGCTCGTACACCTAGAAAAGGCTCGGCTGATCCGACAATAAGCTCGACAATGCGATCTCAAGCGCATCGAGGAACTACACCCGTAAATAAGCGTGAACCATTTCGCCTGTAATAGTTTTGGAAATAGCTTATTAGATCCAGAAAAGTAATGAATGAGTCTCCTAAACTCATTTATGTATGCATAACAGCTCAGCTGATATTCAACATGAAAAGGACTACTCCAAAAAGACAACGAAATTTTTTTATTTTCTTTACCAAACTAATCCTCTTAGATTTATGTGTGCTATTCTTCTCGAAAAATTACTTCAGTTTAACTATATCATTTTGTTTTTAGAAATAATTTTCTAAATATTTAACGAAAAGTGTAGCATTACCATTTACGTACGAAATATTTTGTTACACAAAAGTTTATCTTGAATGTTTCGTAAGAATAATTATTATATCTAAAACTACTACCCCATCCATCTAAAAGTCATATAACTAAGTTCCAAATACGATTAAGTGTAAAAAACAGTTTTATATTTATCAACTTATGTAAAAAATAATACATAACTAATATTTTTAATAATAATAATATTCTAAACTTTTTGTATTCTAATTGTTTTGATTAAAATATTAATTTGTTCGAATTGTCGTATTTTAAATTGCTGTGTCCAAATGAATGTTATTATTTTCAACAATTCATTATTAAAGAAGAACGCACTTCACTAGAAAAAAATTCGGTACAGAGCGTTTTATAGTCAAATTTCATACAAAGGAAATATCACGATACAATAATTCAAATGTAGTTTCATTCTCTCTCTGCAGTAGGCTTCATAGCTATCTGACATTAAACGTGTTTCGTCTTTTTTGTGCTATCTTCTACTCTTGATAAAAATCTACCACTTTTAAATAAAAATTATGTAGTGTTTTGATAGTTTTGAAATGTTTAAACGATAAAAATTACATATTATATTGTTTTCCAACCCCTAATAGTGGAGTTCATCGGTATATGCCTTTCTTGATTGTTGTATAACTTTAGCAAGTTGTTAGAAAGTATCAGAAAGAGAAGAGATTGACCAAACAAAATTCAAATCGAATTCAAAAAAAATCAGGAGGAGTACGGTTTAATGCAGATTATGACTTTGTACGCGGAAAGGATATTATTTTAATAATTGATTGCTTTGGCAGAGTCGTTTAAATTGACTACATTTAAATTGACTAATTTGGAAATATAGTCAGGTAATTAGGTAACCAGCTTGTTCAATCAATGCGCACTTAGCACTGCTGCTAGTCCTGTGCAAGAGATTCCTCTCACCTTTACAAATACTCAAATTACTTGGTATATTTAATGAAGTTTATAAGATTAATGATGCCTACAGATTCAAGGATAAGACAGGCAATCAAAGAAAAAGTTTCCGAGAAAACGATAAAGCGTATTGTACTGATTGCTCGTATTGTCGTTTGAGAAGCCACTTATCCTTTAGAAGAAGTAAATAATTACCTCTGCTTACTTCGATCAATGACCAGATTTGTCTGGCTGCATTGTGACTGGTGTCACACCATCATCTGCTGTTGGCCAGTCTGGTGAAATTTAACCTTAACAGATACTTTGACGAAAACAGAGGTATGCCCACGTCATGTGCAAATTTTACCGGGGTTGTCATCGAGGTTCTCATCGGCCTCACAGTTAACTGGTATGTCCCTTAGACCAGGAATCCAAACCGCGGACGTTTCGTTTACAGCGGAAAAAAATCTAAAAATACAAGGTTCAGACAAAAAATAAAAAATTAGAAAGAGTTGATCTAATTTATTTATAATAAAAAGTATCTAGGAATTTCTTTTCTTTTTTCTGCCGCATAAGAAAGTACTAGATTTCAGCACTAGGAAATTCACCAAGCTACTTGACTGTCTCCAGATCGAAAAACACAAAACCAGATCGATGATATTCTGATAGACGGTAGATATGTCTCCAGTGTTTTTGAGGTGCTTACATTCCGAGGTCTCAACATCGACTCGGGTCACTATCTTGATGCAGCGAAGATACGCACACGCCACTATGTATCAAAAATCGTCCGTCAACAAACACAAAGCAGCTTTGAAGTCGAGAAGCTGCAATTACAAGAGACTGCGGTGTGATTTTCTATTAGGCTTGCACAACTGCTTTCTGAGAGCAACAAGAGTAATACTCGAAAATTCTTCGAAAAAATACGGCGACTTACGGAAGGTTTCAAGATCGGAGCAAACTTTTGTAGGGCCCAGAGGGGTGATCTAGTGACGGATGCCCAGAGTATACTAAACTTATGGAGGGAAAACTTCTCCAGCCTGCTAAATAGCAATGAAAATGTAGTAGCCGGATATGGTGAACCCGAAACCCCAAACGATGAAGATGGAACAGACTTTCCGCTACCTGACCATGTCGAAGTGCGAATAACGATTGCCCGCTTAATAAACAACAAAGCGGCTGAGACTGACGGCCTTCCAGCTGTTCAAACATGGCGGTGAAGGGCTGACAAGTCGCATGTATCAGCTTGTTTGTAAAATGTGGTCCAATGAAAGCATGCCCAACGATTGAAACCTGAGTGTAATCTGCCCAATCCACAAAAAGGGCGATCCCACTGTCCTGGCCAACTACCGTGGGATTAGTCTCTTTAATATCGCATATAAGGACCTTATCAGTGTGGTAAATCAGCCAGATATTCATCGATTTTAAAGCAGCCTTCGACAGCTGTTGACAGCAAGAGATGTTGCTTTTATAGAATTATAATCCCATATTTAAATAAAAATCTTAGAAAAGAGAGTGAACTCAAAGTTTTTTTATCATTTATAGAGTAGACATCACTACAAGTTTTTTAATGATTGTTCAAACGACATTTCATTTCAAATTAAAATTTTGAATTGTTTTCTTTGAAAAATTATATTGGGTTGCCCAAAAAGTAAATGCGGATTTTTCATATAGTCGGCGTTGGCAAGCTTTTTCAACGGCTTGTGACTCTGTAATTGCATTCTTTCTTCTGTCAGTTATCAGCTGTTACTTTTAGCTTGCTTTCGAAAAAAGTGCGCGAAATTTTGTTTACATTTGTTTGTTTGGCGTCAATTTTAATATGGAGCCCACAAAGGACCATTTTCGTCATATTTTACTTTATTATTTCCGTAAAGGAAAAAACGCGGAGCAGCTTACTAAAACGTTACGAGATGTGTATGGTTATGAAGCCTTAAAAGGAAGACAGTGTCAAAATTGGTTTCGCAAATTCCGTTCTGGAGATTTTTCACTTAAAGATGAGCCACGTTCAGGTCGGTCAAATGAAGTTGATGATGACCAAATCAAAGCATTAATCGAATTGGATCGTCATGTTACTGAGCGTGAGATAGGAGAGAAGTTAAATATACCAAAATCAACCGTTAATTATCACATAAAAAGTCTTGGACTGGTGAAAAAGTTGATATTTGGGTACCACATGTATTGAAAGAAACTCATTTAACACACCGAATCAACGCTTGTGATATGCACCTTAAGCGCAATGAATTCGATCCGTTTTTAAAACAAATCATAACTGGAGATGAAAAATGGATTGTTTACAACAACGTTAGTCGAAAACGATCATGGTCCAAGCATGGTGAACCAGCTCAAACAACTTCAAAGGCTGATATCCACCAAAAGAAGGTTATGCTGTCTGTTTGGTGAGATTGGAAGGGTGTCGTATATTTTGAGCTGCTTCCATGGAACTAAACGATTATTCGGATGTTTACTGTCAACAATTGGACAAATTGAATACAGCCATCAAGGAGAAGCGACCAGAATTGGTCAATCGTAAAGGTGTCATATTCTACCAGGACAACGCTAGACCGCACACATTTTTGGTCACTCGCCAAAAACTGAGTGAGCTTGGCTGGGAACGTTTGATGCATCCACCATATAGCCCTGACCTTGCGCCATCGGACTACCATTTAATTCAATCTTTGCAGAACTCCTTAAATGGTAAAACTTTCAGCAATGATAAGGCTATAAAATCGCACTTGGTTCAGTTTTTTGCAGATAAAGGCCAGAAGTTCAATGAGCGTGAAATACTAAATTTGCCAGGAAGATGGCAAAAGGTTATCGAACAAAATGGCAATTATATATTTGATTAAAGTTTATTCTAAGTTTTATTAAAAATGCATTTACTTTCTTTTAAAAAAACCGCAATTACTTTTTGGGCAACCCAATATTTTGGCAAAATGTGAAGGAAATTTTTGATAATAATGTAAATTTTTATTACATAAACTTCATTCAATGGGGTAATTTCAAATATTGAACTTATATACGTTTTTGAAAAAAGTATCTTCGACGTCATGGCACAGCTCTTATGCAATGCGTAAAAATATTTTGCCCACGTAAAAAATATCAGTGGAAAATATAACCGAGGAAAACAGGACGAAGTGGTTATGACAAAGACATACGATCCCCGCAGGAAGTGCATCATTCATACATAAGCAACACAGTTACATACATATGTCCTCGATTTGTAATAAACATGCGTAATTTTTTACAATTCTTTTTAGAAAAACTATGTTACAAATGTTTTTTTTTAAATAAATCCTCTAACTTAATTTAAATTACTTGATTAAAACTTTCTCAAATGTACCATAAAAAACGTTTGATATTGAAACAATGGACCTTAAGTTAAATCTTAGTAATAATTTAAACTCCTGTGTAAATAAGGCAAAATTACTCGCAGCTTTCATTAAATGTTGGGTTAAGAACTTCGATGGCCCATTCCTTACCAAATTAGACCCAACTGTATGGAATCCCGACTAACAATTCTATAGAGATAAATTGGAATATGTATGAAGTCAATTCCTGGTGTAACCAACGTCCAAAAGTTAAAGAAAATTAAGTTAAATAAAAAATTAAGTTTAATAGTCGTAAAGCCCCTTTAAGATCATCTAGACTCATTTAATTGTGCTCGTGCATAACCAATGTCTGAGCAAAGATTTTAATACTCTTTCACCAGCTTTGATTCCTCCACACCTTATTTATTTTTCAAGAACTAATAACCTTAAATAAATAAGTATTTTCCTTCTCCTTTTTCTATTTAATCTATAACGGCTGCTGATCAAATCTGTAGTTGTTCATTATAAGAGGTAAGTAAAACAGCGACCTCCCGGAGTATTCAGCTCGGTGCTAATTTCTTCCCATAACTTTTCCTTGTATTTGACGTCCTTATACTTGGTTTCCTTTTGTTGAACAGGCATGGATGTGCCCCACCAACTAAATTAACTTTTCCGTAAATGTCTGAGAATATCAAAGGCTTTAAATTTAGTTAGAAACTAAAACACAAAAATACTTACATCCATCTTCTTTAAAATTAGAATTTTAAATTTACTTGTCAAACTTTTCTCCCATTTGCCTATTCCTCTTTGTCATTTTTATCTCCTTTCTTTCACGCTTTATTCTGTCATATCTAACTTCATCATATAACGCCCTGTCATGGGATGTCCCATACAAATTGTATGGCCATGAGGATTTTTGACAGTTGTTTAGCGCAACGCTTCAATTTAAGGGTAGCAGTTACAATTGGAAGTTATGAAAGTTTGTCAGATATATTATACTTGGATATAACGATCATATATAAGTAAGAAACTACAAAATGACGGGGGCAACTCAGAACAATTAATATTGAAAAGTTCAAGGTCAAAGTAAGTCTTTAGGTGGGCAGAATCGTATTTTTCTAAAGGGCGATTCATTTCAATTCAAATTTAATAGGGAATATTTATTATCATTCGAAAGATAAATAAGATCTCGATGTAAAATGCGTCAAATCGTTCCAAACTCTCGTGTACAGTTACAGCTACGGCCACTATATTTTCTTAACTGCGTGCTGGACGTGCTCTATTCGGTCGATATTATCCAATCATGAATGTGGGGTTTCAAAACGGTGATGATATTGCGAAAAGTGCGCTCAGGAGACAGATTATGTTGACCGAAGCGTGCGAAACACATTATTTGCAGAACGTGAATTTTGGTAATAAAGTTGGACGATTTGTAAACGTTATTCGGGCGTCTTTCTATGCTGAAATGCCAAACAATAGTGAATAAAAAGATAACACGACTCACTCATGATCTGTCAAAAAAAAGCACAGTACTAGCAATGCAACCAAATATTGTCACGCATTCCTAATTGCAATTGTGCAAACTTTGACGATGCATCATGTTCCAAAATCCATCGGTAAAGTTAGTGATGCTTTATTTTATCATAAATTCTTAACAAAAACGGCCGTAGTCGGGGAAAAGTTTTTTGCCCTAATTCTTTTTTAAACATTATATTACTTATTTTTTTTTTGATCTGTGTTAGCCACTTCCCCGAAAAGCAGCTTATTTGCACAAAAAGCGTTCCAGAATGTCAGAGTTTGTATTCGGCGTTTGAAGAAGGCCTGAAAATATTTCATAATCGCATTTTAAAGTGGTGACGTTGTGGGGGTTGTTTCAACTCCGCTTAGTAGCAGGCTAGTTAGTCTAAGTCACCGAGGTCATCCAACCGGAGGTCCAGGAAACGAGTTTTTCCACGGATTCGGACCAGTGGGAGAGAGGGGTTCGATTGGAGGTTTCCTGTCGTGGTTCTAAGGGCGATGTCAATTCAACTGCGTCTCGTTTGTACCCAGTGCTCAGATCGATGCAGCATAGTTAACGACCGGCCGGAAAATTGATTTGTAAGTTGCCAGCAAAGAATCTTGGTCTTTTCTTCAGGTGCTACCGGCTAGCGCTTTTTGCTGCTCTGAAGTTTTGCGGCAATTGCTTCCGTATGCGAAGTGGGGGGTCCTCTCGAATGTGACTCCCATTAACTTTTGGTTGTTTGACGCCATCGATCATCACATAAAGTTCAAGCCTGTATTCCTTCATCCAGGTAGTGAAAAGCGGCTGCCCTTTCAGCATTTGTCTCCTGTATTTTTAGTTTGTCACTCACTGAAGAAGTGAGATACAATAGGTCATCGAGCCGTTTACTTTCGAATAAAGTTCGTCAAAAAGCTGGACAGAGAAGCGAGCGTGTTACTCGTCGTGTTGTCTACAGAAGGTAATGTAAAGAGTCCGCTAAAATAGATCGGGCATCTCTTCGGGTCCGACGGATTAGATAACGATTTGACTGTAGCCCAGAGGACAGATTGCAGTATCTTAAGTGCGTTATGAATGGTGTCGCCCGTTGTGCTAAAGCCGCCGCTTCCATCGGGAATTTAGGGTGGATTTAATTCTGCCAGCCGGGATGAATCGGGCGGCAGTGGTCAAAGGCATTCTTGCGGAGTGAACGTTCACCGGCAGTGGCGTCTGATGGAGTGAGGAGAGGACTGAAGGCGTTCTATGTAAATTCCGTGAAGCCGGGACGGTTGTTTTTTTTTTAAATCTAACAAATGTCTGGTGGTATCTCTCAGGGGAGGATGAAGAAGAGCTAGTTGTGGGGGATCCGGAGGGAGCCATGCTGTGGAGAGCTGCTTGAAACCGTAGAGGTCTGTGGGTGGTTACCCAAAGTGAATAAATGTGCTGAAAGCCACTCCGGTGGAGACTGGGGCGTACATGAGGGCTGGGAGCATGGGGCCACATAACGTGTGGACCGCTGCCACTGTGTCTTAAGGCAAACATTAAAAATGCTGCAGCCATTACACTGGTTACATCTAACCGAGATGAATGAACCGTGTACAAATGCTGCGGAAATAATCCGTCGGACCACGGTTGGTTTCGACGCTAACCCATTGGTGACCTTAGACTAATATTGACAGCGCTTGACCGTATAAAATCTGCTTGGTGCGTAGAGAGCTGAGAACAAATGATAAAGTCCGCCGCTTAACATATCTAACGTATATTTCAGAAGGTACTTTCAGTTCCCACACGACAGGTTTAATAAATCTAAGTCGCCGAAGTCATCTAATGGGAGGTCCAGGAAACCTGCTGTTTAAACAGATTTCCCCGGCTTAAGAAGCGGGACCACCCTGCCCGTTTTCCACACCTTAGGTATTGGTAAAAAAGTCTTCACTCGCTGGTCCAAGTTGTTTTGGCATCAGCATTCTTATTCCGTCGAGGCTGAAAGATTTGGACGCTTACGCCTTCCCGATGACCCCCTGAACCTCCTTCCCTGGAGAAAATCGCTACGCTGGTGTTTGACATTGTGCGTATACGGCGGGTCACACGTCGCTTCGTTTTGTCTACCGGATGATGCAGTGTAAAAAGTCGGCTAAAAAAACTCACGCATCTATTCGGGTCCGACGCGGCGCGATCTCCGAATGAAATATGTATTCGGTCACCGCATCTCGTTGGGTTAGACAACGACTTGACTGTAGCATAGAGCTTAGTTGCCCCAGAGGAGAGAAAGTAGGAAACCGCCACTTCTGTGTGAAAATTAGGGGGGATATCAGCGATTCGGCCTGCCGGGATAAAGCGGGATAGCTATGACCTGACATTCTAGGGTAGTATACCCGCGGTCGATAAGGCTATACTGCACGGTGTTATGTAGGACGAACGCCTTCAAGACAGCCGGTTCTAAGCACCGCCGTTGATCCAGATTTTATCCGGCCAAGAGCTGTCACCCTTTCGGCGACCTAACCACGTTTAGGTGAACAGGTAATATTAATTTGCCTGTTAATCTCGGGTTTGCTTGTCAAACATAAAATCATAATGACTGCGGACAAGTTCACATTCAAAATAGATGATGCGAACATCTTTGGAATGAAGGATTTGCAGAATAAATACGCAGACAATGAGTAAATCAACGATTAATAAAATGTCGTACCAAAAGAGAGAGTAGAGAATCTGATAGCGAATCATGATGGAAAGAGGGAAGTTCAAATACGAAATGTCAAAGAAAAGAAAAAAATGAAAATGATTAAAAAATCAGGGGATCTCAGCTGTTTTGCATTGTAAACAAACAAATGGTGCTTTTCATGCTTGTAAACGGCTACGATGCTAATATAACCACAGCAGTATTGTCTTGCATCTTTAATGAGTAAAACAGCATTCCTTTTGGTTATTCAAATTTTATTTAACTCAAATTACATTCGTCCGCAAATTGTTATATCTGACATTATCAAGAAAGTTATTTTCGAAAATGAAAAATTCAGCTTTGTTTTCCATTTCTTTAGAACACCAAAAATTAAAGTCTATAAAATACCGCCATTGTTGATGTATTCCATTTCAATTTTATCAATAGGTTTCCGAGCGTAGCGTCCAGGCAATTCCCAATCTTCGATTGCTGTGCTGTGTGTTGTCTGTTAAAATAATATATAAAAATAATTACTGGATTACATTACTTAAATCAATTGCACAGAAGCAAAAGAGGTACATTTAAAAGAGCCTCATTCCAGGGAAATTTAAATATGATTAAGAGTGAGCAAGATTGAGCAATTTGCACTGTTAAGTGGCCGAAACTAAGACTATGTTTATCATTCTATAAACTGATCTGGCAGGGAATGTCCACAGAACAACGCTATTTTATTTCCTTTTAACAGATTTTATCACAAGTAAAGATGTAAATAAAAGTATTGAAGAATCTGTTTCCAATCAACTACCGACTTTTAGTTTTTTAATAATGAATGGTTTAAATTCTTAATAATTATCTGTGGTATATAACCCAAACACATTATTATTATATTTTTTTTACCACTGGATAGATTTATCATATAATAGATTCTTTCTTTGAACATCTTATACATTAATGTAATCTAATATTTCTATGTCAACATTGAACTTGTTTTGTTAGCAGTGAGTTTTTTGCGAATAAGCTAAAAATTCCAAATGCAACGTAAATATTGAAATTGAAAACATTATTCCACAAAATATTAATCAGGTAATCTGGATACTGAAGACTTTTGCCAATCTAAAAATGAAAATGGTGTCTAAATTAATATAAATGATTATGATAATGTAAGTGAAAGTGAATTTATGTGATATATGTACATATGCACACCCTTTTTTAAATGTAATCAGCAACATCAGTTTTAACGATGTTTGAGATTTTCAAGGAATCCTCAGATAATCGTTTTATTTTTACTTTTCAATTCACGCCCAGCAGAGCACTCGTAGCAGGAATTATGTGATTTCAACACGAGTCGACAGGGAAATTTGTATACATGTACTTATGTATATAATTGTACTTTAAAACCAGTAGCGGCCAACTGCTCGCACTACTGCCCAAAATGCTCACCTACCATACAACTCAATCAAGGATTACGATAATGCTTTCGTTTAAACTTAATTATATAAAATGTGAGGAAATGCACTAAAAAGAAAGTAAATTTATCAACTGAAGAAATAAGTATGGATATTTGAACTTTACAATAAAACGATTGGTATGTGCTGATTTTACTATAAGTAACAAATTTTGCTTCAATAGGAATAAGTTTTTTTTCTGCATATACGCTATGTAGGAAAGAGATTTTCAGGCGACGCAGCAGCTACCGAGAATGATAGAGCTCTGAGATTAGGGTAACGTTATTTACAGTTATTAAGGGGTTGATCTTAATATAATATTTTGTGATATTACGTTTAATATTTGTATTTATTATTTATTGCGTGATATTTATTGTAACTGTGCGGTTTTTGTTGCGAAACTTTATATAAAAAATACAAGAGCTTGGTATAGTTTATTTACATATCCGGCTGACCCAAATTTGGCTCACAAATGGCATCACTTCTGTCGCCAAGAAACGAGACATAATCACCTAAACTAGGATGTAATTAAAGATTTATTTGGAGCCATACGAACTAAAGGTGGGTTGCACGAGTATCCTGACCAACAGCCTGGCTTAAAAACTACATTCTTGGGTATAAAGATGGGGCTGTATCCTCTGCTTGAAATACAGATGAACACCTAACTCACTAAATTTTTTTTAAATAAATTGTACTAATCCAGCTACTTCTCGTTTTATATGGTTGAGATATTATTTAATTTTATTATCGGCGGCCGCGGTAGCCAAGTGGTTAGCATTGCGTACTGCCGTTCGGAAGGCGCTGGTTCAAACTCTGGTACAACCAAGATACAAAAGTTTTAGAAAATTAATTTAAAATAAAAAATTAAGTTAAATTTTATAAATGGGGTCGTTCTCAGTAGCGAATGTCAACCTCTCTAGGGAATTTCTGACATAAATAAAGGCGCCTCATAAAAAACCATCAGCCGTTCGGAACCGGCTAAGTATAAACTGCAGGTCCCTCCATTTGTTGGAAAAACGTCAAGACGCAAAAACCACGAAGGAGGAGGAGCTGGACCGAAAATCGCTTCAGTGGTTACAAAACTCCAATTATAATTATAAAGCGTTATATCGCAAAAGGGTTTGGTATCGTTAGAAACGTGACGAAAGTTTCTATTTTTTTATGTACATATCTTTATACTTTTGGAAGAAAATTTTGGAACAAATTTAGTACTAAAACAACACTAACGGTCTGTATTCTGCACTCATTCCAAAATAAAAAACCTTAGTACTGTCCAGTCACCAAGTGGTGTCCGTCCACCAGCACTTATCCTACATGCACTGATTGTTGTTAAAATGCAAAATATTATAGCTGATTACATCTCATTGGATGATTTTGTATTTTAAATTTTATTTATCAAACCAATTGAAGGTAAGACTTAATTTTTTGTTTTAAACTAGGATCTAATTATGGAATTTTATGGGACTACAACGATATAATATACACATAACCCAGTTGTCCAACCTAGTCCTCATGATTTATTATGCAACTGCCGTTTCTGGTAACTTACATTAGATTTTCCAGATGCAGTATATGATTGCTCACTGGAACTTGGACCACCTTTACGAAATTTAATTAGCGGAACACGAGCCTTAGCGGCAAACATAATAATATTTAACCTAACCATTTTCAACAATTTTTTATTTACAATAATAATTTAGAATATCAAATAATCGATTTTAAATTTTATGAATCGATAAATTAAGGCATGTTTCTTAACCCGCTGTCGCTCAATGGTGTCGGCGCACCCTCACGCACAACCAAATCTAAATATAACAATACCCTGTAGTGCAATTCTGTAGCTTTGATCGACACGATTTGTTTAACCGCAAACTTGACGCTCGCACTAACGATAATGTGATTCTCTAACCCAGTTACTGCGATAATCGACAACAGACACATCCATTCCATTAAATTAAAGGAAAGGTGGCACCATAGCTTAAAAAAACGACAATATATTGTTGCGAAAATGCGAGGCGAATGTCATATGAAAGAGAGAAGCCGATAACTAGTACGTTCTAGAAACGATAAAACAAGAACCTTCCATAGCGAACAATTCGATGCTTCTACGCTTTCGTCTGCGAGCAGCCGACTGCTATATAAAGGCGACACTCAGCTGCAAGTCAAGTTAGTTACAAAGTGTGCTCGTTGGCGTTAACATCAGTAAAGTCGTAAAGTAAACGCGTTGGGAATTACATTTAAGTGGAGTAAATTGTGAAAGTTGATGTTAGTGATTATAAATAGTAAAGTGCAGTATAATTGAATTGTGAATTACTGAGAAAATAAAGGACATTAGATAGAATCTTTATAACGAAAGAAACTGCAAATTAAGTTGGCCAGAGATCGTACCCGAAGGATTTAGAAAATAATCGAGGTTGATTTAGTAAAATCGTAACAATATGCGAAAAGTACAAAGAGGAATGACAAAAAATATATAAATTCATTACAGGAATAGTTTTCCTTATCAATGCTATACAAAGTTTTCAAATCAAAAACATGTTACGCGCGATGAATACAATGGCTCACTGACGACTGACTTATTGGTATTCCATATTGCTCTCAAACTGGACGTTGGAAGCATGCAGTTTAAGAGAATCGCAATGCGGTTGGAACCTTTAAACATTTCAATAGTGTAAAAACACAAAGATTATTAAAAACTGATATTATTACCTACTTCTCCATAGATAATGTTGTTATTTTCTGCAGACAGTGACTTGGGAGCTAGGTTGCGAATGCGATGTCAGTATGTTTGATGACAGGATATATTTCGTCTTGTCCTCGTTCACTACATGACCCATTCGCAGGAAACAAACTGTAAACAGTCACCCTGTCTGAAATCTCGTCTGATATCGCATGACTCGGAGAGGTCCTTTTCAATTTTGACTGCGCTTATGGTGTTACCAAGAATAAGTTTTTCGTGGATACCAAGCTCACACATAGCGGCGGAGAAGCAACTCCTTACAATACTGCCAAATTCTGCATTAAAATCGATGAAGAGGTGGTATGCATCGATTTTTCTTTCACAGGTTTTTCCCAAGATTTGTCGCCTTGTGAATATCTGGTCAATGGTTGATTTACCACGCATAAAGCCACAGTGATTAGGTGTAATCCGTCGGTTGACGGTGTGCCTTAATCTTTTACACAATTCGCTCGATAGGACTTTACGATAATTGGGGCAGACAGTGGGGTCCCCTTTTTAAAGATTGCATGCTTTCATCCGACCATATTTAGCAAAGAAGCTTTTGCACCTTGCCAGCATTTCAGCGCCTACCTCTACCTCAACTTCGTCGGGTAATAGAATGTCTTTTCCATCGTCATCGATTGGGATTTCGGGTTCACCATATCTTTTAATTTTACTGCCGTTCCGCAGGCTGGAGAAGTCTTCCCTCCATAAATTCAGTATATTCTGGGCAAAAACTTACTCAAAATCACTCAAATTGCAGCGGAAAAAAATACCCCATCCAACATTTTAATGTCGGCAGCAGTGTCAGATCGGGGAACATTTAAAATCTGACATGCAAAACGCATCAGTGCCACTATACCAAAAAAGAAAAAATTCATTGCTTTTGTTTGAAAAGAAATTTGGTTCAGCAGTAAGTATTATATTAAGGAAATTATTGTAATTTTATTATTAAAACTTAATATAATTAAATATTGAATTGTTTCTCAATGAAATATTCTAGTGAATTGCATTTAAAGACGTCGTTAATTGTAATAAAATTCTCAAAATATACCTAAAAATCCAAAGAAGTTATTTTCTATCACAGTGGCATTGTTCAGAAATGTTATAAAAAATTCGTATTTTTGAGCGCTCTCATGGAACAAAGAGTTTCGTATCTAGTCATCGTTGTTCTGGGCTTCCGTCGAAAGATCAGAACTCTGGGTCCCAAAAAAGTTTATTACCATATTCGGTAACTTTATGTTGAGTAGTCTATAACGCGACGCTATCAAATTAGTTTTATGTGAGCAGCCCTTGAGAATGAGGTGAAGTTGACGTGATGTATTATCGGTTTTGCCTAACGTTCTCGCTATCGATAAAAAGATTACTTATCTACATTACAGAGCGGTTTGGATTTGAGTTATAAGTGATATTTTGCTTAATTTATGTAATATTGGTATTCGAGAAAATAAATTAATTTTTGGTCTGGTACACTCGACAGGGCGTATCTGAGTGGTGATTGAATAAAACAAAGCTAATTTTGTGAAAAATATTTTTCTGTTAACATTGTTGTGTAACTATCTATATTTGTCTTCTCTTGGATTTGATAAGTTCTGGAATGGCACAGGAAAACGAAGTAATTAGCAAAGAGAAAGCATCGTCTAACGATACTACATCATCTTCTTCAGTGGATACCTGTAACATTACTTCAATCGATAGCGTTCAGTCCGAAGGTATGTTTATTGGTTTTATGTAATAAGTAACAAGATTTTCCCAATTGGTGTAAAAGGTGAAAAAACTGTCTTGAAACCCGTGCGTTTCCTAAATTTTGTTAGCCAGATATGTACTAAGCCATATTCTTATATTATTATTAAATATAACCTGAAAGCTATACACGTGCTTCGATTTATAAATGCAAATATAAGTTGCGTTTCAAGAGTAATTACTTTCTATTAAATTTCTATTGTTATTTATCATTTGAGGGTTAGGTAACACTGCATTTAAATCATATCTAACTTCCTATTAATATTACGACCAAATTGCCTAACCGGCCGGTGATTTTCTTAGCATTTGGGGCATACAAATTGAACTGGTGGGAGCCCAGCTGTTTATTCGCCGGGCGTGACATTTATTTATTTTAATTTATCACATGACGGTCGATAGATGAAACAAATTTGAAAACTTGTAAGCGGACCATGGACGGTATGAAAGAATATCCAAAGAGAATAAAATCGAAAGAGATAATAACAAATGTCAACCCACTCCAATGTTTAAAAATAATGAGCTTACAAATATTGGCTCTCTAATGTTAACAAGTAACATAAGGCTTTTTAAATCTCTTAATTTATCTTTTTTAAATCTGAAATTTCCATAATCTTATTTGGACAATTCGATCAATAATGAAATAAAATCTGTAGCCGAACATTTTTTACACCAACTTGTACTTTATTTGTATTTGTAAGCTGCATCTTTAGTCTGTAGCTGGAATTATGAAAATTACTAGTTTAATCACACATTAAGCTTTCTTTTCAAGTAATTAAAATTTAAAAATGTAGATGCTTCAAAAAAAAAAAACTAACAACTATTTTGAACGCACTCAAAGCATTCCTAATATCTCTGCTACGTTTTATAAAAACTAAATGCATTATATACTTTTATGGCGTCGGCATATAATCAGAAAGTGGCGTAGAGGTAACTTCCTTTAGTGTAATTAATCCACGTTTAGAAATCGGCGAAGAAGTAATGGCCTTAATGTTTGTTTCTGGTTTGAGTTCGCAGCTGATTGATTTCGTTTTTCATTCGCTTCCATTCATTTCTATATATCACTTTAAGCGCAGAGTTGCATGAATAATTGTGACAACTAATAAAAAATGACCGACTAGTGCAGTTTTTGCGGTTACAACTAGAGTCACCACCACTAATAACAACAACGGAAAACAGGAACCAAATGGGAGTTAGGTTACTTTATAGTCTACAATGCTTGTCACGATCGCACAACATTGTTGAAGTGTGTCGGTGGTGCGAATTTACTAAGATGTTCGAGGTCGCAAGGCCATTGATTAAATTTAACGGGTGTGATAGTCCTGATAAAAGTAAAAAAAGCCAGATAAAAATCCTCTTGTTCCGTTATGAAGACAGTTGGAATTAAGTCGCCTCTTGCGACAGGCATGCCGAAACCGCGGGTAAATTCTTCAGCCCCTAACCCGCAGGTATTGGCTTTAGACTTTCACCCTTTTGATAGGACCTTATAAGCGGTATTGAGGAGGCTTATCCCGTGATAATTGGGGTAGGTTTTGGCGTCTTCCTGTCGTGCAAAAAACTGACTTTTGAAGTTTAAAAATTTTTCATTTTCTGAATTAATATAATTTTCACTTTCAAACTTACTAAATAAAATATTTATAAACATATTCTTATTTACTTTTATATATAGAACTAAATATATAAATTGTACTCTATATAACTGGCGATGCTGCTCATCGATTTTTGTTCAAGCTAACAATTACTTTTACGGATATACACGGTTATATTTATCATTTCAATTTTCAATACCATCTTGAACATTAAACAACAGTTACAGGCCTATTCCGTCTTGGTAACAAAATTTACTTCGGTAATAAAATTTACCATTCAGTAAATTTTGTTACTATTTCGTATTTTGAGTTATCTGTCACCCTGAATCTTTTGTTACAATCGAAATATGCTGTTTGGTTTTGTATTTTTAGTTTGAGAAAAAATAAATACCAAAATGGCTAGGCATATTTTAGGCATGGAATTTATTGAAGATGAAGAAAAAAGTACAAGAAGGCGTATGTTAATTAACAAGTTTTCGAGACAACAAAAAAAAAAAAATTAGTACAACTTATTGATTTTCTTGCATATTTTTTGAAAATATATCTTTTTACCTTATCAACTGGCAAATGTAATTTGACATGGACCAAAAAGCGTGTTAAAAAAAAGTAACAATATTTACTTTACCGGTAACAGTGAGAATATGCCTGTTACAGTAACATTGTCGCATCGAAGCAATACAATAACAAATATGAAATTTTAATTTAAATTGGTCAATTCTCCGGAGAAAATATATACACATATTATTATTAGACGGGATTAAAATTTTATAGCTATTTTAAATAAATAAGGAAAAGAAAACGTTGGAAATCGACAAATTACTCAACTAGGTCCTATAGATTTTTCTGCACTGACTTCTGTTGAAGCGTTTCACTTTCATTTGGATGCAATCGCTTTTGAAATTAAATTGAAGAATTTAACTTCTACAAATATTAAGAATTACTACCATCAACAACAATATCTAATAGAAAAGATCAGTACCTGGTTTTTATACTTTGTAAGAAATTATAATTAATCTTTTTAAGTAACTTAATTTAAGTCTAAATTAAAATATTTCAAATTATTGTAAACTCTTTCTCAAAAAATGCATAGATGACCTATACGCACTCTAATACAGATTTAAATACAATACAAAATTGAAAACAAGACATTCATACATATAATTTAACACATCTTGAAGATAATTTTAGACTGAATTCCAAATCAATTAAATTACCTCCTTTCTTAAATGAATGTCCTGAAGTATGGTGTTTGCTTGTTGAAGGACAAGGTAAAATCAACAACATATAAATGTTATAATGACGATGTTAAATTACGAATTATTTTAATTTCTCTTCCACGAGAAATTATATTCAAAATTATCGATTTTATTAACCACCTCCGTTTTTGAATAAATTATTTTTAAATATTTTAAATTTATGTAGAACTTTTTAAATATATGAAATCGCTAACTGGCGGCTCAGATTCAATTGTTAGTCACGAAAAAACTACCTCAACAAATTCAAATTTATATAATATAACTTTTCTAGTAATCAAAATAAAGATGAAGTTTTTATTTTGGCTGATAAAATTTTCGATTTAATTAATAAACTTTAAGTATCTTCAATAGCTTCAAATTTTAATAATAATAATAATATAATGAATATATATTCGAACAATTTGAATAATAAAAATTTAACTGACTTAACAACCGGAATGTATCAAACTTTAAACAAAATTACAACTGACATTAATGAATTACAAATTAGATCTAGAGATAGATATAGATCTGGATCAAGAAATTCATCAAAACCCAGAAATAAAATAACTTAAATCTAAACGTCGCTTTTTTATTTACGATAAATTTAACAAATAAAATTTTTTGATTGATACAGGCGCCATCGTTTCAGTTATACCATCTTCTAAATTCAAATCATTTAAAAGGAATTCTGATCTTAAACTTTCGGCTGCAAACAGATCTAATATAGAAACATTTAGAACTATACTTTAAAACTTGATTTAGGTTAGAAAAGTTTCGAATTTCCATTTATAATTGGAGATATTTCAACTCCAATTTCTGGTGCTATTTGGTGGTCTTGATCTCATTAAATTGAAAAAAGCAAACACAAAATTCGAATTTTTAGTTAAAACTGGTATTTGTCGACCATCAAATTCACATAATGCATTTCCTCTTCATTTAATTCCCAAAAAACAACCAAATGATTGGAGATCATGTGGCGATTATAGAAGATTAAATTTGGATAACTATTCACATTCACGATTTAAATATTGATTTAAAAGATAGAACAATAGTTCCAAAAATTGATTTAGTTTGTGCATATCATCAAATACCAAAGGCTGAGGAAGATGTACAAAAAAACAGCAATAACCACTCCTTTCCGAATGTTTGAGTTTGTACGTATGGCTTTTGGACTTGGAAACAGTGCTCGAACATTTCAACGATTTATTAATGAAGTTTTTCTGGATTAGATTTCGTATTTGTTTATATTGACGATATTCTAGTAGTTGGTGACAATGAAGAGCGACATGTTGAACATTTAAAATCAGTATTTAAATTAGAAAGTTACAAATGTTAAAGTAGATGCCTACAGTATCTATTGCATCCCGCACGTATAGTGGGCGATGGCAACGTTGAGAGATAGGCGGCTTGCTTTCTCTCCATAAAAACTCCGAATTCTAGTTTATTTTTATAACTAAAAACGGATTGATTGGATGATCCTGTTATCAGTTCTGCTATCTACGCAAACGCACATTTGTTTCCAGAGATCAGCGGAAATTTGGTCGTAACGGTGGAATTTTTTTTTTAACGTATATCTTTAAAACAGTAAATAGTTTAAGTAAAATATTTTTATATTATAAATTATATTTTTTTAATATTTATATGAAAGAACAAATGTTGAAAATAGACAATTTTCCGACCAAATAAACCCATGTTACACCTTAAGTGTTTGGTTTGTCGCGTTAAATTTATTTCTTTTATATGATATATGACTACGCGATTATGTGTTTAAATTAAGACACATTTGCATAGCTGAATTCTAAAAGAAATACTAACGCATTTAAAAATTCGCGTTGTAGAATGCCGCTTATAATGCTTGAAACGTATGCAACATGTGCCATAAACAACTCCACCATTTTTTAATAACGGAGTTATCTTAAGGCCTGCTCAGGTCAGACGCATAGGATATATTGTTCGCATCAGTTGGTTCCATGCTGTCAGTGCTCAACTGCGTTTTTAGCACTCACTCCATTGCTTTCTACACCCTTACCAACTCTGGGTAACCACCGCCAAACCTCTTATGGTCTCATTGAGCTCCCTGCACCATAACTCCCATTCCAGTTGAGCGACTTTTACGTGAAACACTCTTCGGCATTATATACTGTCAACTGATCGTAGAGGAATGGAGTTGGAAGAGCGATTTCGTTTCCGTGGACCATCGGACGCTCGTTATCTTTAAAAAAGCTAACTGGTGGATTAACGGAATCCACTAATAACTTTTAGTGCTCTCCTCAATTCAATTGGTGTCTCTTTCCGCAGTATCGTCGAGTCCGCTGCCCCGTTTAATTCCGGCAGGACGAATTGCGTGAATTTCCTCGTCAGGGATCTTAATGAGGCGATTGTGTTGTTTTTCGTGGAATACCTGTCATAACAAGAGCATTTGCCTCACTGCATTTACAATACAGTACGACAAAATGAAAATAGGCTTAAAATAAAGCAATTCATGTCTCGGTGTTTTGCTGTAGCACGTCAGCATTTTGAGAAAATCGATTTTTCAGCTTCAAAGGACAGTGGAGGTTCACTTCTTATGTAATACTATTATAAAAAGTTCCAAAAAAACAGAATGGGTGAACCGAATTAAATCTTGATCCAGTTTCAAAAAGGTAATTAAATATAGAATATTTTAAACATTTTTTTTCTCCGCTTGTTCGCGCTTTAACTTTCATGTCAAGTTAAAATTTAGCTAAAAATGTACGTTTATTCATGCACGTTTTTAACAGGATTTAATAAACGTCTAATAACATCATCTGTGGACCATCGAATACGCCTGCAAGAAAATAAAAAAATAATTAAAAGTTCGGTCGAGCACCTCCTCTACTCCAATTTGTGGTTTTGCGTCGTGATGTTTTTCCAACAAATGGAGGGACTTACAGTTTATACTAAGCACTTTTCGAACGGCTGATGGTTCATGAGGAGCTTCTTTTATTATTTAACTTTTGTTATGCAAATTAATTTTCTATAACTTACGGGATGTTAGTACGACACCAGGATTTGAACGGGAGCCTTCCGAATTGCAGTACCCAAGTTAACTACTCAGCTACCGCGGCCTGCTCTAATTTTGCCGTCACTTCCATCAGAAAAAACAGTTTTAAAATACTTGAAAACTTCACTTTAATGATCCAGTGCACTAATAAAACTTCTTATTTTATTTTTATTTTATTTTGTTTATTTATATTTTAATTTAACCCTCCGTCGGTCGCACATTTACATACCTGAAGAGGGTCGGTATGACACCCAGCTATACATTTTGCATGCATTTGTATGGGTAATTCGGAATTTGTGTTTTAGGTGTCGCATATACGCACGACAGTAATCAGTTAAATATAAAATATCTGAGAAGAGAACGAATTATTATTATAAAAATTGTCGACTGACTTCCTTGCTTTGCTGTGCGAACAGTCAATAAAAAGAGTAGTTGAAAGTAAGGTGAAGTAGATTAGAGATTTCGACAGGGGAATTTATATCAATATTGAAAATTATCAATTATTTTGGGAAAAAGATGTGTATACAAACATTTGTTATATAAATTGACGCTTTTAAACTGCTGAAACGAACTCTGGCCGAGCCTCTCCTATTTGTGGTGTGCGTGTTGATGTTTTTGATAAATAATGGGAGTTTATTCTAAACTGCCTCTGAAAGGCTGATGGATTTTTATGATGAGCTATTTTATGTCAGAAGTACATTCAGAGAGGGTGACGTTCCCTGCCAAGAGGGGATTAGAAAATATAAATTATTATTTTTTAGTTGAATTAATTTCATATAGTTGGTTCGGTATAAAAAAGTTTTTTTTTTGTACATTTACAGAAATTGAGATAATATAGACGATTATTACAAAGGTATTGTTGATGTATGATGATAATATATGTAAAGTATGTGATAAATCTTCAGGATCCTATTAATGATTCCCATTGGTCATTGTACAAACCTACAAGAAACAAAACTCATATTTTTCACTCATACAAGCACACTTTTTTACGCACTCATTAAGTTGATTTTTCGCTTCGTTTCTCTGAGTTTTGAATAAAATGGCTAGTATTTAGTTGGGTGTGTTGCCGTGCTAAATTTGTCTTCGGTGAAGTAGAGGAAGATGAAGACTTCCACTCCGTTGGAAGGATTAGAAGGAGAGTAACCTGACCTCACTTGGTACTTCTAGCATCCGCCAAATAAATGTATATATATATACATTTATTTGGCGGATGCTAGAAGTACCAAGTGAGGTCAGGTTACTCTCATATATATATGGGTGAAAATAGGCTTAAATGGAAACCGAGCACTCAAAAAGAAAAAAAAACACGCAAATAATCTAAAAAGTTTTATAAGTTTCTCTTTTCTTGTTTTTTTTTTTTATCTCTTAGAGGTACCATCAGAATAGATGTCGGTGGTGTCGCAGAGTATAGTGAAATAAGATTTTTCGTATAAAGGCCTACATAGCTGCGAAAAATAAATAAATATCAAATAATTTTATTTATTTCCTTTTTTAATAATGTGCGTTGTATTAGTAGTAGTAGAATTTTCACTCTGAATCCGTTTAATTTATATATATATTTTTTTAATACAAGAAGTTGAAAATATAAACAACATTCTGCACTGTCTAGTTTACTGATTTTGTTCTGTTTCTATTGAAAACATTTCATTTGGTATTTTTTATAATTGGTTGTTACTTTGAAACATTTTAAAAGTGAAATTTAAGGATTACGTGAATTAATTTTCAAAAATTACTCGGAACGATGAATACTTTAGGATAATTCATTATTATAATACTTTTTCGAAGCCAAGTACGTATCAGAAAAATAGACCCTTGATATTTTTTGTTGGAAAAGGCTCTAGGCAAAATCCCAACATTTATGGTAGTTATATTTTAACCGAATCCGTTTATTTAATTTTACATTATTGTTGCTTGTTTTTATAAAACAAAAAGTATAGATATGTAACTGTCAACTAGAAGAATCTGGATCCGTATTTAGAAAATTTTTTTTTTTAGTTTGGTCTATTTAGGAATACTTGATCTAACGATTTCTGGCTTGTTTTATACTCTCCCAATCACTAATGCAGTGCACTTAGGCATGCCCGTCGTAAGAGGCGACTAAAATTCAATATTTATCGTGACAGTCGGGTCCTTTTACCGGAACGACCCGGAGCAATTTCCCATGCTATTTACAGCGGCAGTCGATTCAAGCTATACTGACTCGAAATGTAACCCTTCATTATTTGTTCTTTTACATCAGGCATAAAATTTAAATTGTATATATTCTGATTCTATTTGTTTTTATGTCTTCATGTCATAGGCCACGATGAACCTGGGTCAGTTAATGAACAAAAAATGCAGTCCGAATCGTCCGAAACTATTAAAGAGGGAAATAAAACAAATAAAGGCAATGAAACTGCGCAAAACGAAGCAGTTGATGGAGAGGAGTCTTCACTATCTTCGGAAACCTTGGATCTTGAATCACTTCATGATGTTGGAATAACAGTACATATACAGAGTCCAGGTGCTGAAATACTGTCAGTTCAACTGTCTAGTATGGAGTTGGTACAGGAAATCCACCAATTGCTGATGGATCGAGAAGATACTTGCCATAGGACATGCTTTTCCTTACAGTTGAACGGTATAACATTAGATAATTTTGCAGAATTAAAAACAATTGAAGGCTTAAAACACGGATCGACAATCAAAGTAATCGAAGAACCTTATACTATGCGTGAAGCACGTATTCATGTACGTCACGTACGTGATTTATTAAAAAGCATGGACCCATCTGATGCATACAATGGTGTAGAATGTAATTCATTAACATTCCTACATACTATTACGCAAGGAGATTTATTAGAAAAGAAAAAAAGTCGATCTGATTCCGTGGATTGCACACCACCAGACTACGTGATGCCTGGTGTGAAAGAAGCTCCACTAATTCCATTACAACCGGGGTTGAAAAATTCGAAAGGACCGCAAGCTCTTAAAATCTTGACTAGTTCTGCTTGGAATCCTCCCCCAGGACCTCGTAAATTACATGGTGATCTAATGTACTTATATGTTGTAACCATGGAAGATAAACGCTTTCACATTTCGGCTTGTCCTAAAGGATTTTATATAAATCAATCTACAGATGAAGTTTTTAATCCAAGACCAGACAATCCAAGCCATTTAAGTCATTCATTAATAGATTTGCTATCGCAAATCTCTCCATCTTTTAAACGCGCATTTCAGCAAATGCAAAAGAAGCGAACTTTGCGCCACGCCTTTGAACGTGTTGCTACCCCTTATCAGGTGTATCAATGGACAGCACCACAATTGGAACATACAATTGACGCAATTCGTGCTGAAGATGCCTTTTCATCAAAATTAGGGTAAAATGGTTATTTGGTTATTTAATGGATAAATCTTAAGGGATTATTTTCAGATATGAAGAGCACATCCCTGGACAGACGCGTGACTGGAATGAGGAATTACAAACAACTCGTGAACTGCCACGAAAAACTCTACCAGAACGTTTGTTACGCGAACGTGCTATTTTTAAAGTACATGGCGATTTTGTTATTGCAGCCACCCGTGGAGCTATGGCAGTAATAGATGGTAATGTTTTGGCCATAAATCCAGGAGAGGATCCAAAAATGCAAATGTTTATATGGAATAACATATTTTTTTCCTTGGGTTTTGATGTACGAGATCATTATAAAGACTTGGGCGGAGATGTTGCCGCATTTGTCGCTCCTCGAAATGATCTTCATGGCGTACGTGTTTATAGTGCTGTTGATATAGAGGGCCTATATACATTGGGAACGGTAGTTATAGATTACCGTGGTTACCGAGTAACGGCACAATCTATTATTCCCGGTATTTTGGAGCGGGAACAAGAGCAGTCTGTCGTTTACGGTTCAATAGATTTTGGTAAAACTGTTCTAAGCCATCCGAAATATCTCGAACTGTTGCGAAAGGCGGGAAAACATTTAAAGATTATGCCTCACTCCGTACTAAACGAAAACGATGAGCCAGTAGAGTTATGTTCCTCGGTTGAATGTAAAGGTATTATTGGCAATGATGGCAGACATTATATTCTCGATTTACTCCGCACGTTTCCACCAGACGTTAATTTCTTGGTTTTGGATGACATCGATTTATGTCCCGAACTGAAATCTTTAGGATTTCCAATAGAGCATAAACACAAACTTTCTTGTTTACGACAAGAGCTACTCGAAGCATTCATCGAAGATCGTTATGTTACTTTTATTCGAAGTGCAGCGCAACATTTACAAAATTTTAATTCCCAAAAAACAACAGTTGAAAATAATAACGAAGTCACAAATGAAGAAAATGGCATTGCTCAAACGGAAAATGAAAAACAAATTGAATTAAAAGCGAATAAAAACCAGAATGATGTTATGGTGAAAGCTTTAGATGCAATCAAAGAAGCCCAACTTAAAGTCTCTACTTCAGATGAAACACAGGCATCTGACGTTGTGAAATATGCTTGTGCCGCTGTTGGGTCATTAAAAGAACAGGAGTTTGATTTTCGCTTCAACCCAGATGTGTTTTCTCCGGGAATTCGTCATGTTGACGACCCAACTTCTTTCAATGCAATTTCTAAACAAAAAAAGCTCATTCAGGATGCTTCAGAGTTTTTGGTTAAAAAACAAATTCCATCTTTTATAAAAGAGCACATGAATCACACATCGCCACCAATGGATGGCACTAGCTTAACGGAAGCTTTGCATAGTCACGGCATTAATATCAGGTTGGTATACTTCGTTTGTTATGTTTCAAGTTTGCTAATTTTTAACTTTATAAAGGTATCTTGGAAAAGTCATACACATGCTAGAAAAAATACCGCGGATGGAATATTTGCACAGGATTGCTGTTGTGGAATTAATTGTGCGGTCTACTAAACACATTTATTATTCATATATGCAGAACACCGATGCGATGCACTTGTCCAATGCCATTAGTCATTTTTTGAATTGCTTTTTGTCGTCAGGACCGGCAAGTGTTACAAGTAACTCAAATGACTCAAGTAAATCAAATCGGCGAGGAAAAAATAAAAAACTTTCTAAAAATGCTAATGCTTCTGGAAATAAAAATGCTTCAGCTGCCGAGAATAGCGATTGGCTGCAAGTTACCCCAAAGTCGCTTTGGTTACAAATAAAGAAAGAAGTAAAGTCGTACTGGGATTACGAACTAAAATGTGACTCAATTGAAACTGCCGTTGAAGTGTATGGCTTTCATAGAATAAGTGTGTTGCGTGCTTTCTGTTTAAAGGTTGGCATTCAAGTACTCCTGAGAGAGTACAATTTTGAATTACGAAATAAAACAACATTTACCGAAGAGGACATACTAAATGTTTTCCCCATTGTTAAGCATATAAGTCCTCGTGCATCAGATGCTTACAACTTTTACACGACAGGACAGTCTAAAATACAGCAAGGATTATTCAAGGAAGGATATGAACTTATTAGTGAAGCTCTTAATCTCTTAAATAATGTATTTGGGGCTATGCATTCGGAGAATGGCTCCTGCTTACGAATGTTAGCGCGCCTTAGCTATTTATTAGGAGATCCCCAGGAGGCTCTTGCAATACAACAACGGTCAGTCATTATGAGCGAGCGTGTTAATGGCATCGACCACCCTTGCACTGTATTGGAATATGTAAATGAAATAAAATAAAAAATGAAACAGATAATAACATTTCTATTTCTAGACACACTTGTCACTATATTGCTTTGCTAATGGACAAATTGGAGCATCTTTGAAACTACTATATCGTGCTCGCTACTTATTAGTTTTGATATGCGGGGAAGACCATCCAGAAGTTGCTCTTATAGATGTAAAATCTCTGAATTACGTGCAAATGTATTTCAATTAATTCTATTAATATTTCAGAGTAATATTAGCCTTATTTTACATGCTGTTGGGGAGTACGAGCTATCTCTACGATTTATTGAACATGCATTGGAGTTAAATTTAAAATATTTTGGAGAAAAATCTATGCATGTTGCTGTTAGCTACCATTTAGTTGCAAGAACTCAATCATGCATGGGAGACTTTCGATCAGCTTTAAACAATGAAAAGGAAACTTATGCCATTTATAAATCTCAGGTAATTTTCAAACCAGTAACGAAATTCGTAATAAAATTATATATTGATAAAATTTGTATATCCTAAAATTTTGTTGTCCCATTCATGTGGTGTGTTATAACTTTGACACTTATCAGCTGGCGCGATTAAATTAAAATATAGTCTAATTTTATCTAGAGGCATTAAAAAGGAACAAACAATATCAAAGGGGTGCTTTAAAAAGCCAAGTTGAAACCATACCGAATATTCTAACCCCTTAGTTGTTGTTGTAATGGCAAAAGCATTCCTCAAAGTAGTTTTTGGAGAATGTTTATGATTTCATAGGTAAAACACTCGATTTCGATTTTATAACACCTCTGAATTTAATTAGTTTTTTTTACCTCATTACAAATTATATAGTATTTAGATATCGTGTTTGTTTCATGTAGAGTATAGCGTTTTTAAAGTAATATATATGTATATGGTTTTCAATAAGATTCGTAATAAACTTTTTGTTTTACAAATGTAGTTTCAAAAATGTAAAGATATTTTTATATTGAAAAGGTATATTCGAATTACTCGAATAATCGTTTGATACTTCCCCAACTTGGTAATTTTTTCTATGGCGTATCATTTTTCGGTGCATAAATGATCAATTTAAACGGATCATTGAAGAATTTCTCATAGGATAATTATCATTCATTAAAAATATTTAATGGAAATCATTGAAATAGTAATAAGCGATAATTATTCGATATATTTGAATGCTGTTGTATGTCGAGTATTAGTTTCTGTGTATAAGATTTTGATAACAATAAAAAATCTCCTTGCAGTTGGGCGAAACTCATGAAAAAACCCGGGAATCAGCGGAATGTTTACGTTTGCTCACACAACAGGCCGTACTGTTGCAACGCAAAATGAACGATATATATTCAAATGGCAAATTGAGTACAGGACTACCGCCGATTCACATACAACCGCCTACTATGGGCTCTGTTTTGGAGATGCTTAACACAATAAACGGAATATTGTTCGTTCAAATCAGGTAATGGCTCCATATATTTTGTACTGAGCAAATTCTGAAATTCAAGTGAAAATTAATATGGTAGTAATACTTCGTTTAAAATAATAAATTAAATATTTAAGATTTTTTAATTTAAAAACCAAGAATAACTGTTGGCCATGGTTTGGTGAATACATATATTCAAAGTTGTAAGACATTTTTATCGTTTGTTTCAAGTACCGTTGCTTTCAATTGGGTAGTTAGTTGTAAATGTTTTTAATATCCATTCCAACAAAAGAAACAATACTGTGAATAGCCTACACGATTTTATGAAATCCGACAAAGCCTTAGTTTCGTTTCACTTTCTCTTTTCGTTATTTCGGTTTGTTATAAAAAATAGTAGGGCAGAATCTATTATATTGCAAAAACAAATTTTTTCATTTATATGTAATGATTATTTTAGACCTTACGTTGGCTCATAACAGTTACTTTCAATTTATATTTTCTTTCCGTTTCACTTTGTAGTACAGTTCATAATTAATTTCATGCACCATTGCACATTGGGTCAATTGCGTTTTAATAAAATTAAATTAATTTATTAAATTTGTGTTCTTACGAAAATACAATGCTTTTCCTATAACTGGGAACCAATCAACAGTGTTCTAGTGAGTTGAATGTGTTATCAAGGGCCGCAAACGTAACAATTTTATACGCGAATTATACGGTGTCGGTGAAAATGATTAATTGAAATGTAAAATCTGTTTTTCGAATTTCATTGGAGGCAATGCAACACATTTAAAAAGACACATGAAGCCCACATGGACCAATATGAAGATGCTTTTGCAACCAAGCAACTGCAACCATTTTCATTTTTGACTCGAATGTATAATATTTAAAACCTTTGCCGATACAATTTTAGGAGGGTTATACATGTCTTCTGTAAGCCCCACAAATATCATTGACATAATGAATGAAATTTATGGGAACACAAACAATTTTTTCACATCAGTGTTAAAAAATCGTATATATATATAATTGGCGCTTTGTAACTGCTGATGCTTTGCGGAACAAAATATTAATTCAAAATAACTTATGAGGCAAAGTAAAAAATTAAAATCTGAAATAAAAAAACGTTATGATTAACGGAAAAAAAATATTTATTAAAAATAACTCTTATGAAGAAACTTAAAAGATATTCCTTAAACTAAGGACAACTTTTTCGATCAAGGTTTTGGCATTTCGAGTGCATGATTATGAGTTCTATGGCAACGAATTCAACTTTTTGCATTCATTACACATAGAGATTGTCAAAATTAATTTTTTTTGTTCTGTTTCAACATCAATTGATTTTCATTTTTGTAAACCAATGCATTTTCCATGATTTTAGCAATCACTACAGCAAACCAAAAATAAAATACAAGGTAATTTTTTATTTATTCTCCTGCTTGCTACCTCCTCCATTCGTTTTATAGGTCGTTTCCATCAAGCGTAAATACGTGTTTGCATGTTTTGAGTTTACGAGAACTGTCCAGTGTTTCCACTGGGTGTTTAAAGAGTTTAATTGTTGACTTGACAAATAGTCAATTTTGCAAATAAAATGACAAATATTCACTGAAATATTAATTCAACTGGTGGAGGCACACTTTTGGCGTTAGAAAACGCTACAATTTAGGTATGTCAGATATATGGAATTTGACAAGTGTTTAGAGTGGTGTTTGCGACTAAACGCGGTAGCTACTACGCTTGGTGGCAACGGCCTCTTAGCTTTTAACTTTGTGGTTTTGCTACATAACTTCACTTTTGTGAATTTATTAAAAATATACCAAGGCAAATTTATAGAAGGGAACAAAAGAAATAGATTTTGACATTTCGAACCTTCGTTTAAACAAACAAATAACATGGGGGTATTTTTAATTTCTAATTAATTGAATTTCAGGTCTTGCTCATAAAAGTATTATTCTATGAACATAAATAATAAACTTTCATTTTGCGTTTAGTCAAAAGGATATAGCTAAAGTGCGCACTGAGATAGAAAAACACTTGAAGAGTACAAGCGATGGTACCGATGCAATTGAAGCAGCTAAGGATGAAGGCATTTCCGAAAACACAGATGCTTTGTTGAATTCTCCAAAAAAGACTGACATATTGATCGACGTCAATAATGGAACTGGTGACAAAGATTTAAAAAGTTGAGTGGTTAGTTTATTGTGATTAAACCTAATAATGATACATAATATGGATTATTATATTAATAAAAAAAAGTTTGCGAGTCTGCCATTTAAAATAATCATCTTTTATTAGTATAAAGATTCCGTACACAAATTTGATGAAGGTAATTAATGACGGTTGAGGCCCTTGGAAGTAACCGAATTGTATCCGGCCATCCTTTCGGCGATCTTACCCCGTTTAGTTCAACAGATAACAATAATAAAAATGTTGCTTTGGGGTATGTTGCGAGAGTGACAGTCTTTGGCCGGACAAAAATACCGGTCGCTCCAGTATGAAGACGTGACTGTCGCGGGAACTTTTTGATTTTAGTCGCCTCGTACGACAGGCAGGGGTTATTATAAACAGGTAATGGCTAAATGCTTTGTCCCAATCGGAACCAGCTGTGCTTGTATTCCTTGAATATTGACTGCTGGTAGGACCAAGTGAGCGCTTTGAAAAGTAAGGTAGATCTTGAGTGGAAGCATTGAAAATAGTTCACAATGAAAAAAAAAACATATGTATGTATATTGAGCTCAATGGAAATATCACAAATTCCATTAAACCAAACCGAAGTAAATGCATGACATAAGGGTACGCACGAGCTGTTAAAAATATGTCAAATTACTGCTATTGTAAAGAAGCCAAGATCAAGGAAGCGAGCTGTTGCAAAGGGTTCCTACCAAAGAGAAATAGGGTTAAGATGAGTAGGTTTTAATAGGTGTTCGAAAAGGTGGTTAGTGTCAGGCGTGTTCTCATTGCATGCCGGACATAAGTTGGGGTCTAGATATTTAGGAAATCAGTCGACTACAGTAGCGAGATCTTAATTTCGGCAGTATTACTCTAGGGAGCTCGAGCTCTTCGTGTGGGATGGGTGGTGATTGGATTCGGAGAACGCCGTTCACGGGAAGAGAGCTCAAGAAGGTATTAATAGACATTCGGTGAATGGTGTTTTAAAGTATGTAGGTACGCCGTCCTGTCCGGAATGAAATTTCCAACCGTTCATCGCGTCTCCTGGGGTTTGACAGGGACCTAAGGCTTACCTGGCCAGAGTAGAGGTAATATGTGGATTGGCTTTCCTTATAGTGCCAGTTCTGCGAAAACTACGTAGAGTGGTCTGACAAAGAATTATAAACTCCGTAAAATTAAACAAGGGGTTCCGTAAGGAAGTGTTCGAAGCTCCCTGCGAAATCCTCAGGTACCCTTTTCGCGGCTAGAACTGAGAGAGAAAGCTGATAAAAAGCAATTGGTCGGACGGTCGTAAACTACGCTGCTCCGATTTGGACGCCGGGATTTAGCGACGGGAAGACAAAAAAGCTGTAAGCATATTAGAATATCAGAGTACAGAAGCCGAACCTCCGCCCTGGCACACAAGGAAGGGGTACTAGACAACGTCGACTCCATACGACATCAAAGAAAAGAACTGTTAGACAGGACAGCGTACCGTTAGCTTTTGAACGCCATTCACCGTGTGTCAATTAGTACCTTCTTAACTCTCTTAAAGTGGACGGGGTTCTCGGTATCCAAGCACCATAAATTGCATGCCAAGAGTTGTCTCGAGAGATTTGAGTCGTCCGACTTATCTAGACTTGACTCGACATACTCAACGTATTTTCTGCATGCAATAAAACCCCTTACTACACTATTCACCTCTTTGCATGCTCCTTAAACCAACTCGTCTTATCCCCTTTTCCCTGCTTTTAAACAATTTATAAGGCGGCAAACAGCGGGAGCCAGGTATCTTGAAAAGACGAGTGGTTTTACAACAAAAATTTATTTTCATTCCAACGCTAAAAGCAAGGATTACTCCCAAATTGTTGGAGTATCATTTCAAATGACGCAAGTACTGACGGGACACAGGTTACACAAAGAATTGCTCAACCGTTTTGAAATAGCCACGATAACCTATGTATGTCCCTGCAATCGATTAACTCGGCAAACTATGACTCATTCGCTTTACAACTGTCTACTTTATCCCTAGTAGAGACATACGTTCAAAATGTTCAACGCAGATAGTTAACTAAATATCTTTATTTAATGTATTCTACTTACTTAAAACATTTCATACAACTTATACGCATGCCTGTATTCATTCGCAGGCAATATTATTTCACAACCTACGATGACTAATGTAAAGTCTATAATTTAAAATAAAGTCGAAATAATGCCCTACTCGAAGCGTGGTTAGCATTGAGAGACAAAAAAATAAACCGTCAAAACATGCTGCTTTCTGGTCCTCCCATTAGAACACCCTGCTGTTGCCGGAATAGTGATCCATTAGCACAACAATAACAGATTTTATTGCTTTCACGTTCGAAAAATATTCGGAGGGGTTAATCGTCCCGCAGATTCCCGCACAAATGTATGTAAAAAAAAAATTTCACTAGTCATATTTTAATTTAAATTATTAAAAGAGCCCTCAGATTTTCTACAATTTCCGAATATATTTCTTAAAGTATATCGAAAACTCATTGAATTTTGCAAATTTAAGCAACAAAGTGTTTGGTAGTTATTCGAAAAATTGCATTATTGCATGTCCAGAACTTTGCCAGTGCCCGTTCCTTTGGAGCATATTTATTTTCTCTTGCTTCAACACTTCTGAAGAGTCAAAGAGCTCAATTATCGAAGTAACAAACCTTTGTGAAAAGTCAGTGGACTCAATGAAGCCCATTCGTAAAAAATAGAATGGTCACCCCACAAAGTTTTTTAGTACCGAAGTTTCCAATATTTGCTATATATCACTCTTCCCGAATTCAATTAGATGACTCCTCTTCTTCTTTTTACGAAGCCAAGACCAAATCCTAAAGGTTTTCTCCGCCATTGGCGCCAATTGGAAATAGTAAAAGTGTTCATGATTTTCGCATCATAAAAATGTTTTTTTTTTTTTGTTCTATTCCTTTATGAAATGTTCACTATACTCCACATTTCTTTTAACGAACGCAAATATTACCCCGATTTATTAAACTATTTTCACGTAGTTTGCTTAAATTCAGTCTAATCTGCAAGTTTTTACAATATTATGTAAAATACAATATAAAAATAAAAAAAAATATGCGGGCAAAATAAAATTGCATAATAAAATTTTGCATAAAAGACCGTGAAAATAAAAGTGTTTCACTTAAAAATATTGTGCAAGACGAAGCTTGTGTTGGTCCGGCCTAGCCTCCGTATGGAAGCTGTGAAATGTCACTGGCACTGTTTTAACCACTTAGTACTGTTTAAAAAAGCACTTTATATGAATATGAATTTGTTACACACGGTTGCAAAGTTATTCTACAATATTTGTTATGATGCCATATTGTCTAATAGTAAACACAATACAAATGCAACAGATCTACAATTTACAAAGTTGTTTCATTTAAAAATATGCCAATTTAGAATTTAATTTTCCATTTTCTTATTGAGTTTTTGGCCAAACTCCTCGTGGTTTATAAGTGTATTGGGGTTAACTAATCAACTCTATCGCTATACAAATGAACAATAATTTTTGCTTGGATACCAATTCTGCGAACGAAATAGAGAATTATGTTTATGTACAATTTCTGAATCGTTAGCTTCGAAGATTGATCAAGACAAAACGAAAGCCCAACGGCTTTCTCTGAACCACAAAGATTTTACAGATGATCCGTATTATTAAAGACTATTCATGCCTATGAAGAAGTGAATCTTTATAATCGACATATTTTTTTGGTGATCTTTGTTCGTATGCACTAGTGTCTTGAAAGTGCTGTACAAGATTTTGAATATTGTCCAAAAAAAAAACGTTTGACATTTTTTTGTAAAGTAATAGCTTTCCGCGGTGAGAAATGCCAGTAAGAATTAGCCAGTAACCTAAATTACCTAAAAACAAATTAAATACACTTCTTAATAATTCATATTTTGGGTATAAAACAATTTCATTTGCCCAGTAATAAAGGGGTCTGAGCTTAAAGGCAACGTATAAGTGAAATACGTGAAGTTATAATTGTGTGTTGTTGTCTACATTTTTTCTTGTTTTTCGATTCGGCGACTTCGTCCAACAACTCTTCTACAACTTATTTTGTCAGGAGCATAAATTAGAAATTTAAGCGTTTTTCACATTGGAGTACAAATATTCGCCAACTTTTAAACTATAGTTTGTACCACCATACACGTATGTAAGAACGATGACACGAGTAACAAATTTAAATAATGCTTACTTTGGGAGATAACACCTGACAAAGAAGCAAATCGAAACATTAAAGAATGAAAAATCAGGAGAATTTAGTAATTCCCTAGTAGTAATTCTAGTAATTGCAGTTTACAGAGTTTAAATAATATATTGATTTCAGTGTCTTAATAACATTTTTAAGAATTACAAATCTCAAAATCCTTTAAAAAATATATGCTTTATTTTATTTAAAAAAAAAATTGTTAAAAATTTGCGTTATATATCCATATCAAGTGACCATATTTTCATTTGGTTTTATTAAAGTTTTCGCAGAAAATATTATTATTTTTTATGGGAAAAGGCGGCTCTTTTATTTATATTCCATTTTTTTGTAATATTATATATGAACTCTTCCTATTATCACAGTGAGGTGTAGAAATTGCTTCGAAAACGTCTTAAGTGCATTGAAACGATATGAATGTAAACGGATTTACTATTTGCGAATGCAATTCATCCTGCAGATCGAAATATGATTTCATAAAACCAGATACATACGTGTCTTTTGTCCAACTACTCAGTTAGAATATGTATATAATGGCAGCGCAGTATCAGATGCCGATATAGAAAGGATGCCCGATAAAAATAGAATTAAAAATTAAAGTAAAATACCGGCATTGGAAAAGACTCCCACAATGGAGAAATCGCTGATATATTTACAGTCCATCTGATTGTACGAGCAATCTATACACATTTATGTAGATTAAAGCTTGATAAAAACCAGGGGTTTAAGATTGTTTACACGTATATTATATTTATATTAAATTCGGGAAATGGAATTACGGAATAGAATTACAAAACATTTTTATAAAAACCATGGTCTTGAAGACTGTTTTTTGTGTGTTGTTGTCTACATTTCCCTTTAATGTTTTTCTGATTCGATCTGTCCAATATCGAGCGTCTCGGTTAAATAATTTGGTGGATTTGCAAGTGAACCTTTTAAATAGTTTTCCTCAAGATGAGAATTATTCATTTTATGGCGTACAAGTTCAAACGCAGCGGCATACAAAAATGTATATTGGTCCAGTGTTTGTACCATCTTCATCCTTTGAAATCTCAGTTTTTTAACGGTTTCATAAATATTAATTTTTAACTCATGCTTCAGACGTTGCATTAATATATCCAATGCAATGTAAGTGCCAGTTCGTCCAACTCCTGCACTACAATGCACGATTATAGGAGAATAGCTCGATAAACGAAAACTCCTAATTTTACGTATGAAATTTATTAAATTCATCGGATTGCTTGGACTTCCGTGGTCAGGCCATTTTTTGTAATAAAAATGCTCAATTTTTCTCTTAAGTCCATATCTATCATGTGTGATCATCATCTGCGTGCGGTCGTAATATTCGTAACACATTTTCTTTTTAATTATAACAGAAATTCCTTTTGATTTGTACGGAAAGTATTCGTGGCATTTGACCTGCAAAGTAATGAAAAATATTTGAATATTTCATAAGCGATAGTATTTAGATATTAAGAAAGTTTGCTGGTAAATAATGGTAGAAAGTTAACGAAATGTAAGGTCGGGCCATTGATTCATTTTGCTTGTTAATTTGTTAAGAAAGTATGAAGTATATTAGTTTGTCCCCAAAACGGAAGAAGGTTGTTTCCCTTTTTTTCCCATCTTTTTCAAAATACAACCTCTAGTTATGGGTTCCGACAAAACGAGGTGTCTTTTTGAAAATGCAGCAACAAGAAGAAGATTTGTCAAGACTCACACATACGTGTATTGTCGAATATAATTATGCTACACAAGACAGAGCTAATTTAGAACTAATAAACGACAATTTCCACCAATGACATCTGCGTCCAAAGTAGCACATGTTGAGCAGTGTGAACCTGCCATGAATTTCAAGGCTGATGACTATTACTACGTTTATGCTTCGTTTCTACTCGTGTTTATTCTACTCGGATAGACTAAACTCGCAAGCATAAACACTTTTTCACCACGAGTTAAGGCTTCTACTCGGGTGGATTATACGCATTTTCTCTACATATGTATGTAGAAGCGTTAACTCGGTAGTATACACGCGGGTTGGGTTGAAGTCAACTGATTTGCATTAAACCTGACTGATACAGAGTTTCCGTGTTGCTAACTTTTTGCCAAAAAATCGATTAATAACCTAAAAATTAACTCCATTCTGAATTCACCTCGAGTGGAACATTTGGCGTTTATGCTTGTGGGCTTAACCAGAGTAGAAAAACCCGAGTAGAAAAGAAACAAAAACGTAGTATATGTGTTAAAGCTCGTCATAAGATAGTCACAATTATATTTAACGTCAAAGTTATGTCTATCCATCCTAGATCTAGATCCATTAGCCTCGCTTTCTTATCCAGTCTGGAGAAAGTAGGACTGTTAAAGCCAATGATGTCCATATTATCGGCATACGTCAGCGTTTTACACTCTTATAGAAGATTTTACCATCACGAGCGTTAGTCTTTCAAGGGTTCTTCAGAAGACATGTTTCACTATGCTTGTCGTCGCTTTGTTATTCTTCAAGAAGTCGTTCGCTGTTTGAACTTCTTTATATTCTTGTTCAACATCTTCTTTGATTATTTCATCATTACATTTAAGTTGCCTGCTGTGATCGCAGCATTTCAACGTCGAACCGTGTTTACACAGAGGCAAGTGCGTAACTTAAAAAGAAGGATTTCTTTATGTTGCATTCTGGTGTTCATAATATTAATTTTCCGATCCATGCACCGAAAACACATATTTCCCCACATAAAGTTGAAATCGTCAAGCATGCATTTTATACCAAGCTTTCATAGAAGGTTTCTTCATTGAACTGCTCGTCATTGATATTCTAAAGAACTTTAATTTATTATATGTGTGAGAATATCAACCACTTGGAAAGCGACTTCTAATAATAAGTGAGCCGCATGAGTTAATAATAAAACCCGTTCGATTAGACTTCAGAGAATCCTTCAACCCTATTGAATCATCTTCTCTTTTAGGTCGGTTATCGCAAGGATCGCTTACATTTCCAAGGGCGCGACAAGGACGCAAGAGCTTAAATTTAGGACAGTCCAAGTACACTTTGTATATCCAACAAACTTCCGTTTGCAGGCGACCTTAAGTTTAAATGAAAATCCCATACAGCTGTGTGCAGGACTTGGGACCCACCACAGGTATCGCCACAATGCGTTATAACTTCCAAGTCGTATCATCAACAGGTGCTACTGACCTAGTAGGCAATTAAAAAGTGAAGTCCTCTCCCGATGAATGAAAACCAAACTCTATAAGTCCCTTATCGTACCCGTCCTGCTATATAATGAGTCGGCGTTAGGACTCGACCACTCTAAGTTTTGCGTAAGATTTATGGTTCTTTGCGCAAACTCAACGGCGAATTTAGCGGACGTTGGTACGATGACATAGTTCGGCGGATGAAGACACAACGGCTACGAAATGGATAAAGCCCTCCATCTTTGAAAGTAGTCGATGCACTATCCGCTGATAGAAGCAGAGGAAGAGGAATATCACATCTCCATTGAAGGAACAGGTGGAGAGCGACTAGGTTTCACTTGGAATTTACAGCTTGAGTCAAACAAGGAAAATGGGAACGAATGGTGCGTTATTGTTGATTCGACTCAAATCGCTTTACTTTTCAATTGCCTGCTCAGTCCAAACTAGAACCTATTGGGAAGAGTGATTCTGCGTTGGATTTCCAGGCTGGCATTGTTGTTAGGGCTAATACTACGACTGCAAAGTTATGACTGTCAACAGTGACGTGGGAGCCGAGTCGCGAAAGCGATGACTGCTTATTTGATGACAGAAGATATTTTGTCTTGCCGTCATTCACTACCAGACCCATTTGCTTCGCTTCTTTATTGAGTTTGGAAAAAGCAGAACTCTCGGCGCGGTTGTTGAGGCCAATAATGTCAATATCATCGCTCTGTCTGAAGCCTCGGTTGGTATCGAACGGCTCGGAGAGGTCCTTCCCGATTCTGACGGAGCTTATAGTGTTGCTCAAGGTCAGTTTATACAACCGTATAAGTTTTGCCGGGATACCAAATTCAGACATAGCGGCGCAAGGCAGCTTCTTCTCGTGCTGTCGAAGGCTGCTTTAAAATCGACGAAGTGGTGGTGTGTGTCAATTCTCTTTTCACGGGTTTTTCCAAGATTTTCTTTTCATGGGTTTTTTCTAAGATTTGGCCCATTGTGAATATCTGGTCAATGGTTAACTTACCAGGTCTGAAGCCACACTGACAAGGTCCAATCAGATTGTTGACGGTGGTCTTCAGCCTTTCATTGGGGTTTTGGGTTCACCATCTCTGGGTGTTTCACTTCGAGTGCCATTCAGTAGGTTGGAGAAATGTTCCCTCCATAAATTCAGTATACTCTGGGCAGCCGTTACTAGCTTACTTCTCTGTGTCCTACATGAGTTTTTTCCGGTCTTGAAACCTTCCGTAAGTCGCCATATCCTTTCGCAGAATTTTCAAGCTTTACCTTTGTCAGCCAGTTTCTCAAGCTCCTTGTACTCCCGCATTTCGGCTTCTTTCTTTTTTTACCTGCAAATGCGTCTGACTTCCCTCCTCAGCTCTCGCTATCTATCCCACCCCACCCGTGCTGTGGTCGATCGCAAGGCAGTCTGTTTTCCCTACACCACGATACGGCATTTCTCATCGTACCAGCTGTTTTTGCGACTTTTCCGAAATCGAATAGTTTCGTTTGCATCTGTACGTAGGGAGTTTGAAATACCGTTCCACAGTTCTCTTATACCGGGTTGATGATGAGTGCTCTCAGAGAGCAGGTGTGCAAATCGAGTAGAAAACCGCTCGGCAGTGTGCTGTGGTTGCAGCTTTTCAACGTCGAACCTTCCTTGTGTTTGCTGACGGGCGGGTCCGTATCTTCGCTGCGACAAGGTAGTGATCCGAGTCGATATTTGGACCTCAGAACGTACGCACGTACGTACATAACACTGAATACATGCCTTCCGTCAATCACAGCATGATCGATTTTGTTGAGAGTTTGGCTATCTTGAGACAGCCAAGTAGCTTTATGTATTTTTTTTGCTCGAATCTAGTGCTACAGACAATCATATTTTGGGCCCCGGCGTGGAGTCTGAATTTTTCGACTGTTGTTCCAAAAATAACTTCTTTGCCCTGGCGTTGAAGGCGACAAGCACAGTTTTGACATTGTGGCAGGGTAGCGCTCATAGGTGTGTTCTAGGAGCTCAATAAAGCGTCCTTCTGTTCCGTCGGGACGTGGGGTAAAATCAGAGTGGTTTTAAAAAATTTTTTGGTTTGATTTGGATTGTGGCGAGACGTTCATCAACCGGAGTGAATGCCAGTACTCGGCGACAGAGTTTCTCTACACATGGCCCCATCCCCTTAAGAAAATAAAAGCATTAATTTTAAGGAAATTAAACTGGGTTTGCACTCTGAGTGCCCGTATGTACTGAAAGAAGCACACACAATTGCTTAGTAAAATATTATTTTTTTTAACCCTACTAAGTTGTTAAACAATAAAATCAGTTTTAACAATCAGAATATTGCTTTCATTTAAATCAATTGATATTTTATATTGTGGCAAATACTGTAAAACTCTATAACGAACTGTCTCCAAAACAATACCCGAAGTTCTACCTCAAGCAAGTTAATTCCTTACTTCAAGATATTCATCAGTAATGATTTCAAATTAGTATAGAATAATTGATTACGTAAAGTGTAATTATATAACATATAAAAATGGTTCCTTCTGTAGGCGCATAACTGGGGAATTTTCGACATTTGTGCCTACAGAAGTTTCTTTTGCTTTTCATTTCTTTCCTTCCCTGTAAATGCATTTTCCCTTCGCACTCAATGTAATTCGTTCTCTCAGCTGATACATTGCGATGTTAACCAACAAGTACACATCGTTCATTAGAAGAGTCCATAAGCTCGCACAAAAGGGAGAAGAGAGTTGTTTAAATGCTATGCACTAGTGGCACTAGAACCTCTGGGTGGTGGTAGAGCAAAGCTACGTAGTTCTCGTCAGAGAAAACAGATGTTTATTATATATAAGTAGATTGTACTAAATAAATGATTTATTAGCTTTCATTAAACAATTATTAAGTGCTATGATAATCTATTAAGAAATTACTTATTATACAAATATATTATAATATATTATTAATTTAAAACAAAATATTTCTTATTTTGTAGTAGAAAACAAAAACTAATGTAAAGTAAAGCCACGTTGTATCGTGCAGGAAGCTAAGAGGCCACAGGAAAGACTACATGTATCTAGAAGGAAAGAAGGAGACTTGGAAGGCCTAAAGTATGACCACATTGTTGTAAACCCAATGCACAACACGAATTTGTCCCGAATTCGATACGATATGTTTATTGCAAACTTATGTTGTAAGAAGCCAGACCAAAGCCCAGACTAATGGGAATGAGAATGATTTAGATTTGTACGAATGTGAATGCCAATCAATACTCAATCGAAAATGCCGAATTGGTAAATAACGGATGTCATAATGTGTTTATTATAAATATTGTATATATTTTGAAAATAATACTTACATTAGCTCCTTCTTGGAATTGAGTAAGCATAACAACCATGCGAACATTATAATGTAAGACCATACGCCAAAAATCCACAGTAGTCTCCGATTTAGGACCTTGAGTTGCAATATATTCCTTTTTTATCTTATAACCCTGTAAGAATTATGTAATTATTTTTATTGTTATACGTAACTTCTTTACTATTGCCGTCACTTACATCAATGAATGACGCATTAATGTAGTCAGATCCTTCGTCATCAATGTCCAACAAAACTCTATTTTTATCATCTGAAAGTACAAATTTGTATGAGAAAAATACAGTTCAAGACAAAAAGTTAATTCGATTTTGTTAAATAGTTATACAGAAGATATCATCAACTTCAATTGTGAAACGGTTCTTAAATGAAAATCTTCAGTATTAATATTGACTACGATTCAGACAAATTAAGAGGCGCTGCAACAAAAAATAATCTTCTTGGAAGTATTTCAAATTTTGTTCAATGTATTAGCATTGATGATATGGATTTTCTGAGAATTTAGTTAAAGAATCGAAACTAAGAACAAAACAAAATTTTTGAATAAAATCTTTTTATGCAAGCCCTAAAACATAAACCTTTATTTTTATTTTTTATGAACATTAACCTTTATTTATTGGATCGGCTTCGACATTTGCTAGGAATTTTTGTACAGCTATTTCAGTTTCTTCTTTGATTTATATCTCTATATTACATATATATGCCATGGTGCGGCTGGTAATTATTTTTAATGATTTTGATTAAAATCATTGAATTATAACTACACGTATGTTCGTCACCGTTGCATTATAGAGAAGAACATTGCTATTAATGATAAGTACAGGCTTCTTATTAAAGGCCACGAAAGACTTGTGTAAGCCGATTTTTTGAAATGCATGAATGGGCGGTAGTTTAGTTAGATAAAGACTCCTCTTTCTTTTATAATTTAAAAGACAGTGAAAGAGTGTCATTAAAAATGAGGAACTGACCAACTATCCATCTATCGACTATTACGAAGCCTTCTTTATTAAAATACACTAATTTATCTAAGCGGGTTTCAACAATTTTTGTTTATATAAGGTTAAATTTTTATTTAAAATATATAAACTGCTTCCCCGCCAACATAATCATATTCATGATCATAATCATCTTTGCTTGAATTGTCATCATGGCCTTCATCATCATCATCATCAACTTCATTGTTATTGCCACCCTCCATCACAATCATCTTAAGACTTCTTTCGGTAAATCCTGCACTTTTTTGTGATAATTTTCTTCTCTTTTGGGGTCAGAACTGATTAAAAGTCTGTTAAATATGTCCTCATTTGCTTTTTTTCTGTTTCAACGTTCAAAATTTGGGATTTTGAGTTCCTAAAATCAGGTTTCGGTTGGTCAACAATCAGACCATTTTTATCTCTAAATTCTTTTTGTCTTATGTGTCTTATTTTCCAAGACTAATAGATTCTCGCTTACTGATCGAGCTTGCCACTTTTCAATGCACTATTTATCCGATAAGTAGAGCTAATGGTAATCCACTCGTGAAGTATTGAAAGACCAAATTCTAAATTTTCTGTTTTTCATCATTTCATTAGTTTTATTAAAGTCTCCACATAAATGACACCTTTGTGTAGATGTTGTTTCTGTTAATGCGTTGCATATTATTCCGTCAACCATAGATATAATAAAATTGTTCTTAATTTCCAAATATTTATTTCCATAAGGTAGAAACGCATTAACGAGATTTTGTATTTCAATACGAACTCTTTCGTTTTTTTTTGCTGTATTCGTTCTTGTTCTGCAGCTTGCATAAATAAATGCATATACTGGGAAGAAGCTATGATAGACATACGATTATAGAAATTAAACAAGGTTTGCATTACCCTGCTTAACTTAAAACTAGAGATATATATGTAGGTCTGCATATAAGGCCGAAAGCCCCATATTTTAAGGCTTTCGCGCCAAAAAATAAACAAAATAATCACTTAATAACTGAACAAGACGGCTTCGTTATTATTTGTGCTAGATTTTCTCGGTTTAAAATATAATAACTTCGAAAAATCACGATATTGAAATAAGCTTACAATTTTCAGAAAATATTTTAAGAAAACTGTACATTTTCTTATTTTCGTTTAGGACCAAAAATTCACTTGTAGCTTGAAATTTCTGTTTTGAATTTATCTCCAAAATTGACAAATTTTACTCCAATATACGACGGATTTTTAAAACATTACAAAGATGGAAAGGCTAGTAAAAAATGCCCTTAGTGATGAATAAAAGATTGAATTTGATAATAAATATTTATATATTTTATCGAAAGAAATTTTAAGAATCTTGATACACCTTCACCTCAAGGTACTCAACGGAATGTGCAGAATACTGTGATATAGAAAAATTTTGGAATATTTTATTTTAATAATTTTGGAAAATAGTTTAATTTTTTTTTACTTATAAGCTGAAAAATGAGAGTAGCGTGCGTTTTTTTTTTAGCTTTTTTCAGATTGTTGTCAGCTTTTAGCTTTTATTTGTGGTCCATTCAGCTGGATCTCTGAAAATTTTCTTCGCAACACTGATTTAAGCGTTTGATCATGTTGCTTAGCGGGGTGGACCCAAGTTATGACCAGAAAATTCATACCGCTTTTTCGATGCCTTTATTCTGGTAATAATTTTTAAGGTAGTTGAATAATGTAAACAATTAATACCCGTTTGTCAATTTTTACATAATTTGTTTGAAAAGAGGAAGATTGTTGCTACTTAAAGGCCAACACTTAAATGTTCGTATTAAAATTCAACAATTCAGAAAATTTGTTCATTCTCATTTAAATTTTACTTTGGTAAATTCGCTTACAAAGCTCAGGACTATATTTTTCAATTTACCATGATCATGACACAAACCAAGATGACAACAAACTTTCAGTGCCTTTACAGTTACAATTGGAATTAGTATTTTGAGAAATCCAGAGTTTAGTATGCTTACTTAGTTAGCTAATAAGCTAAGGCTACATAAATAAAGAAAAAAGTACAAGTTCTATTAATCAAACTGGTATCAAGAGGGAATTCAAAAGGACTATATTAGGGCGTAAATACCAACCCAACTAGAGAGACGACTCAATCAAAAACGCACCAAAATTTTATATATATAATTTTAGTCGTTTGTAACCGATTGTTGGAAATTACATAGTAAGACCGGGACACAAAAAATTAAATTGACTTGTCACTAGCCAGTTTTAGCCATATCCACATCTTTCAACATCTGCAAAAAGCTTTGAAATAGCATAAATCGGATATTTCGGTACTAAATTGTTGATTCAAATCAATCTTAATTTTCATGTACTTTAAAAAATTACATAAATACTAATACTTTATACTGGAATGTAAAGTCTAATTCGTGTCATCGTTTTTATCTATGTTGGAGACGTGGTGACGTGCATAGACAAACTTTCAGGTTCTATAAAATTACATAAGAAATTGTAATATAAAAATGAAATGTTCGTCAGTTCGTTGACATTTTGTCAACAGCGAGAAACTGCAATGTTAAATTTAAATCTAAGGAAAAACTACTTATGGCCTAAGTGCGCTTAGTATTCAACCGATTGAAAAACATAAAAATTATGCTTGCTTTAGATCTACAATTTTTTTACATAATGAAAAGTTAATTTTTTTGTCATGACATGCTAACCTCCCGAATTTTTTTCCCGAATTATCGTCGTTCGGATGTAGCTTAGATTAAACTGTAAGTGCCTCGATTAATTGTGTACCTATTCCAAATACTTGCAAACTTGATTTTCATATAAATTTTATATTTAATATAAATTTAAATTTAACCATTATATGTATATAAAACTTTGGCGAATCTATACTTCTAAGTTTTCTATCCCATTTAATTCTTTTAAATACGAAGGCAATGAAAATAATGTTGGCCACAAAGATTAGCTTATCTCTTTTTGCGGTAGCTCCTCAGCAGGGTATGTCAAGTCTTCCGAGTTTATTTCTGCAATGAAATAAAAGCTCCTCATGGTATACCTTTCGGATATATGCTTATTCACAATAAAGTAATCCACAACGGCAGAATAATAACATTGTGCAGGAAACATACCGAAGCTTACATATTACCGATGATTTTCAATTTCCCACTGATCTCTTTCTCGCAAAGAAATTTTTATTTATTGAGCAAATCGAACTAGGTTCACTATTCCTCGTACATTTCCAGGAAGAAAATTTATTTCGTTCAGATGTGTCATCCTGAAGTTTAACCAAACTGAACTGTAAATATATATACTTTTTAAAAAAGATCGGTACAATTCCTGTGAGTAACTTTAATGTTAAAAGAATTTTAAGTTCCTGGTTAGTCAGAGAATGGTGGTTTTGCCGCTTCTATATCTTTTTTACTGGCGTAGACACAGCTTGCGCGATAATAGCCGAATTTTTGGCATTGCACCAATCATTTCTGTTTTTCCCTGTTTGGCTAAATAGAATAACGAGAATAACGAGTTTTTAACCGCTTAAACTTTTTCTAAATTTTCACATGTAATAAATTATAATTGATAAATCAGTCGAACCTTTTTAAAAACATATACATACATTTTAGTGATTCATTTGTATATTATACATACGTGTATGTATATAATTCGGCAATAAAAGAAGTAAACTTGGTTAAAAAAGATTAGCTAAAGTTGCCAGGGATGAGAATTTTTCGATTGATTATAATATTATCTTGACCGAATAAATTTTTCACCAATTTTTAGAAAGTGAAACCTCATCAGAGTCATTTTACTAGAGCTTAAAAATATAGATCTCTAATCGCCAAAAAGGCAAACACCGCTATGAAATTATTTGTACTCCGTTTACTGAAAAAGATTTCTTTTTGTCACTTAAGATCTTTTTATGTTCATATTGTTAAATGTAACATAAGAAGGATTTTTTTGGAATTTAGAGTTTTTTACTGTGAACATGTTAAAATGCAGAGATATAATAAAATAAGCTTTTGTTGGCGCAGCGTATTAAACATTTACAATGTGGCCGTAAATATAAGCTAACTAGTTGATTGTCCAACTGAGGCTGAAAAAATTAGAATACTTACATGGCAAAATATCTGTATAACGATTTTTATTACATCCAGTTTCTGATGCCGAATAGCTTAGATCGACAGCTACAAGTGCAAGCTCTTTAAATTCCCTTAAGATTTTTTCCGGCTTAGATAACAATTTATAATAAAATGCGAAGGTTTTCGCTGCAACATCACCTAATGAGTCCTCAATTTCTCTGCAGGTATCTTGTTGCCTGAAAGAAAAAAATATTGTTTCAGCCAAGAGAGGTTAAATTAAATATAAGGTAACACACTTCGAATTTGACCATGTTCTGGTAGCTTCTCGGAAGAATTTTAAATATATGTGTATTTAAGGCAATATAAAAAAATTATTCGCATGATCTAGTCTTTTAATTTTTGTGTTTATTTGAGAATATAGGGAGATTTCTTGGTAATTGTGCAGTACAGATGGTGATTCATTGATAAGGCTTAGGTGCGTTTCAACGCGCCTTGTAACCGCTGAAACGATTTTCGCTCGAGCTCCTATTCCAATTTGTGGTTTTTCGTCTTGATGTTTTTCGCACCGGGATTTGAACGCTGGCCTTCCGAATGGTAGCACGCAATACTAACCGCGGTCGTCGCGGTGATTAAATTTTTAAATTTTGTACTTTACTCGAATGGTATGCGTTCAAATCTTGGACAGGCTAAATCTCAAAACTAGAAAATTAACTCAAAGCTATTATAGTATTAATTTTAAAAATTGAGTTTGCCCCTCGGCGGGGTATTCCGAACCTTACTAGGAAATGAAAAAACTTCTAATGAAAATTCAGCAGATGTTCGTAGACGGATTAGAATAAACTGTAGATGCCACGATTTGTTGGAAAATATCACTTTAATTGTTATAAAGCCCCAATTATATATGTACACACATGTATGTAAAATTATTATGTACTGCTTCCCTACATTCATTTGATTTTCTGCTTGTAATATAGTGAGTAGTAGATATAAAATTTTATTAATAATATATGGCGCTTTGTATCCGTTGAAGCGATTTTCGTCCGAGCGCTTTCATAATTCTTATCCTGCAATATGGTGTGCAGGCACATACGAGATTGAGCCGGCGTCATCTGTTTTCGAAATATATGTATTGCGTAAGATTTATGGAACGATGTCCTGGTTTAATTCAGCGAATAAATAGACAACGGCTCAGCTGGCTGGGTCATGTGGTCTGGATGGATAACAATCTTTGCGGATCTAGAACGATTAGTCTGTTCAGACAATTTATCAGTCATAGACGCCTAGACGTACGACTGTTTTTAAACTCGCTACACCTTTTCTTCATAATATTAAGATTCATGGACTTATCACCATATGCAGTTTTCACCTCATTATAAATCTGAAACGGTTGACGCCTCGAATTTTATACATGGCGTGAGACTGGATTGACAATGTTCACGTATCGTGTTGTCGCGTGGACATTGCTGCTTTGCTGACATTACGAAAAAAAATATCTCCCGCGATGAAAGTCTTACTACACTTTTTTTCGGGATATGCCTATATTGTATTCAGCTTAGTCCTTGAATCGACATATAACGTAATTGATAAAGACGAATTATTAGCTTTTGTAGGGTTAACCCGCGGTGCCGATATTAAAAGCCCTAGATTTCACAGTAAAATCTTTTAATGTCTTAGAAATGCTCGGTAAAAAATCGCGTTGAGTTTGCATTAAATTCATCTAAATAGTTTTCAAGCCGATGAAAAGAAAAATTGAGGATAGTTTTATTTGGTCAAATATTATTTTTGCATTTTGTACATAAATAATTTTAAAGTCCCCAATACATGGTCTAATTCATTATTATAACTTTATGTGATACTTAGATTAGATTAAGTATCACAGATTAGATCCAATGAGCGGTCGCATCTGTTGCATCAACCTAAGCTATTTAAAATTAAAATAAAATAACCATCAAAAATTGCTTTTGAGTATTTGGCATGTATTTTATACTAAGATGAGGAGCTATCGCAGCCTTCATCATTGAATAAAAGCTTCAAGAAAGAGAATACCCTTTCCATTTGTATGTAACCGAGCTGCTGATTCTATATATATTAACCCTAAATTTAGTTGAATGAATCGATCCTCAACTTGATAGTCAAATAACAGAAGAATAACGCCATTATCTACATAGAAACTGGTAAATGATGAAACTTTCAAGGGGTGTCCAAGTTTTAACACTAAATGGTTTTAGTTGCCCTGCGCAGCAATTGTGAATATCTATGAGTCAGTCGTCCGTAAGACGCAGTCAACCGTTCGATGTTTTTTTGCGAAGTTTAGAATCTCCATGACCCAAAATAGATCGAAAGCCACAGGAAATTTTTGCTTCACCATTCGTTGTTGCACTATTGGAGCTATCAATCGCACTCATGTCTAGTCAAACAATGGATACTTTTCTATTAATGTGCAAATGGTAAATATGTAGATATGTTCCTATATGTTGTCAAATATTTTCCTTCCGCTTTTTTGCTCTTCATTCAATGCTTTATAAAAAGTGTTACAGTGATCGGATTTAGTTAAAATATGCGCTGTTTTGTTCGATGATCTGTTTCCATCTAGACGGCAACTTCATAATACCTTCCTCGTAGAAGCCGCCCTCCTTATTTGCGAATATGTGAATATGAATATGAGAATTCGGACAACCACTTTTCACAAGCCTCTTTTGAGTTCAACTTCACACCACCAAGGGCATTCGCCATGGACAGGAACAGGTGGTAATCACTTGGCGCAACGTCCGGGCTATATGGTGGATGCGATAAAACCTCCCATCCGAGCCCCCGTAGCTTCTGACGAGTCATCAACGAAGTGTGTGGTCCGGCGTTGTCCTGGTGGAACACTACACCCTTCTTGTTGGCCAATTCTTGACGCTTCTGGTCGATCGCCTGCTTCAAGCGGTCCAGTTGTTCGCAGTAGAGGGAGCAGCTCATAGTGGATGATTCCCTTCCAATCCCACCAAACACACAGCAAAACCTTCCTGGCCGTCAATCCCGGCTTGGCCACTGTTTGGCACGATTCACCGGCCTTCGACCACGACCGTTTTCGCTTGATATTGTCGTATGTGATCCATTTTTCGTCGCCAGTCGCCAGTCACCATCCGCTTCAAGAATGGGTCGAGTTCGTTCCGTTTCCGCAGCATATCGCAGGCGTTGATTCGGTCCAGAAGGTTTTTTTGCGTCAAATTATGCGGCACCCAAACATCAAACTTTTTTTTGTATCCAGCCTTCTGCAGATGGTTCAAAATGGTTTGGTGACTAGCTCCCATCTCCTGGGCGATGTCACGAGATGCCATATGCCGGTCTAACTCGATGTATTCCATGATTTGATCGGTATTTGTCGTCAAAGGTCTTCCGCCGGCTGGCTTATCCATGGTGTCGTTTTCACCGGCTCTTCATCGTCGAAACCATTCCTCCGCGGTTCGAAGTGATAGAGTACCATCCCCCAAAACACCATTAATCTCACGGAACGTTTATCTAGCGGATTTGCCTTTAACGAAGGAAAACTTTAAAATAGCGCGAATTTCGGCGTTAGCGAGCTCCATGTTTACACGTCTATAGGTGTTGAACGCAATAACCAAACTAATCATGCATAGCGTTGTTTTGTAGGTTATGTCAAGACCTTTCAACTTATGTATAGTGTTGCCAGACACGAGCTCTGTAGCGCTTTGTACATAGCCGCGAAATTCAAAAGAAAAAAAAAAGCGGAAGGGAGATATTTGACAACCAATATATATATCCAGGAGCGCAGTACAACTCATTTAGGAGAAAAGTTTGCATCCATTGCATTTTTTGTCTTGCTTCTTTATGCTTTTCGCTATTTTGACGTTTTGTTAAACTGCCAATTTTGTTAATAAAAAGGAAACGGCAGTTTTCGATTGTCGTTTAAAAATGAGTTTGCTTTGACTGTTTGATTATGCGATTCATTATCATTAGTGCAAGCGACGAATTTCGTGAGCTAGCAATGCGACAAATCGTATCGATAAAATTTAATGAATTCCACTACAGGATTCACATGTTAATCCAAAGCTTTTACGCGAATTGGCAGCAATTTAGTATTAATTTGTATAAATTAGTGGCACAAAGCTTTAAGCTTAAATTATGTAAGAAATCGCGAATTAAAAGTATTGCTGAACAATAATTCATCGTTTTCTACAGAAAACCACATCTACATAAATCTTACCAAAATAATCGTCTTGAAATCCAAATATATAAAATTCCCGCCGTTAATGACATGAATAGACAGCCACAGATACTTATAATGATGATGGTTAACTGAAAAACTGAGTCAGTTACGAATTCTAAAAGTGCCACATCATTGTAACCTGATCTAGTAAAGAATCGTATAACCAAATAGTACTCAGTCGCAGGTTTCAAGGGTCCGTCGCAATATATTTTCTCCGTGCTACATTCATTAACATTAGAACACGCTTCTGGTGGATTTTTAGCACAATCTTTGTTTCCTATAATGTACATTATATGACTGTCGTTGTCAGTTAGTCCCAATAATGGATTCCATCGTACTTCAGTGGCTTGGTATTGAGGAATGCAATGCTTTTTATTATCACTATTAGAATATGCTTCGCTCCATGACATAACATTTGGCCAACTTTCGGGCGTGTTCAACGCATCGAATAATAGAACGGGGGCTGGATTACATCCCTAAAATATATATAAAAAAAAAACATTTTTGAATATATAAAATTCTATATATAAATGATTCGCTATCCTAAATATCAGACCATTTTCAAGAGTAAAAATTATTTTACACTATGAATGGTATTTGCGTCGTCTGACTCAAGTTAATAAACTTGACGACATATTAGCACTAATATAATATTTACAAAACAATTAATGGATACGAGAGACAAAATAAAACTACGTTCATTCCAAAATATATTTAAAAACCATCAAATGTGGTTCTTAATGCTACAAACGAAGGAAAAGAGAGTGTGTTCCTATATATTCGCCGAAGTTTCTATCGACCTCAAATAAATAAACTTCGTCTGGCTCGCGTTCATCGCCTTCGTATATAGTGATCATGAAAAGAGATATTTATCCAACAAAAAGAGGAACCTACCGTTTATTATAAGCCGCCTGCGAAGGTCTGATGGATTTTTATGATGAGCTTTTATTTTTCCTAAAGAAAAACTCAGATTGATAGGTTATGTAATTTTCTGTAATTTTATGTTGGTCTGGAATCTATTCTATTCTATGCCAATAAATTCTAGAATCTTTGATTATTTCAATGTCAAACAACAAACTACCAATCTAAATTAGCTAACATATGTGTACCATTGCGTAGTACCATTTGGAAGGCCCTGGATCAAATCCTGGTGCGACCAACATCAAAAAAAGTTATAGAAAATTAATTTAAATAAAAAATTAAGTTAAATTTTCTAAATGCGGTCGACTCTCAACATGGAATTCCAACCCCTCCGAGCGTATTTATGGCATGAAATTAAAGACCTTCATAAAAAACATCAGCCATTAGTATAAACAGTAGGTCGCTCCAATTCTTGGAAAAACATCAAGATGCGAAACTACAATTTGGAGAAGGAGTTCGGCCGAAAATCACTTTAGTGGTTACAAAGTGTGAATAATATATATAGTGTATTATAAGAGTACCAACATAAACAATTCATAATTGAATATAAGTACACGGCCCGCGTAAAAATCAAATTTTATGTTCTGTTTAGAAAGTCCACACATTTTTTGTCCCTTAATTCTAAAATCTTGTAAAATGAGACGAACTACTCCCATTAAATGGTTCTCCTTTACGTAACCTATGCTAAAGGGCATGCTATCACCCCCACCACCGAAGTCAAATTTCTCGGTAGGAAAAAGATGGGGTGCAAGACCGAATATCGTATACTTCAACGGTCGGCTGCTATCTTGGTAATAGGAGCACTGCTATCAACTATCTCAAAAGCACTGCCAACTCATCTCAACTTCCTTCCTCTGGACCTGTACCGAAAATTGCAAGCAAGCTTTAATAGATCTACATTGAATGCAACTCAACATTGGACGGACTGCAATATAGGGTATGCTTAAATACTATATCTTTCAGAAGTCCCGAACAAGCTAGACTATACCACCTCCAATATGTGCTTCGACACCAACGCTCTCGATGGAAAAGTGGGCTGTCGAATCTACGCTCCAATGCTCTCAACAAATGTGAGCAAGAGACTACCACTGCAGCGTTTTCTAAGCGAAGTTGTTTGCAATCATGAAAGCCACCGAGTGGCTTCCCAAATCTACGGCAGCGGAAAATCACCTACGACATATTCCGGCAGTGAGCTAGCTCAGCGAAAATTGGAAATCTCGTTGCGTTTATAAGCCACTCGAAATGGTTGAGAAGGTGACAAAACGGTATAAAAATGGTCCTTTTGACCTAAAAGCGCTGGTAATGACCAGCAGCCGCAGCAAAACTACTTAATTCATCGTGACTCGATACCAGTGAAAAAAGGGGTTCCCTACGTGAAAACACGATATGAGCTCATTTCCCAAAACAATCTCCAAACCATTGCGACCACCCAAATACCTCAATGGGTTACTTCATTCTGGATCAGCAAATATAGTATCTCTGTTCATATTCTGGCTTCTAACGGCAAGATAGCTCCCGTTCGAAGCCCACTCCGGCTTCAGTTATTACACAACCAATTCCGAAAATGTCTGGCATGGTTAAAAAAGCCACCTTACTCCTGGAAAACGCTGCGGAAAATTATTAACATCGTAGAAAACACCACTTCGCGACATGGGGGAATGATCCAGATTGGCTGTATAAACGGGAGCGCTACTCTAAAGAAGGAGGCTTCGACGTTCTTGGCAGGTTTCCTCTTTCTTTCGGACGCTAAGAGTTTTATCTTACGACATAGGGACTTCCAACAGAACAACACAAAGGCTCAAAACAGTACTTCATATTTTTTAATACACGATTCTATACATCCATTCGGGTAATTTGAATATAAATGCTTTGCCCATTCTGAACATAGAAGCACATTTCAAAGAACATTAGAAAATAGATTTTGAATCATCGAAGAACAAAACCCTTAGTATAGGAAAACCATTCCATTATTTTTGCATTAAATTGTGGCTTTGTTTACCTTAGTTCGAATTATCCGATTTAGGCCAAACATGTTTTTCTTAATAGCTATTTTTGGAAGTAATATTATTTGAAATTTAAATTTGAACAATTCATTCTCATATGCTTCTCTTGAGACCGATTTTTCCTCATCCCACAACTTTGCTATAGACAGGAACCGATGGTAATCACTTCGTGACATCACTTCAGACTATAAGTTGGATGCATAAAAACAGAAATGGGTCGATTTTGTTATGCTGTGATTCATATTTGAAATAAGTTCAAACTCTTCTGAGTTACAGAAGTGATCCACACATTCCCCGTTAACTTTTTTAGTACGAAATATCACCCCTCTAACGTCATCTAGTGCAATCCAATACACTTATAGAACGCGAGATACAGATCACTAAAGCCATCTATTTCAAAAGTAATGGATTTATTTATTACACTACCTAATATTTAAAATTTTCAGATTAGTGTTGGATTAAATCTTAAAAATTTTAGTACTCGTTAATCAAATAACACAAAACACAAAAGTTCATTACATTTACATTTTTGAACAGCCTATCCATGGGATCGACCTTTGTTCGGGAATGTTATTGTTAATTTTTTTAAATACTCTAGACTTACCTTTTCAGATAGCAGTAAAGCCACGTATGTTATTGTGCCTAAATTTGTTTTTAACATTTCAACTGGAAATCTGACCTCAGCTGTTTTCGTTGGATTGCGTGATGTAAATGCATCCACTTTAACTTCGTGTATTTGCGAATCGTCTAACTTCTGTGGTACTATAGAATATATAAAAATTGATTAAAATTATTTTGTTTAATCGAATATTATTTTACCATTGAATTATTAATTATTTCCAAATATAATATTATACAAATGGGGTATATTCTTTTTATGTTCCGGAAATGATAGGTTAGTAAAAAAGCAGGCGCGGAACAAGAAACAATTTCGGGGGAAGCAAAATCTCAATTCTTGGAATTAATGATATTGGAAAATCGATACTGAAGTAATAAAATGATGATTGAAAACTTTAAGTATATGTAGTTTGATTTTACATTTTACATGCCGGTTCTCGCTGTTACCGGTATGGTAACAAAAGGTTGGCTCATAGCAATTGGACAATTGCTCCCAACGCATTCCTAATAAAACCCGTAGGAAAAGAAATATCTACATTATTGAGAGAAACCTCCGACTTAAAATTTATATTAGCTCTAAATAAATTGTTTTATTCAGGCAAAAATACTGAATGACAACGCTATCTTCCATCTTAAAAGGGTAATTTTCGCAAACTTCGTAACATGCGCCTTTTTGCACATTTTCTTCATCTTCATTGAATTCCAGACGTAAAATATGCCAATACAACACAAAATCAAACAACAGATTGATTGTTACCTCTCATTTCGCGTGTAACAGTGAACTCAGAATACGAATACTGAATGGTAAATTTTTATACCAAAGTAAATTTAATTACCAGCCCATTAGTAGAAATAAAATTTTTCAAAAACTTTTGTGAAGGGAATGGAACTTTTTGTTGTAGTAGTATATACAATTTTGGTCCAAAAATACTACCTTGCAGAACACCTGCAATGATTGGATACCCATTTGTTAGGTTTTAATTCACTTTAACAGTGTATCGCGATATTCGAGGACGTACTAGGAAATATTGTAACTGTTTAATTTTTTGAATAAGACCATCATGTCATACCTCATCAAATGCTTGAAACAGATTAAGAAATCTGACTTAATTCGAACCTTGGCTTTTTTCATTAGTTATGCGAATTACTTGTTCAATTGTGCAACTAAATTGATGTATATAAATTATATAATTTTCAAGGAAAAAAAGGAGTAATTTTTGATAGCAGCAAAAGGCTGATTGGTCTATGACTGCAGAGTTGCGTATTTAGCTAGATTGGCTGTCATAATTGTGGATAGTATCCCAAGCTCTAATACGGCAGTACAAAGTCTAGCAAATCTAGCAAAACCTGAGAGAAATGTTTTACAGTTTTTTTTAGAAATTTTAGTATGATTTGATTGTATCCCGAAGATTCCTTTTGGATTTAGGTCGGTATAATATTGGCAGTAATGGAAATCATATTTCGAATTGTCCCATAATTGCAAAGGAGATCAAGTATGATTAAAAATAAGTTTCTCTTAGTGAAAGTACATATTTTCGCAATGATCCCCGTTGTTTAGCAAACATCTGTCACAGCGAGAGTTCTTTGAGATCAGGTATGTATATGTACTTATTTTATGAGGGTACACTGAAACAAATAAAAACGTAAAAAAAATCCACGTCACAAAAACAGTGTTTGCTAGTTCTATCTTGTATGCACTAAATTTCAAGCAAATTGTTAAGTCTTTTTTTCTCCCAACGTTTCCACTGGAAAATTGTTTTGAAAAGGTAGAAAAAATCTTCAGGCACCAATAAATATTGAAGCACCATTGCGAGCCAGAACTGAAAAAAAACACCTCAGTACGGTATTTCTGCAAAATTTTACTTAAAGAAATAATTAGTTCTTGTCAAGATGTCCCAAAATGCATTACTTCTTGCGGAACATCTGGATGTTATCCACATGGACAAGTCGCAGATAATTATGATACCTAAAATAAGTTAACACGCCACCTCGCTATCATCATGTCGACTAACCAGGGTGTTTCTTTTATACATTAAATGATATCCTTGAAACCTCCTAGACTGTAGTGTTCTTAGGCCAATATTGCATTCCTATAGGTGGCAAAGTAACCACGTCAACTCTTGTTATTATAGCCACAAAAGTTTTAGAACAACACCTTAAATCATTTGCATTCTTGCTAATAAGCAATTATGTTTTAAGTTCTTTGTTTCTTGTTAGGATTTAAAAGTTATGTTCACAAAGCTACATATATTACTAAAAAAATATATATGTATACAATACTAAAAAATCCGGTCACAGGTTTCTGTAGCTTTTCTACCGACCTTTTCAGAAAATTCTATTCGATTTTTTTCTAATTCTTTTCTTTCCAGAACCAGATAATGACCGCAAATGTTGAATATCCATAATTTTTTCAATGAATTAATAATAAAATTATACAAATCAAAAGTATAATTTCGCCTAATTAATAAGAAGTATTTTTCGAGTTTTATTTAACGCTATCGGTATCTTGAGTCTAAGATTGCCAGCTTGTTTATTTGTTATTAGTTCTGTTCGCAAAGGTTTTTGCTGCGGTCACTGGGACGATACTGCATTCTTAGGTTTCCGAAAGTGACGGCGGAGCACAAAATTACAGGAAAAATAAAGCTCTTTCAAATATGCTTATATCTCATTCAAAAGAATCGCTTACACGATAAAGGATTTTCAAACTTATTTTCGTATCAATCAACCTTCCGAATTTTTTACAGAAATCTTCATCCTGGCAGAGGACTATAAAAAATACTTATTGGTATCTTCACAGTTTGGCGGATACAAAGCCAGTAATATTATATTTTTGTCGAAATACAATAAATTTTAAATGCAATTAAGAAATTAAAAAAGCAACGAAATTACTAATTTTTTTTAAGAATTTTTGAAAATACTAAAAGCAGAAAACAATAAAATTTATAAATGAATGAAATGTAAACGCCAGAATGAACAGCCACAACGCCGTACGCATTTTCTAGATTACCCATTTTAACTTCTCGGAAATTTTGGTTTACATATATGTAAATGGTTTAACATAAAAATCGAACAATAATTTAATATGATGTTTTAATTATTTTGTTAATTTAAATAAATGATTAAACTGAATTACTTACTTGCTGAGGGTGCCTTGAAATGCGTTGATTTAGAAATGCTACTTTGGCTGACATTTTTGACATTGACAGAAACTTCGACTGTATAGTCGAAATCAGGCTTTAAATCTGTTTCTTCATATGTAACTAAACCAGTATCATCGTAAACGGGTAGAACAGATCGATTGAATACATGACGTGGTTGGTCTTCACGATATCCAAAAATGTATAAATGAAAGTTATCGATTTCTCCATTGGTATTACAAGGAATCTGCCAAGTTAGAACAACAAGAGCTTCATATTTACTCTCTATAGGATAAGGGCCGGATACAGAAGCGTTTAGGTGTTCAACAGCATCTGAAACTGTTTATAACCTTTATAGAATATTCAGAACAAAACATTTGAATAAAAATTAATGACCTACTCCATGGCGCCGTTTGTACTACTAGCGGACGACTAAAATAACCCACACCATATTCATTTTGAGCAGCAACTTGAATACTATAAGAAGAATATGCCAATAAGCTTTGAAAAGTCTGCTGCAAGCTGGCTGTTTCCCTTGGTATGGCTTCTGTAGATGTGAAAGAACATCTTGACGGTACGAAATATGCCGGTCCTACATATTGAAAATATGAAATGTATAATTTTATAACGCCATTCGAATACTGAGGCAAACTCCATTCAAATTGTAGCGACGCGTTGGTCCTTGATTTTAATAATATGTTATCTGGTGAACTAGGGTCTGGAAAAAATAAACGAGACATACACATGTGTATTGTTGTAGTTGTATTTAGTTTGTAAATAAACTAACAAAAAGACAAGAAGTTAAGGGAACTGGCTTCATAGGTGTTCGTCCAATTTTTAATATACACACATATATCAGTGTGTATTTTCTTAAAAGTGAGTATATTTCAATTCTAAATTAATTTTATTAGCATTGGTGGTAGGAGTTTACAGATACTTTCATAGTCCAATGTTGCTATGGATGTGGCAAACCAACATTTTGTGATGTGTCGTTGTAACAATTTATTAGGCTTTGCTTTTTTAGGATTTCATTATACAATAGTTCGGGCAGAGTGCTGATGATTTTTTGAGAGTTGCTGCTATTTCTAGGGGAAAATAACTGTATAGCTAGCCAAAGAGCCAATTTTGTTTGGTTCTTTATATTTTGTAGTAATAACAAAGATATTTATTTTCTATTCAACTAACATCTCCTATTAACTAATTTTTTGTTTCCACTTTTGGACTTTTTCGGCGTGGAGTTTTCTCATGAATAGTAGAGTTGTGTTTATTTGGAAAACTCGTTGGATATGGAGATAGGAATATTTTATGTTTTTATGTCTGTTTGAATAGCTACTTTGAGGAATGTACCGTTCAGTTTTTAGGTAGCTTTTCGATAAACTAGATCCTTGAAGTCATTGTGTAGGGTCGGAGTTTCGTAAGCACATTTTTTCAGAAATTAAGGGGATCCCTTACCTGAAATAGTTTTTAAGACATAATGCGAACCCTTATTACTCTAATAAAGCTAAATTTTTGGCCATTAGATTGAATTATTTGATTCTTATTTCTTCTTTAAAACCACCATCTCTTTATTTAAATACTTGCAAAGCTTTGAAATCATGTTCATGTTTTATAAATTTTGCCTTCTTATGCTTCTTCTTTTTCTTTCTTTTCATTTACATCATTGCCGTTACTTAGAAGGAGGTTCAGAACGTTGACATTGTTATCCTTTCATTTTTGGATTTTTATTATGATTAAATTTTTAAACTCCAATTACCGACACGTAACCTCGTGTTTTCCCACATATTTATAAAAATATATGTAATTTTGAATATACATACGATATGGAAGAGTCGACAAAATAGTCTCTTCTGCCGTGGACCATCCAGCTACATTGAATAGAGCAATACCACATCTGTAAAAAAACATATGTTTAATTGTCAATTGTTTAAAAATTGTAAAAAAGTTCTCTTATAATCAGCTGTTCAGATTTGTATAACCTGGGATATAATAGGCAATAAGAATGATATAAAGCATGATTCTTGAGTATTGTGTTGAAAGTAGCACTTTATTTTTATTAAGTGTTTAAATATCGACACGCGTTATGAGTTATGATTTGATAAATACACGCTTTGAAGGGATAAAATAAAAAAATCTTCAATAGAAGGAAGTTTGCTTTTCAATATCAAATACCCTTGAAAATACACATAAAGATATTTGATATAGCCTTAGAGTTTTCCAGAGTGGAAATGAATAATCCATTAAGATGATAGGTGATGGAATTTCTGCGCTGCTTTGACTTTGACTTTCAAGATGAAAAAAAAAAAATGTTAATGAAAATCTTTAACAATAGTTCAAATATAGCAATAGCCTAATCGTTTTTCGCTTGGCTTGCAAGGTTTGAAATGAGTTTTTCACACAAACATTCGTTAACTTTATATTTTAGCAACTATAAAATTTAATCTCTAATTAAATTCTTTAATCTAAAATTAAGTCTCAGTAAATTTATAATGAACTTTGCCAGGAAAATTTATTACCGAAACATATTTAGCACGGCAACAAGCTTTTTGGTCCAGTCAAATCTAATCGCTTCGTGCCTATACCCCAAACAAGCTTTTTCTTTAATTTATGTTCTTCCTTCTTTGACAATCAATTCAGGCTACTAAAAAAAAAACATTTTGTTTTTCATTGTCACGTGGTTTTTTATCTTCTGCTGAGCATAGTATAATTTTGCCGAAGAATTATTAAATATCCTCAGAAAAGAGGTATCCAGGCACTTCCTCTATTTACTTTTGGCACTGGTACCAGCCGACATCTATGCACGATGATGGCAAATCGGAAGTGCTTAATAGAACTTTCAGCATACGCACTTGCACTGGGCTCTGCCATTTTTTCTTTCGGGATCACTCTCACGCAGCACCCCAATGATGATGTGTATTCGGGCACGTCAGTCAGTTGGCTTTTGCCTTCAACCGACTTCTGTCTCATTGGAGCCTCTGCTGGCGCGGTTCAAGCTTTAAGTTGTGTTGAACTACTTTCGCTCCTTATTAAAGTCTTTGAATGCGGTTTTAATCTTCTGTGAAGGTAGGCTCCTTCCTCGCAGTAAACTTAACCCAGCACGTGCACTATTAACCACTTCACCTTCTTGCTCGGCTCATTTTAGAGCTCGTTAAAAATGCTTCCCTCTTTTTCGAGCAAAGAAGAACTCTAGTTTTTTTTTTTTTTGGAAAATTAGGTTCGCTTGTGCATAGCTCCCTCTGCACAAGTAGGGCTATCTGATTATGTATGGCGCCAGGTAACCGTAAGTTCTTTTCGATGGGGGATTTTGCCGATATAAAAAACAAATATTTTTTATTAAAAATAGCAGTACCCTACAACGCCTCGCTGTCGCACATACCCATTGAATGCATGAAAATTTAATCATGGGATATATTTTTGTTCTAACTTTATTTACTCAATACTTATGAGAATGCAGCATTTTGCGGTTTAACCATTGACTTTGGTGAACTTCCCGGAGAGGGTGATAGTCCGATTTTTTGAATAGGCCAGTCCGTTGAACACTTCCCGGAGATTTCCTGCTCAACAAAGCAAATAGCCACATATGCACCAAATTACAAGAAAATCAAACAACAAATAAACTTTTTTCGAATCAATCAGTCTCTGCTCCAGTGTCCGGAGTAAAGTGTGGTCTTCCTGTTAATCTAACCAAAAAGCCATGTATGTACCAAATTTCAAGTAAGTCAAGTCATAAATAAACTTTTTTTTTGAATAACTCAGTCCCTGGCCCACTTTCATGAGAGTAGTGTAGTCTTCCTGTTAACTTAAGCAAAAATAAACCTACGAGTATGTATCGAATTTCAAAGCAATCGAACCATAAATAAAATTAGTTTGAAAAGGTCAGTCCCCGGTCCACTTCCCGATTTTTTTTTCTAAGCCACTACGGGAATCATAGAAACAATCTCACGAAATTTCAAGTCAATCGGTAGGCAACTTTTCGAGATTTTTGGAAATAATTGGAATTTTCCAAGCTGGCATAAGATTCTTATTGATAAGAATAGATGATAAGAAGATAAACTTGGCTTCCCCGTCACCATTATCAGTCATATCTGACACAAATTGTTAACAATTACACTTACTAAAATTTAAATTTTAAATCTTCCAGAAGAATTTAAAATGTTATAAAATATGCTAAACATTTTACTGTAGACAAAAAAATGAAGAGGAGTACAAATGCAACAGCGGAGACGATGTAGGAATTAGATGAGTGGACACTAGAAGTTTCCGAGAGAAAAAATTCGTGTAAGTGGTGATATGTAGATCAGCGAATTAAGAGACAGGAGCTACTCTGACACTCAGTAAGAAGGATCAGGTGGAGAACGACCAAGCTTCACTAGGAGTCTCCGAATGGCACCAAATACTCAAAGGAAGACGCGATTGGTGCGCTTTTGTTAGTTCGGCTTTAATCGCGTAAGCGGTGCCCCCAACTACTTCCAATATTCCGTTACAGTGATATTCGTAAATTTGCTTATAAAAAATGGATTTAGCGTCAAGTGGTGGATTAATTTTATATTCTCTATTAACAAAATTAAGGCTACATAACTGAGCTTAAAAAATCGCCACTAGGCTGAATTCTTCTGTTTTTGTGTTTAACAGCTACGTACGTACATATATTGCGGTTAAGGTTGCTTTTACTGTTTATTTTTGTTGTTTTTTTTGGCTTTAATTAATTGTGTTCGCTATGTCCTCAATAGGAATAACAGGTTTGGCCTGTTATCTGCGCCACCAAACCCTCAATGCAAACGCTGCGGAAACTTTTCTCTGGGATCTCAGTCTTGACGAAGGATGATCCAAAATTTCTCGCAATTAAATCGTTTGATAATAAAACCCCAATTTCGACTTTTTCATGTTTTGCGGTTCATAAAGCAATTCAAGCAATAAGCAGTTCTGAGCTTCGTGATGGCATCTTTTTATCCGGTGTTGGAAGTGTTTTTATCACATTGTATGAAAATCGGTCAAAGGCACGATTTTAAAAATTCAATTTAAGATCTAAAGGCTAATAGTAATTTAAAATAAATTAATATATCTATTCTAAATCTTAGTATTTGGTGTGATGTTACACAAACACCTTTTAGGTCATATGTCCGTAATTCAATGAGAAAAATTATTTTTAAAAAATTCTTTCTTTCAACTCGACGTCTCAATCTAAATATTTTGGGTCTTATATGCGTAAAGAAAGAGCTGGACATTATCTTGCATTAACTGTCAGATATCTAAAGTTGCTAAGAACACAAAAACTCCAATTCAAAAGGTTAATACTCCTTCTGAGCGAATTGATCATATTCTAGTTTCAAAAGAGAATCGATACATATTAACAATCATTGACAGACGTACTCAATGGCCGGAAGCATATCCACTTAAAAACATTTAAGTGGTTTCTGTTGCAACTACATTTATTCAAAACTATGCTCCTCGTTTCGATATTCCACTCAATATAACGGTAGATCAAGGAACCCAATTTACTTCAAAATTATTTAATGAATTAACAAAATTATTAGGTTCTCACAAAATACATACTTCCCCATATCGTCCACAGTCAAATGGAAGGATTGAAAGATTTCACAGAACTTTGAAAACTGCAAATACAGCATCAAATGATTTTTTTCATTGGTCTGAAATTTTACCGTGGCTTCTCTTAGGTTTATGAATAGCCATTAAGAACTTTTGGAATACAATATGCAAATAACATTAAAACGCTTAATAGATTTAATTAAACCTCCAAACATTATGCCAACCACGTCTTCACGAGACACAAATAACCTGACAAATACCAAACAAAAAAAGATATATTTAACCTTAATTAATATTATTGCTTATGCGTTTCACTGGAGGGGGAGTAAATATAGGAATCTACTTAAACATTTGTAACTTGTTGTTTTGAACTTTTCAATTTTTTTGTTACTGAATTGTCTATTTCAAATTTTTTCATTTTCTAAATTATTTTAATTTTTATTTTCAAACACATAAGAAATTACAAATTCATTTTATCAAAATATAAATGTTTTTCTTTATTTATATATATATATATGTATATTTATATATATATATATATATATATATATATATATATATATATGTGTGCGTATACAGATTAGTTTATGTATCTATACCTCCTAATCCTCATTTCTGATGACGACATAATTGAAGAACTTAAGGATCAAGGTGTCACAAAAGTTTATACATTTTGGAAAATTAGTGACGGATATGATCGCCTTCAGGCTATATTGTTAACTGTTGATAAATATACACTTCCGAAAAGAACTTAGGTCAACTTGAGTTTCAACAAATGTCAGAGATCCTTAAAGCCAAAACTACACACAATTTTTCACTTCACCAAGCCATTAAAAAATACAACGACCAACTCCACCTTTCTCTAAAAACAAACTCCTTTGCAAGCATATAAAAAAATATAACTACATTACAGAATCTTCAATAAAAAACTGTCACCAAAAATATTCTCTCTTTTGAAATCACAATTCTATTTCTCATTACTTAGCTGGTACCTCGATGTTTGCCTCGTTTTCGTTTTCCCAAAAAATGCTTCTTGAACCACCTAATATTTATCGAACTTCTTCTCTTCAGCCTTCCTCTAAGTAATTTCATCCTCTTTAAAGCTTTCTTATTTCTTTTTCCCTTCCTTTTATGTTTCTCTTCTACAGTGGAATATGAACGGTTATTTTAACAACAGAACAAGGTATTGCAGTTTTTGTCAAGAGAACTGTTCCCCATTCTACCTTTCACCTTTGTTTTCAATAGCATCTGTTGCTGTAAAGCTCCATTTAGTTAATAAAATTTTGATTATTTGTGCACATTCTTCTCCTAATATTAGATTTTCTCAAGCAGATTTGCTCTACCTTATTTCTTCTTTTTCCAATCCTTAAGATGTAATAAGAACCCCCATAATATTGTTCTTCTTCTGATCAAAAAGTCGTATAATTGAAGACTCTTTACTTGCATCTAATAGTATTATTCCAACATTTCCACCCATCCCTCTATTACTAATATTGATATAACGCTTTTTTAGCATCTAAATGTTCATGGCAACCTTTTGATGATCTTCATGGTAGTAAACGTTTTCCGATTATTATTCAACTTCCTTCGTCTCGTTTTTTGACTTCTTATAAGCTTAGATTGTTTTAAGCTTGTTGTTAAGACTGATTTTGCTGCCTCGGTCAAATTTTAATACTATTGTTTTAAGCTTTCTCAATAATATCCCCCCTCTTCTAATTTTAATCAAGAAACTTCCAGAATTCATAAAATCATTGGCTGATTAGCTAATTGTTATATTTCTGTATTATCTTGGAAACCAGTTTTGCCTTTCCCTCTACCGTGAACCAGAGATCTGGCAGTTTTAATACAAGAAAACTTTTGGCGTAACGCCTGCATTTTTATTCGTTGAACTATGTCAACGTCACCATATATCTCGTACAACTCAAGAGCGACGAGGGAGTTTGCTGTAAATTTACTTTCAGTCATTATACTGACCTATACGAAGTGTATGGGGAAAGAGGAGCCAATAGCGCTTTGAAAGTTACGCCTTTCACTTGACCTTCAACGTATTGCTTGGCGACCTGTTCAAATGAAAAATTACAAAATTAGCGTTTTAGAGATCTTATTTAATATATGTATATATATACGTGTATGTACATATATATAAAAAATATATTTGCTGTTCGTTTATCTTGCTCAATTTGAAATTTGGTTCATACAAGTCGGTAGATTTTTGCTTATTTTACCTATATTATTGGAGTTTAATTGAGACTTTTTGTTATTATTTACTTACCACATTCTTGCAATATTAATTATAAAATCTAAGTTAAATTAAATAAAAGTCAATAAAGGAATCGATGAAAATGCGAGATAAAGGAAAGCACGAAAATACGAGATACTGTTATTCAATGCCATCTAACACCGCTGCCCACCCGCGTACGCGACCAACATGTATCATGTCAAAGGACTGGAAATAAAAAGAAATGCGATTCACCGGATCCTGACAATTCGAATCATAAAAGATTCAACAAACTGATTAGCTCTTGTTTCTCACAAATGAGTTTGTGGTCACATACATATCAATATACGTCTGACTAAATGCGAATATTTCTGTTAATACCAATTCGTTTTCTAGCACGCCGAAGTATTCCAAATGTGCTACAATACTACTGATCCCGCAATTAGCCAGTAAAGACGACGGCGAAACGAAATAATGTATACCGAATCCAAAAAGAGAATGGTGTGCTACAGAGTTGTTGGAGATAGAAGATGGAGTTCATAGAATTAATAATTAATGGCAATTGTATAGAAGGAGGCTTAATATGGAGGAAAAAACTGCATAATGCATAAGCAGCTCTATATGAATTTAAAACGATATTGAGCTGATCTCGGAGCCTTTCACCATGTTCAGCCAATACTTATATATAAGATTATAGTATGGCAGTAAGCTACAGAAAATGTAGAGTATCAAATGTTAAAAATGTAGTTACATAACTACTGGGTATGGAAGGTAAGAAGATAGCGGGTGAAGTGTCTAAAGGGGATGTACTCTCCGTACAGAGCTTAGTCATGAACTTTTCAGGCCTATTCAAGAAAGTAAAGCATAAAAAGCAGCGAAAATTATGAGCAAAATATATAATACAAGCCAAGTTTCTAGCAGCAATAGAAAATGTTAGCAGAATATTTCCATTTGACTTCGCCTTACTTTAAATCATGCCTAGTTGACGACAACAAATGCTGGATACCTACCCCACGGTATATTACATAATCCTTTTGCAATGTTCTGCAGACAGATCATGAATCTCACTTGAAGAGGACAAACAGCAAAATATTCAATCTACAGGTAGCAATGACTGTAGACTCTAGACGCCAATTTAAAATTGCTAAGATAACAGCAAAGCTCTCTAAACCAGACACTGTACAGGAAAAGTAGCAGTACATAATTTTACTTACTCATATTTTTTCTTGGTAGGAAAGTTCAGGTTAGAGTAGTAAAGAGCAACCGTAAAAAAAGTAATTTCCAAAACAGTTGAATGCTTGCCTTTTCAATTTGATATTTTTCAAATGCGTTTGGTGTAATTAAACGTACATACCTTACATTAAATAGCTAATTACAGCTCCAGCATTCTTTTATTTGAAAAAACGTAGAGTTTTCTTAATTCATTAGATTTTGAAAGCACCGAAGTTAGTGAGAACGATGATTTGGTTATAATAGCCGCTTTAAAAAGAAATCAAATTGCATCGAAAGATACTTGAAAGAAATAATTCCAAAGTACACGGAAGAAAACTTAATTATGCATTCTCAGCTACCGTTGCCGCATATGCTCTGGGTTTTTCTTATATTTTTCTATATGCTATTTTTTTTTCCTCTCGTTCCTTTCTTTCAATTTTCTTTTTTTCGTAGTGCCAGTATCAACGCTGTTCCTTCCTGCATTGTATGAACCTTAAGTAATTAGGGAAGTTCTAAGGCGCTCACTACTACATATTACTTTTTTGAATCCCTTAAACAAAATTACCAATTACAACTCAAGGACAGAAAATTTAAAATAAGTAACCGTATTACTTTTCAAAACTACAACTAGCATTTATCTTAGATATTTGGACGCAAAGTTTTTTTCTTAGACCCTCTTTCCAAACACCCCCATTTAAATTCAACTTGGCTTAATGTAAAACTGCATCCCTATTCGGTAATCTTTTTAGCAATCATGTCCCACATTTTTTTATATATAACATCCAACGGCTTAACAAACTTTTTTATGAATTTTGTCATAGAATTCCATTAGACGCTTGCGGGGCTTTCGAGTCAAACTGACTTATTACTGACAATATTAATCTTTAGAAAAAATCAAATTCTGAAATAACCGAAGGGAACGTTTATAACTTTTTTCCTTGTGATACTAAATAAAGTCAAATTTTAAATTATATATTATAGTTACACAAATATCGCCCATTCAGATTCCTAAAAGCTTGTGGTATTAATGGATGCTTTTTACAATGCAAACACCACTGCCAATGGTCTCATTTTGGTTTAATCAAAATTTACTTTCCTGGATGAGCCATGATTTCACAAAAGATGTTAAAATCATTCTCAAAATCACATGTAATACAAGTGTATATCCTCAACTACTTACATCCGAGATCTGAAAGGAAAAATGTTATGCGGATGATCTTGTCATCTTGTCATCTCGCAAGCATCTCAATCGACTATCATGGGTAATAGATCACTTTAAACGTTGCAGCACAAAATAAAATTACAGGGAAAATACAAAAGTAGATACCTTATATGTAGCATTCCCTGGTTTGCTTTCCTCGCACATGAATCGTGCTATAATAGTCTCACACTTATTATCAAAGTTAGAATCCACAGCGCTAAGTTCGAGTGCGTTTGGGTATTGAGCCAATGCTTGAATATTGCTCGCCATGGCGACCTTAGCATTAGTTTCGACTTCTAAAATTGTAGGTTCGCCGTCATTATTATTGCTAACTGGAATTATTTGAACTGTATATGTTTGGCATGCATATAGGTCAGTAACATAAATCGTAGTTTCATTTGTTTGTTTATAAAAGAGTTGGCCAGAGTTCTCATTAATCCATCCCGCTATGCGATATTCAACTACACATAAATCGGCAAGCTTAGGTGGACTCCAGGAAATATTCAAAGCTTGAGTTTCGGAAATTACTTCAAAATTTTGAATAGGAGTGGGTTCTGAAAGGAAAAAAATAAATATTCATATTAAATATGCTGGCTTAAAGTTAATTACTACTACTAATACTAATAACTAATATAATAAACATATACATGAAAAACTAACTATAATACTAATCCGGTATAAGATAATTGTTTATTCTAATTTGAAAGCGAAACGATTTTCGGTCGAACACTCTCTCCCATTTATGGTGAGAGACTTAGTGTTTTTCCTATAAATAGGGGATTCTGCAACTTATTAACCGAGAGAAAGAAGGTTCGCAATTCTACGCGTATATTATATTATATAGATGAAATTTCTTTTTTTTGTTAGGATTATCCAATTTTTAAGATTCTTCCAATATGTTCGAGTCTGTAACTAAAGTTTTTTAAAATGTTAATTTTTTGGTATCCTTTTTGGTATATTCGAGTCTACCGTCTGTCTTTCGTACTTCGAATTTCAGCACAGACTTTTGAAAGATTTATTAATGATGGAGGTTTAAATTCCTTCCGAAATTATTGCGAAACATTTTTTGAGATGATATATATAAAGTTGTATTTAAAATATCGAATAATAACTTTCATAACTCAATCTGGTTATATGTTTTCTTGTGTGAATGTGAACTTGTCACTCAACAAACCTAATTCATTGATCACTGAATCTGCTCAAATCAACTTAAGCCTAATAGTAAGTATACAAATAGTAAAAGTAAATTAAAAACGCGTTAGCTCGAGTAAACTCAGAGTTCTTTTTAAACTAAACTATGACACTTAATTAGTTTGCAATCTAATTGTAGTCCAGAGCTTTTAAGTAAAAGCCCATTGAGATAGCTAAATTCAATTTCATATGCAATATTTTGGTATCGACGTGTCCTTCTTTCCCTGCGATATGTTATACCGTTCGGTTTGGAACTATTTATGTATATCGGATGATGTAATTGCAGAACATGTTTGTAGGCGTAATTTAAATGTATCGAGCTTACACATTTGCTCATTGACATTAATCCTCCAGTTTGGCAGTCATTATTCGATGAGAAGAGAATGGACCCTTTAGATGGTTTACTAGGACATTGATTACCTTATAATATGACGGTGTCATCCGCGAAAGTGGATGCTCGTACTGCCTTCAATTTAATGCACAAATAATATATTACTTTTTACAAAGCAAATTGTTGCCAATATTTAAAATCTATGCGGCATATCCCTTGTCAAGTTAAACCCGAGTTAAAGCCGGCATTAATACTAGAATGAGGAACTGCTGATACTAGACTGCCACTAACTATGTGAAATGTTATTCGTAGTTCGTCATTTTAACGGGTTTATATTTACCGAGAGGGACAGAAATAGAATTTAAAGCAATTTCATTTGTTACATTTAAAATCTTTTTTAAACTATATGTCAGATAAGGCAACACAAGTTTAACAAATTATCCAAAATTGTTGTCAAATGACATTCACTTACACCTAAAAATTAGCGAGCAACCAAAATTTGTGAGAGGGAAGTGATAGTTCGCACCAAGAGAGACTTCAATTTTGAGATGGAAAAATGTTAACTTGTAAGAATTATCTCTCACGAAAACATTATATATAAAAACATATGGGCGCTTTCGGTGCACATAAATTAATATAAAAGAAACTAATTAAAAATGAAAAATAAATAAAATAAATAAATAAATATGTCTACAAAATGGTAAGTAAACGTATGAAATCAATTCCCAAAGCGCTTATATATAATTCTAATAACTCCTGGATTTTCTTGGAAAAATATTATGGTATTCAGACCAGCTTTTTGCTCTTCGATGGCAGACCTGTAGTCAACATCTAAAGAATTTTTTAAATAAAAACAGTAAAATGAATTCAATAATTTCAGTACCTACCAATTTCAACTTTCCGCTTTCCAGCTTTCTACTCTCAGTCATTTTTAATTTAATCTTTATTTTAATTTGTAAAAAACAAAAAGCAAAAAAAGTAAAAAGCCAATAGACATGGATAATTTTGCGTTCGTTTACTTTTTTGGAAATATTTCTTTTTCACAGAGTGTTCTTGCTTACGCTCTTTTAATTCATTGATTGTTCTGTTTGGTGACCTGGAGAGCAATAACAGTTTTTACCGAATAGCCTTCGGTGAACCAAAAACCCAATAAAATTGGTGATGACAGAGCGCAACTTTGTCGATTAGTTTGGAGAGGAGGTTACAAATTCGTACTGAGACTGCAAATTTCAGCCAGAAAAAACTAGCAAGTATGAAAAATAACTGATTTGTGATCATATGATAGAATTTTTTATCAACAAAGCAAAATTGATTTAAAATTAAAATTATATTCTTTAATAATAATGGTGTACTAACAAAATAAGTGTCCAAATATAATTTTTGCTAAAGTAAATTTAATAATGTTAATGCTTCAAAAAATAGTAAATGCTATCATCAAATGAAAATGTGGTGGCAGTGAAGTGCAATCATGGCCCACACACAATACACCCTATTTTGAGGAATATTTTTTGTACAATAGTAGAAATTTCTGAAACAGGACTATGAATTTTCATGCTGGAAGGAAAATTAGAGCTAAGCTATAAAGTCATATGATAAATATTTTTGCTAAAAGATAATTGGTTTCCTAGCAATATGCAATTGAAAAAATATGCAACATTTTATTAAACATTTTTTTCTCAGAAAATATTCAATGAGAAATTTTGAAAAATTTGGCGGAATGTCAATAAATTAATGCAGTAATCTATTTGTTATCATTGCTAACTCATTTAATTTTGCAAACAAAAGGGGCAAATTTTAGCTTGTTCTACACTCGAAATTTAAAAGCTTTTATAAGATTCGGGAAGGCTGATCGCTCACAACGAATAAACCGTTGAAACTTGTTTGAGCCCGGCCTTGGTCTTCTTAATATACAACTTTTTGCAACTCATTTTCATATTTTTTCTTATTTTCATTACAAGTAAGATCTGAAAATGAATAAAAAAAAGTTCTACTTTTTTATTTTTTCCGATGACACAATTTGTATATATGTTATAATCGATCTCGGGTTCAATTGCGTATTATAAATATCAAATCGTATTGAATTTTGAATAGTGGCTCCTGCGCTACATATCCATCCTCTTTAAGTTTTCGATCTCTTTATTGGCTCCCACATATTTATTGAATTGGAATTACCACCTCTTGTACTTCGGACTTAGTAAAATTATGAAAAGCAAAGAAAAGATGTTTAAAAAGATGGAAATCACCCTTGCTGCCTAGATATTGTAATGCCAAGAACTGTGATATTTCATTTCATTTCATTTAAGCATATGAATAAACCTTGATGACTAGAAGTAAAAAACTTTCATAATATCAATGTTTTTATAATTGGCGCTTTGTAACCGCTGAAGCGGTTCGCGGCCGAGCTCCTCCTCCAATTTGTGGTTTTGCATCTTGATGTTTTTTCCAACAAATGCAGGGATCTGCAGTTTATACTAAGCCGCCTCCGAACAGCTGATGTTTTTTTTATGAGGAGCTTTATTTCGTGTCCGAAATACACTCGGAGGGGTTGGCATTCCCTGCCGAGGCGCGACCGCAATTAGAAAATTTAACTTAATTTTTTATTTAAATCAATTTTCTATAACTTTTGTATGTTGGTCGCACGGGACTGTAAATTCGAGTCTTCAGAATGACTGTACGCAATGCTAACCACTCGGCTAACGCGTCCGCCCAAACTTTCAAAAACAAGTAGATATTATGAGTTTAAAACTGAACAGAATATCTTGGAATACTAATTATCTTATTCTATTCTTTGTAGGTAATTCAGTGATGCCTTAAAATTAGGTGGAAAATAAAATCGCAGCTAGAAACTTTTCGATTGCGAAAACGTAAAGCAAAAGGAATAAAATAAACAAATTAAATATTGTACAAGAAGACATTATTTCCCCTTACTTTAGTTTAAAATGTAATAGTGACGAAAAAAGAAATCGACAATTAATTATGATATACTTACGTGTTTCCAAAGTCTGCAAGTTTGTTGTAGTCAAATATAAAACTATTCCGTCATCTGAAATGGCTTGTAATGTAATTTTATATTGTCCGCATGGGTCCAAATTTTTAAAATGATATTGGTTTTCCGTTGTTTGGTTCGAAAAATTTATTTGTGTTTCCTTAGAACGTTGCAACGGCCCATTTATATTAACATCGAAAACGCTCGCATAAATTGAATTTGAGGGATCTTCCCAATGTATTGCGATTTCCGTAGGTGTTATATTTGTCGGCGTTATAATCCAGGCATCAGCTACTTTACGAAAACAAAATAAAATATATACAACAGTTAGTTATAAAAAAAGATACATACGTATGTATTGTATGTATATATATAATTGGCGCTTTGTAACCGCTGAAGTGATTTTTTCGGCTGAGCTCCTCCTCCAATTTGTGGTATTGCGTCTTGATGTTTTTCCAACAAATGGAGGAACCTACAGTTTATACAAAGCCGCCTCCGAACGGCTGATGGTTTTTTATAAGGAGCTTTATTTCATTACCGAAATTGTAAAATTTAACTTCATTTTTATTTAAATGAATTTTCAATATCTTTTATTTTTGGTGGTGGTGTATTACATTCAAGAAAAAGGTACCTATTAAAGAAATATTTTTAACTATCTCACAAATCAATCGTCGAATTGCGAAAAAAAATATCGTGTGTATGTACATACATGTAACTGTCAAGGTTGCCTATATCCATGAGCCCAATCACCAACAAATCTTTGAATCAATAATAAAACGCAATTTTCCCCGGTACCTCCGGCTAACCTTACTTCAAATATTGAAAGCATTGTTAAATCTAATAATTCCTTCTTAAGAAATGGTTGCCAACAAAAATTTACTAAAATAGATACAAAATGTAACTGTCCTCTTATTTTAAAACACTTATTAACTTCGAAATCCTGTTAATTATAAATAAGAAGAATTATATGTCAAAAAACTTCAATCAGCTTAATGGTTTTCTACTCAAAAGCACTCATTAGCAACTCGGTATAAAGGAACTGAGGGGTGGCCAACTGAAAGGCAGTTAAAATGGCCAACATGACATCTATCATCTACTTTGCAAACTATGATCTGATAAAAACATGTCCGATGATTGGAAACTAAGAGTGCTCTACCCAATCCATTAAAAGGAAGATCGCAGTTACTAGGATAAACCTCCTTAATATCGCATGTAAGGTACCATCGATCGTACTGTGAAAGACTCACACACCGTCAACCCACTCCTTCGATAGCATGTGAAGAAGTTAAGCGGTGCCAACACTTATAAGTAAGCTTATCAAATTTTAAAAAAGATAAATAGATACTTAAAGCTCGGGACATAGGTTCTGAATTATCGTTTATTAACATGCCACTGAAAAGTCGAGTATGTTTTGATTCTAAACTCATGTTTATCTTTAGATATTTTTGCGATATGAATAATTATCACACTAACATCAACGACGGAGGCACCTTCCTGAATTTGTGGATAACATTTTATGTTCTCGGGTTTGTTTCAGCTGATTATATTCCTCTTTACTGATACATTAAGCACAATCAAATAGAAGGGGGAGAAGGGAACTTACGGTAATAGTAAAGATTCAGTTTGCTGGAGAACAAATATTCCTGCAATATAAATTCTTCATCGAAAATAATGAAATGGACAACCTTTTACCGATTTCTTGGGCACGGTTCATATCAAACAAGTGTTGAAAATGACTTCCATCTTCGACTGTTCTAAACATTTGCCAGTTCATTTCTGCTACTATACTGACAAACTAATTTTAAAAATTTGATTTTTAAAAATTAAATAAAGAGATGAAGACATTTACTCCATTTTTCTTTAATTATAAATTTCGAAATAATGCTATCCTGGATAGTCGAACCTTACAAAGCACGTAATAATACCAAATTCCCAATTAGGTCGTCACTCTCGATCATAGTTGAAGATTGGCTATTGCAAAATAATCGGCCGCTATATGTAGCTGAGTGGTCAGGAGTGTTTCAAAGCGCCAACTTTGAATATAATTCATAGTTTTTTGTGGTTTCATTGAATCTCCACTTAGTTTTTTCTGCGACAAAGAAATCATGTCCTTTTTGCAAACGTTGTTAATAATATAATATGTACATACCATTAAGTTGTCCATTTGAATCAGTACAATCAATCTGTACTATGTTAAAGCATAAAAGCAACAAAGTTGATAGCTTCAAAGTGATATATATCATTATTTTCCTCCAAGATTCTTCTAAAACCTGCAATATAATTAATAATAGAAAAAATATATTTAAGTTTGAATAAAAAGCTATATGTTTATTTACATATAAATTTGGTCCTTTCTTTCCTATGAAATTCATATGTCTTGTAGTTCTAAGGAATTCAAATGAGAGATATTCCGCTCTACTTAGCCATCTCCATAAAAGATATGCAAGAGGCCAGCAAAACCATAAGTCACTGCTGCTTGGCTGTCACAGAAAACAAAAATGTATTTTTCTGAAACACTTGTCAAACTTTGTTTATCTACTTCGATATTAGCAAAGATCGTGCCCTGAAACACATCATAGCAATTCTACGAACGGACTATAAGTGAAAATTTCAATAAATTTCCATTTTTGGCGTGTTCTTGATTTAAACTTTGGGTCAGTAACTGAAGTTAAATGAAAACTGCTGCTCGTTAAAATGTTGAAATACTCAACTAGTCGTAGGCTAACACTGTTTTCACTCAAGCAAGAGGCTGCGAGTACTATCGTCTGCAAATCGAATAAAATTTTTTGATAGCTTCACTATTTATAATACAAAATAGTAACGGCGAACCCGCTACGGACCCGCTAACAAAATGGATACGTACATATACATTTTGACTATGAATAGAGAATATGACAAACAATAGTGGGAAGTCACAAAGTGACCTATAGGGAAGTAGTGCATATTTTGTCGGCACTACTCGTGACGAAATCTCTCTTCGTCATTTTCCTAGTACAAGATCAGAAAATTGTTTAAAACAAAACTAAACTGTTTTGTAATTTACTATCGACTCAAAAGCCTTTCTAATGATAATGACATAAGTTTCCATAGCCATCCAGTCAGCCCATGTCGAACAAGACATATTTAATATATACATTCTTCCGTTACTTGTTGCCCAGTAGGATACCGTCCGGTTAAGTGAGTTTAACGCAGAACAGATAAACGATTCGGCAGTATACAACATCAACGACGATGCCCCCGCCAGAATTTTGGGCAATTTTTATCGTTTTCCTGACATCATAACTACAAGCGCTGCAAAATCAATATCGAATCCGACAATCGGGGATAAACGAGTGCAAATTTAAATCATTGATCGCAACTCGTGTGCCGCAAGGAGGGCGCGAAATACTTTTCATTGCTCCCTGCCGTGGAAAATTGAAGCGAGAAGTGACTCGCCGTTTAGATCTCCAGGGAGGAAGTTCAGGTAGTTTTCAAGCAAGCGAAAAACTCTAAATCCACCAAGCTCGACAAAGTATGCATGCATCTCGGTTCATCAGAAGAAGAATTCTTCAACAAGATCCTTAGTCTGTTTCCGGTCACTTTATCGATAACCGGCATTTGAATACAGGGTAGATATTTCTCCTTTACTCAGTATCGAAAACAGTTGAGGCCCCCTGAGTTCAGCAGCACCCAGCATGGTCTTAATGGTTAAGCACCTGTATAATCCATACACCCTTTTTAGATCTTGATAGATCCAGGACTCAAGCCCTGGCTTTCAGAATGACAGTATGCAATACTAACCACTCGGCTATTGAGACACATTCCAATTATGTGTTAGCGGTGTATGTATATAACCAAAGAATATTGATGTTTGCAGAATATTATGAAAAACTTTACAGACTGATAAATATGCATAGATAAGGTACACTTTTTTAATATTTCTTTGTATGTTCATTTATTACAAAAATGGAATTCTATATATTTAGAAATACTAATTGGGTGTGGCCCACAATTTATACAGATTATTTCCAACTGTGAATATAATTAAAGGAGGATGGGACCGTGTGTAGAAGTTTACGAAGGTTAGTAAGGTTTTTGACCGCCATTCATCTGGGAATAACCAGAAACGATTATTTTACATGTGATTTAAGCGGCTCACGACTTCAGATGTTAGAGCAAGAGTCCTCCACCTGAGACCTCATGTTTTTAATAATGAGATATTATGCAATGAGTATCAATTTGGCAGATGTGATCGCTTGAACAGAATCGGCGGGGAGTTCTACTTGCGTTTCATTCTTCTATACCCTCAGAGAAAGTATGCGTTTCCTTCGTAGATCTCATTCAATTTAAATGCATCCGTGTTTAAAGAAATTCTTTCAATGATGAAAAATTTAATTTTTTTAATACAAAAATTTTTAATATGCCTTGTATCAAATGGATGCAAGTCGATGACAACATCATCCCAATTTGTACTTGACCGTAGAGTTTAGAGGAAATATCCGAGCTTTGCCTTAAGTAGATTAATCTAATACCGAATAATCTTAATAAAATCTTGGATTTAGTACGTGTCGGCAATACTTCAAAATCATCCTGCTTTGGAGATAACTTTTGAAACTATAGATAGTTATAGGTCTAATACTCTACGTGTTTCTTGTTCGCGTTCCAACTTCGTGAAAGCTAACTTAAAAAAAGTTAATATCAACTAAAATGGTTATATCAAAAAGGTATTCTTCATTTTAATAATGCAATTTTAAAATTATTTGAAAATTTTGTACTCAAAGGCGCTGGTGCTTTACTAAATGTTCCATATTGTGGTTCACAAAGTAATTAAATCTTAAAAAAAAAAAACCGAAAGTCTCGCGCTTTTAAACTGTATAAGAAGACTAGCTTACATTTGGACTACATGAAATACTCTAAATTACGACGCAAGTACTTTGAACTTGAAAATAACATGGTACGTAACCCCAAGACGTCTTATGATATCGTTAACTCCAAACGTAGAGTTTCTTTGTTTCCGCCCGCCATGACATACGAAGCTACTACATCAAGTGACTTTCATACTATCTCGAATATGTTTACGTAATTTTTCAAACCTAATTACTCTATTAATTCACCAAGAAGTAACTTTGTCAGTCAGGAGCAATTTTACAATTTCACTCGCAAACTTCAATTAACACTACAGTTGTTTCTTCCGAAGATGTGTTATGTCAGTCCAAAGCACTAAAGAGTTCTTTTAGTTATGGGCCTGACATGATTTCGATTTGCTTCCTTAAATATGGCGCTGAAAACTTGTACCAGCCTAAATCCCTAAATCAAGGTATTTACCATTGTTATTGAAGACATCGTATAATATAATTTCGTGTTGTTAATTACAAATCCTGTAGTAAGGCTTTTTATATCATATATCTCAAATCGGTTTTTTTTATAAACCGATTTAAATAATTATGTAGTTTGTTCAATAAAAATGGTATGCCTCTTTACTTAAACAAATATAAAATCATGATATTTTCACGTAAATGTCTTCAATCACCATCTTAAACAATAGACAGATAGATTCCAGAACATATATGTAATTTTGATGACTGGGGTATAACAATGGACACAAATCTTAATTTTAATCTACCTATTAATTCTAGTGTTCTGAAAGCTAAAGGCGCCCTTGCTTTTATAAAACGATGGTCAAAAGAATTTAAAGACCCTTACATTACCAAAATACTTTTTAAGTCATTAGTGCGCCCAATATTTGAGTACTCGGTGGTATGGAATCCTAATTATAATGTCCATTCTGATAAAACTGACTCCGTGCAAAAATAGTTTTGTTGTTTGCTTTGCGTCATTTCTATTAGGATTCTAGCCCAAAAATTACACCTACATTTTCGAGCCGTAGAGTAATGCAAGAATGAACAAAGAAGTTCGAATAGCAATCGGCCGCTAAAAAACAAGAAAGTGGCTGGACCTGACGACCTACCGGCAGAACTCTTCGAAATTGGCTGTGAAGAGCTGACAAGGTGCATGCATCAGCTACTTTGCAGAATATGGTCGGACGAAAGCATGCCCAACGATTGGAATTTAAGTATGCTCTGCCCAATCAATAAAAAGGGACCCCACAGTCTGCGCCAATCATCGTGGGATAAGTCCTATCGAGCGTATTGTGTGAAAGACCAAAACCCACCGTCAACAAACTGATTGGACCTTATCAGTGTGGTTTCAGACCTGGTAAGTCAACCATTGACCAGATATTCACCATGTGCCAAATCTTAGAAAAGATCCGTGAAAAGAGGATCGACGTACACCACCTTTTCGTCGATTTTAAGGCAGACTTGGACAGCACGAAAAGAAGCTGCATCTACTCTGCTATGCCTGAATTTGGTATCCCTGCAAAACTTATACGGCTGTGTAAACTGACCTTGAGCAACACTAAAAGCTGCGTCAGGATCGGAAAGGACGTCTCGGAGTCGTTCGATCCCAAACGGTGTTACAGACAAAGTGACTCTTTATCGTGTGACTTTTTTAAGTTTTCTTGGAGAAAACGACCCGAGCAGCAAAGCTAAATAGAGAAGGTACAATCTTCTAAAAGATTGCACAGCTGCCTGCTTACACAGATGATATCGAAATTATTGGCCTCAACAACCGCGTCGTGGGTTTCCAGAATAGAAAAATAAGCGAAGCGAAGGGGTCTGGTAGTGAACACGGGCAAGACGAAATATCTGCTGTCATCAAACAAACAGTCATCGCACTCGCGACTTGGCTCCCACGTCACTGTTGACAGTCATAATTTCGAGGTCGTTGATAATTTCGTCTATCTGGGAACCAGCATCAACACCAATAATGATGTCAGCCTTGAAATCCAACGCAGTATCACTCTTGCCAGCAGGTGATACTTTGGACTAAGTAGGCAATTGAAAAGTAAAGTCCTCTCTCGGCGAACGAAAACCAAACTCTACAATTCGCTCATCATACTGGTCCTACTATATGACGCAGAAGCGTGGTTGCTGTCAATATCTGATAAGTCGGCTCTAGGAGTCTTCGAGAGAAAAGTTTTGCGAACGATTTATGACCCTTTGTGCATTAACGCAGACGACGGAACGATGAGCTGTGCGAGCTATACGCTGATCTTAACATAGTTCAGCGAATGAAAAGACTACGGCTACACCGACTAGATCATGTCGTCCGAATGAATGAAAGCACTCCAGCTTTGTAAGTTTTCGATGCAGTACCCTATTTGATCAAAAGTACCGATTTTAGGCAAGATTGCTTCTGCATCGTGGGGTTAGGTTGTTCATGATTAGACGGTTCCCGGGTTATGTGGTAGTTAAGCTATTGAATACATTCAAGCCCTTCGGTGGCTTCGAATAAACGTAGAGGCTATAATTTTCTCTTTAATAAAACTAACTGACTATTCTTTTACTTACTTTCGGGGGTTTTCATTTTAATTTAACTGAAATGCTTTTCCTTGATTTGACTTATTTATTGTCATATAAATATTTAAATTCTGACTACTCCTAATAACAGCAAATAAGCAAACAACCACACAATCTGTAAAAGAGGGTATAGATTGCTCATAATTGGTTATCTTACCATACTTCATTTTATTTTTGTTTGTTTTTTTTTTCTTTAATTACGGAACGACATCCGAGTGATTAACATTGCGTACTACCATTCGGGTGGGCCAGGTTCATATACCGGTACGACCAATATCCAAAAGTTATAGAAAATTAAATTCAATTTTCTTATTGGGGTCGCCCATCGGCAGGGAATGTCAACCCCTGCAAATGTGTTTCTGACATGAAATTAAGGCTCCTTATAAAAAACCATGTAGGTTCCCCCGTTTGACGCAAAACCACAAATTTGAGGAGGAGCTCGGCCGAAAATCAATTCAGCGGTTACAAAGCACCAATTATATACATAAATATATTTAATCGAACAACCACGTAATATGACAACCAGCTTATCTTGAACAACCAAATATTTTGTGCTAATTTAATGGTTTTCCATAGTATTTGTAAACAAACTACCAAAATCGAGATTGAAAATAGCCATGCACCTAGGATTTCGGAATCAAATTGAGTATTGGATTTGCGTCATTTAATCGTCGCGTAAACGCACTATTTGTAACAGCACATAAGCAGAGACGGCGTACTATTTAAATTTAATATCTAAACCGAAACGTCACAACCGCAGACGTATCAAAGATAATGACATGTTATCATAAATATGAATTTCCCGAATAAACCGATTTTAGCAAACATGCACTTCCAGATTCCCTTAATGTTATTAAAGTAAACCAAACTAAATTTGAAAGCTACTCGGCTTACTGCAGCATCTTTATAACCATATCTAGTGATATGTTAAGATGGTTAAATATGTCAGAGCGTTTGTAAATATTAATACTTACAGAAAATTTATCATAAAACATCATTATATGACGCCACAAAAAGCAACAACTACCTCATTTTTGAGTTATGTCCACTTTTAATTCTTTTAGTCAATGCAGGTTTGATATAAATCAGCACAAAAACTTATCCAGTTATAATTTTTTTAGATCGGCTAATCGAGTTATTTTCTATTGACAGAAGCTAATAATTCAATTACATTCGCACCGTTCCGACTGTTTTTGTTGGTTTCCGTTGATTAACTGACGCTTGTTATCATTGCAGCCATGTATGTTTATATTTTTGACTGATATTCATATACATACAAATGCCTTATATACGTATATGTATATATAGGAGTATATATTCCTGTTATCTATCTATGTTTATATGTATTTATACAGGTGAGGTAAAGCTAACAATTGGAACTTCAGATAAAAAAGCATATCTGATTGATATTTTTTGGTGAAAAGCTCTTAGGGAATTGAAGCAAAGGTAGATTCATAAAATCATCTTCGGAAAATTTGTACATATCTTGCGAATAATTATTATTATTTAAATATACATACATATACAATCGGTAGTGAAAAATAAATAAGTCCAATTCAGCCTCCAAAGCAGGAGCTCGCAGCTGTGATCATTTGATCGATTTCGTTCCTCATTTTAGTTGTTGTTCGTGGCGATGCCGCCATCCTCACTTATACGGCTCCATAAACTGACGGTGAGCAAAATCAATAGCCCCGTCAAGATCGAGAGGGACTACTTCGAGCCGTTCGACACCAAGGCATGTTTAATAGAAGATTACTCCTTATCTGGCGACTTCTATAATTTAATACTGGTGTAAATTTCAAATTCATGCTGGCATTTTGTCAATAATAAAAATATTACTTAAAATGAAACAAAAGTGGAAATTTAATTTGATCAAATTTAAATTTAAATATGTTCTATCATCCTTACAAGACGGAGGTGACAATTTCACCACTAATATCGTATGATTGATTTAATTAAGTAATGAACAGATTCAAATATAACTGTCAAACGAAGATCTGTTATGCAACTTTACTTAATTAATTTTTACTAAATTCTGTTCGGTGAAAACTCGGAAAATTTCTCTCTTTGAAAGAGAGTAGGTGAAATATGAATTTTTAAAGAACATCTTAAGTTTATTTGGAATTATCAGCTAAATTTCGATTGTCGATAACGATATTTGAAATGTGTGAGCTTGTTTCATCTCTTTATCTATTACATCTGTTCAATCGCCGAAATAGTATCGAGTTTTTTACTGGTTATTAATAATAAAAATAAAAATTTAGAAAAAATTCGTGAAGTAGAATAACTTAGAAGGAACATCAATGGATTCACACAGAGTATGATACAGGGCTCCTTTAACTTAGAAAGGCAAATGTTACTGGCTTAATTCAAAATCAAGAAGCGGGCACTATAAAAATAGTAAAAGACAAAAAAATTTTAGAATTATACCATACGACGTAGTGCCAGGCAAGAGAATAAGAAATTTAATAATATTAGCGTTCCAGGTATCTCTGCACCTGATCCTTCCAACGGAGTGGAGGACTTCATCTCTTTCTGTTTCCACCAGCGGGTGCTGCTTCGAATTCTTTCAAAGCTGGAGTGCTTTCATCCATTGGGACGACATGACCTAGCCAGTGTAGCAGCTTTCTCTCTGAACTATGCCAATATTATCATACAACTCATCGTTCCGTCGTCTGCGGTATTCGCCGTTGTCAATGCAGAATATGGTCCATAGATCGTTCCCAAAACTTTTTTCTCCCAATCTCCCAAAGAAACTCATCATACGTTGACATCATCTACGCTTTTGCGCCACATAGCAGGACGGGAACGATGAGGCACTTGTAGAGTTTGGTTTTCGTTCGCTGAGAGAGGACTTTAATTTTCAGTTGCCTACACAGTCCGAAGTAGCACTTGTTGGCAAAAGTGATTCTGCACTGGATTTCAAGGCTGACATTATTATTGGTTTTTATATTGGTTTCAAGATAGACGACTTCAAAGTTATGACTGTCAACAGTGACGTGGGAGTCTAGTTGCGCATGCGATGGCTGTCTGTTTGATGACAGGAGATATGTGTTCACTAACATACCCATTCGTTTCGCTTCTTAATCGAGTCTGGAGAAAGCCGAACTTACAGCGGCGCGTTTGTTGAGGTCAATAATGACAATATCATCAGCGTACTCCAGCAGTTGTAAACTCTTGTAGAAGATTGTACCTGCTCTGCAGCTCGTACTATTTCCTCCAGCAATAAATAAAAGAAGTCACACGATAAGGAATCACCTTGTCTGAAATTCCGTTTGGTATCGAATGGCTCGAATAGGTTCCTCCCGATTCTATCGGACCTTTTAGTGTTGCTAAAGGTCAGTTTACACCGCCATATAAGTTTTTCTGGGCTACCAAATTCAGACATTCCGGCGTAAAGGCAGATCCTTCTCGGGCTGTCCAAGGCTTTAAATCGACTAAGAGGGGGATATCTGGAATAAGTGTTATTAAGGAGGCTTATTCCACGGTAGTTGGTGCAGTCTGTGGGATCGCCTTTTATGGATTGGATTGTTCCAGTCGTCACGCATTCTTTCATGATGCATGTACCTGATCAATTCTTCAATGCCGTATTCCATCCATCAGTCTCCGTCGCTTTGTTGTTCTTTAGGCGGGCGATTGTTATTCGGACTTCTTCATAGTCGGGTAGCGGAACAACTTTTCCATCGATTGGAGTATTGGGCACACCATCTGTGGGTGTTCCATCTTGACTGCTACTCAGCAGGCTGGAGAAGAGTTCCCTCCATAAATTCAGTATACTCTGGGCATCTCTCACTAGCTCACCTCCCTGGATCCTACAACTCTCTTTTGTAGACTTACTTTAAAATTTTATAGAACCTAAGATTTTTACTTGCCACAGTTTTAGAGCGAGAAGTCTTTGAAGGATGAGATTACGAGCACTTTTACTTTTTGTTGAAATATATATGTAGGTATGTATGTGTTCGATTGCGCAAACCCAAAACAAAAATTATTGGAAATTGACTTAATTTAACACAGCAATGAAGTCGTTAATACAAAGTCCAACAAATTTTTACAGCAAAAATATTTTTTTAAATGCGGTAATTACGTTTTAAAGCGTGATGGGTTGCTACGGTAGATAAACATGTCTTACTCACATCTAAATATTGCATAATGAATGATATCAACGATTTAGTTCTAATAGTAAAGTTAGCCTGACACCACACAGGCTGCATTGAGAAATGGGAAGTTAGGAATATTATAGGCGTAAAATTACAACATATTCTTTTGTTTTTACAATGCTAGATGATTTCAAAATTTTCACAACAAAGAAAAACAAGATTGTTGAATCATCACAGTGACGATAATTATTGTAGCTTCAGAGGACGATGATGCCTAAAATGAAATGTAATGCATTTAAAAGAATAAAGCTCCTCCAACTTTATCTATAATGTACAGTTAACTTCGTTAAACACGGAAAAGACTTCAAAACTCACTTTTCACTTTTCGTATTTCAATTATCCCTCCTGAAAATATGAGCAACGAATTATTGCAAAGCAAATAATAACTCTTCGTCCTTCTCACCGACCAAAGTTTATGTTTTGATTATGATTTTCAAGCAAATAGAAGGAATTTAAGCATTTATAAGAATCATAATTTTATCGTTACTGGCATGCAGTTATAGAGATCCAGACATCGAAAAATGTAGATAATAAAGGTGAGAAATTCAATTGGGAAGCCATTAAATGTTTCGGATTTACTAAGAAATATAGTGACACATATTTTAAAATATCTTGAGGTGCCGATGATCATTTCATTTGAATTAATACAACAAAGCGATGTAATAAAAGATTTCAAATATTACTACGTCTCACCAATAAAAATTAGCATTAAAACGAAAAACACTTGCTGCCATTGGTGGATAAAATTTATAGATACTTCTATAATAGAAATTTAACTTTAGAAGATATATTAGAGGCATCCAGATCCCACCGAAAACAACCAAAGTCCCTAATAGTTATTTATTTATATTGAAATAAAAATCTATATACACAATATTTCATATATAACTCGAGTATGTCTGGTCCGATATATCAAATTTTGATCTTGAAATATTTATGGAAGTTCTGGGTAAGTTTAAGCATCCGGAAAATGGACTAGAGTCGGACTATTGGAAAAAATAGTACGTAAGGTTCGATTTGAATGGGATTCGGTACATAGATGGCTCTTTGCTTAGATTTGCAGAAAGTCTTTCTTTCCTCTCGGGAAGTGAACTATGGACAGACCTATTTAAGAAAATCATAAATATGTATATTTAAATTTGCTTAAAATTCGTTACTTTTGTAGATTTTTTCTTAGGCTAAGAAGAACACTATTCCTCTTTTCGGGCATTCCGAGGTGAATGCCAATCAAAAACTTTTCTCAGATCAGATCAGTTACATCAGCTTGTTGTCAAAATTAAGGTAGAAGTGCCCACAACTACGACTTCTCCTACCGCGAATGACTTTAGATCCACCCCAACTAACGCGGTTCAACTTCTAACTACAATATTTGATTCAGGAACTGCATTCAGCTTTTGCACTATCAAATTAATTTGTCATTAAATTGCTGATTTTAATTGACCCTCATCAAGGAATTTATCTTTCTTGCCTGAAGATTACGTTTCAACTAAAGACCACTTTTTCAGATACCATTACACTACCATTATCATTTCCTTTCATTTCATTTAAAATGTTCGTTTGTGGTTTTTCCTGTCAGGGAAAGTCGCCCCACCCCCTTTGCGTATTTCGCTTACCCAACCATGGGTGTGCACTGATTCCTAATAAATTTCAAAATCCCTCTTCCTCACAAAGTACAACAATTTATTAGTCCATGAGTCCTATCCGTAGGTCTTGCCTACGCTGACTCTAATATAAACTACTCCTTATTTAAACCAATACGCTTTAAAAATAAAAATTAAAACTTCTAATTGAATTCATTTATTATAACCCCTGCTATTAAAGCCACAAAAAAAATTTACTCTTTATTATTTAAACAATTTAAAAGTTTATAAATTGGAAATAAAAAAAATAAAAAAAAAATGAAGATATGTAACTTTTTTCTTTGATGTTTATTCTCGCCTCTGGTAGGCACACACTTACTCTAAACGCCATTCATACCAAGTAAAGACTGTTTTTACAAGATGTAGAAAAAACTTACATGCAAATTAAGTCTTTTTAGTTTGAATTTTTAATCAGTACTTTGTAACC